TTGCAGGCTGCTGCCACGGCCAATTTGTGCATCTCTAAAATTGCAGTGTTCTTCTGCATTCCATGTGGATGTTTCTCTTAATTCCTATCCCGCTAAAACTCATGCTGTGTCGAGGTGTTCTTTGCGCTTGCCTGGAGAACAATCTTTATGCTCTCAGCAAGATGATAAATGTGCTTGGCCCTTGAGAGCTTTGGTGACCTCAACGGCACAAGATATCCCCATAACATCTCTAATTGGCAACGAGAAGGTGGGAGTTCTGTTGCTGAATCTTGGAGGGCCAGAGACCCTTGATGATGTGCAGCCTTTCCTGTTTAACCTCTTTGCCGACCCTGTAAGATGATGCCTCTGCCTCTGCTCTTCCATTTTTATTTCACAACACTCTCGTATGAACAAGCTAGATTAGCCTACTCAGCATGGCATGTTGGGTTTTACGGAGTGATTAATTTTTGATGTATTGGATATGCCACTTTAGCTTGCTTACCATGTCGTCTGCTGTATCATTAGGACATCATTCGACTCCCAAGGTTGTTTCGTTTTCTGCAAAAGCCTCTGGCCCAGTTCATATCAGTTGTTAGGGCGCCCAAGAGCAAAGAAGGCTACGCTTCCATTGGTGGTGGATCTCCCCTGCGACAGATAACTGATGCCCAGGCATGCTATTTTAATCTCTATCTCAGTACCACACCCCACTCTTCCCCTACAGTACCTTAAGTAGCTTGCAATGTGTTGTTATGTTGTCTAAATGTGGAGCCGCATAGAATCGTAAATTAGCTCAAGTACGTTGAACTGTTTAATGCACACGCTTATACGTGAAAGCTTACCTTCCAATAAAAGTAATTTTTTTCCTCTCTAACTCAGTTAGTTATGATTGGTTTTTCTGTTGATACTTGAAGCTTCTATTGAGTGGCTATTTTTTCCTTCACCCAGGCAGAAGCGTTGAGAAAGTCTCTTTGGGAGAAGAATGTTCCAGCAAAAGTTTATGTGGGCATGCGTTATTGGCATCCGTTCACTGAGGAAGCCATTGAACAGGTATGTTTGGCTCACCACTAATCCCCAGTGGCATCTGTAAAATCAGGTTAATGAAATTTCTCATAGGGGTTACTTTTGCCATCATGAACTCTCAGTTGTGTAAATTTTCCTTATTGAGCTTCATAACCCCTTCGTTTTTGTGCCTATGTATGACTGTATCAGCTTCTTTTAGTCGTATAGTTGTCTGCAATCTGCATTGTATAAGTGCGTCGGGTACTGTTAACAATCAAGGTCTTCTTATAATCGCGGTTGACTATTTTTTCCTCCTCTAGATCAGTGATTTCTGTAGAACTTTTTATTCCAGCTCATCACATTGAAATTCTGTTGCCATTGCAATGATCTATGATAATTTATTTCCATGTTGGTAAACTAGCTTATGATGCGGACAAAAACCTTTTGCTTCTGGCTGCGTCCTAGTATCTCGAGTTTTTATACAAGCTCGCACTTTTGTTTGTTAAGCTTATTATGCTTGAAATGTTTGCAGATAAAGAGAGATGGCATTACAAAACTTGTTGTGCTTCCATTATATCCACAGTTTTCAATTTCAACTAGTGGCTCCAGCCTGCGACTCTTGGAGAGTATATTCCGGTGATTGTCTATTTATTTGATAGCGTCAATATGTGATGCTCTGTAAGTGACTATGAAGTTGATAATTTCGTTGCCATTTCCAGGGAAGATGAATATCTAGTGAACATGCAGCATACAGTGATACCGTCCTGGTATCAGCGTGAAGGATATATTACTGCCATGACCAATCTAATTGAGAAGGAATTATTAAAGTTTGACAATCCTGAAAAGGTAGTTCTTCCTTGAGAATTTCAAGCTATAGCACATAGAATCAAATGATATTCCCTTAAGCCATTGGTTAGTTGCTTCACATGGCTAGATGCGGTTTGATGCAGTTGTGACCTCAAAACCTTTATTTGTACTTAGTTGTAGCAATCCCTAAAAACAATACTACATTTCTTATCGCAAGATGTTTTCATTACACTTAAGCCGATCACTGCAAGTCATTTCTAGTAACTTCATTGCAGGATAGGAATATTAGCCCTCGCCTCTAAGTTTCCTGCGTTAAAGCATACAAGTGATTGCCCACTTGAAAAATAATTGGATTATATGTTGCGCTTTTCTAATGCCTTTCTTATTTCACATCTATATTAAGCTTGAAGCCTTATGTTTTTATCCTCATAGAGGTTGCAGCAGTGAATTACAAAATTTGCATTGCAGGTTGTTATATTTTTCAGTGCGCATGGAGTGCCTATAGCATACGTTGAAGAGGCAGGTGATCCGTACAAGGCAGAAATGGAGGAATGTGTGGATTTGATAATGGATGAATTAGAGAAGAGACGGATAACTAACCCATATACTCTTGCTTATCAGGTGCTTTAGATACTCTTTAAGACTCTTCTCTTTATTTGCTCTTTATTCTCAACTCGTGACCTTCTAGCATAATGCAGAAGGCGTGTCCTGAAACTGTACATATCTTTGTCAATGAACACGTGAACATAAGTGCAAGTGCAATAAATTTTCATTTTGATATGGATCTCAGCAAACTACAGGCATGCCAATAAACGAATTATATGCTAAAATAAAAATGGGCTAGTTTCATCTTCTTAATTGAAAACTCGATCTAACTTCCGACTTTTTAGCTCATACTTCAAGTAGCCATATGATGGTAGTTCGACTCATGTGCTTGTCATTGCTTTTTAGGCTAAGATTCAATTTGTCATAGTTGTTACATTTGCATTGAACTATCAATTCAATTTGTTTAATGAGGTGAAAATTAATACTATTTTTCATCTATATGCGAGGATGGAACCTCAAATGATGCCTTGAACGTGCTTAACTAGCTAACAAGTTGCAGCATGTGAACATATATTTTCTTTTTCTTACTTTTTCTGGTTTTTTCTCTACTACTTGGATGGTGAGTCACTGGATAGTTTCAATGTTGCTCCAGAGCAGAGTTGGACCTGTGGAGTGGCTGAAACCTTACACCGACGAGACAATCATTGATCTCGGGAGAAAAGGGGTCAAACGTCTTCTCGCTGTCCCAATAAGGTCAAACATGTTATGTTAATCTGGATTTCCCTTGCTTGAACTGACCAAGACAGCTACATGAAAATTGATTGTTCCAGTTGATGTCTCGATATGGCTTGCCAACAACAATGAAACCTTACTATGTTTGGTCTTCCATATCTCTCAGCTTTGTAAGTGAACACATTGAGACTCTCGAGGAAATTGACGTAGAGTATAAAGAGTTGGCTCTCGAGTCCGGGATAGAAAAATGGGGGCGTGTTCCGGCTCTGGGATGCGAGCCAACCTTCATTTCAGACTTGGCAGATGCTGTGATTGAGAGCCTTCCTTATGTTGGAGCTATGGCAGTCTCTAATCTCGAAGCTCGACAGGTTCCATTTCTTACATTTCCTGGCTAAAAAAAAAGTAGACATGGATGTTCCACTTTTCTCAGTGATGCATGTTTTCCAATTCCCAGAAGATCATATCTTTGAACTTACATTTTGTTAGAAGTTATTGATTGGCGAGTTTAACTTTTGCATGGCAGTCCTTAGTTCCACTGGGCAGTGTAGAAGAGTTATTGGCAGCGTATGATTCGAAACGGAGGGAGCTACCACCACCGGTGACGGTGTGGGAATGGGGTTGGACAAGAAGTGCAGAGACATGGAACGGGAGAGCAGCTATGTTGGCAGTTCTGGTTCTGCTGGTCTTGGAAGTCACCACAGGACAAGGTTTTCTGCATCAGTGGGGCATCTTACCTTTGGTTCGCTGAAAATCCATAAGAGCACAGATACGTCTTTATCACTTGTGAATTTTGTTCCTTTGGTGACTAACAATGCAAATACATGCAGCCCTAATACTATCTGAGCACCTTTGGTCTTGTTCTCTGTAGCTAAACTGGTATAATGGGACTTTCGGGCCATATTTTATATGTAAATCGGATTGTTAAGGGTGGTAAAAATGTCCGAATGTTCTTTATGTTAGGATGTATCATTATCAACCGCCATTTTATGTTTTCTTCGAACGATATAACCAGAGATCTATAAAAATAAAAGAGAACATCTATATCCCAGTGTCTCAGAGCCATATTAAATCTAAGGAGGTTGTAGCCTTTCAAATGTTGATAAATTTACATGTAAAACAAATGTGTAATAAATTCTAAAAGTACACTAGTTGATAAGGTAAAATCCAGCGGGGGATCGGGAGCCGTCCAGGGCCACGGCCTAGCCCTCCTCCGATCAAACCTATTATAGCACTTGTAATTTTTTTATTTTACGGCCTAGCTAACTCTGTCTCTTTTTAAAATGTGGTTCAGTGCTCTACCCAGTTCTGGATCCGCCGCTGATAAAATCAAACAATGTGTTGTGTACTTTTGATCTGGTAGCTTCTTCTTGGGAGGAATGGGGCCAAGGAACTAGGTGTCTGAGCTTTGATTTATTGGGAGCTATGGTTTTAGGAAGGTAGAAGTAGTGTCGTGAGAGAGAAACAGGTATGAGAAGATGGAGAAGTCGGCGGGTAGAGAGAATGAGAATGGGTTTGGTAAAGTAAAATGGTAACAGTAGCCTTTATATGAGGAAAGACCAACCTCTTAAACACAATAGTGTTTTGCTTTGGCTTCAATGCTTGCCTTTGCTTGTTATTCTCATTCCTTTAAATAGCTAATTGACAACTAATTGCACTAAAATTAAGGAAGAGCAAAATCTAACTCTAACGTAAACGATTGAAATAATAATAATAACAATAATTCCTATCCCTTGTTCTAGGAACCCACTTGCCCACTGATAAAGGAGAGACATACTCGGCAACTACCTCTCAACTTCTCCTCTCTCTTCGTTTGTGATTGTTACTTTTCTGTTCTTCTGCTCCTAAGTTTGTGTTAGTGGAGAATTAGCTTCTTTAGGAATAGCTATTAGTTGAGAGTCTCATTGTATAAATACACATCAATAATACAAACATAACTCAAGTTTTCTGAGACTCTTACATGGTATCAGAGCGCATTGCACTCTAACGAGTCAATTCTTCTTTTCCTTCTTTCTTCTCGGTCCTTCTTCTTCTTCCTTCAAAGCCAACAATGGCCACCGAACCTTCCTCTCTTTCGTCTTCCTCTACTTCCGGCGATTCCACTTTGCTGCCGGTTTCATCCATCTCCTTGTCGGCCAACCCACAGCTCACTGTCAAGCTCACCCCAACGAATTACTTGTTGTGGCATGCCCAGATCACTCCTCTTCTTCGCTGTCATCAATTGATGGGCCATGTTGACGGTTCTCTTCCTGCTCTACCACAAATCGTCAATGGCCAGTCCAATTCCGCCTACTGGTCGTGGTATGTGCGTGACCAGTATGTGCTAACCTGGATCAATCTCTCGCTCTCCGAGGCCGTTCTGCCCAACGTCGTCAACAAAGCCACTGCTCTTGACGCTTGGTCCGTGTTGGCTACCATTTACGCCTTGGGCTCTCCCGTCATCATCGACCATCTCCGCAAGTCTCTTCTACGTCTCTCTCGTGGTAATGAGACGATCCATGAATACATCCACCGAGCGAAGGCTATCTATGACAAAATGCTCGCGCTCGGCGCTACTGTCACCGAACAAGAACTGGTGGTTGCTCTTCTGGACGACCTTGACGAAGACTATTGTCCATTCACTCGCAATCTCGAGGCGCGCTTGGAACCCATCTCCTTCGAGAACGTCAGCAGCCTCCTTCTCAGCGAAGAAGTTCAGCTCCACCGTTGTCGCTCATCGTCTGGCGAGGTTGGGTCGCCGCATTCTTTTTATTCCTCCAGAGGAGGGCGCAGCGCGGGCGCTACTTACGCAACTGAACCCAGCGGTATGCAGGTCGAGGGTTTCCCAACCCGGGCCGCCCTTCTCACAATGTTTTTGCAGGTGGCCGGCCCAATACAGGTGGCCCAAGGCCTGTCTCATCCGAGGTGCTGGGTGCTGGGCCCTACAGGCCTATCACTTATGATGTGTCACAATTGCGGGGGGAAGGGACATGTCCGAGCCCATTGTCCAAGCCCCATTATTCCTGCCCAGTCCAATTATCACCCAGGCCCATCCTCTTATCTTGCCCAATCCTCTCACCTGGCCCAGTCATCTCAACAGTGGCTCCTTGATTCCGACGCTAATCACCATCTTACCGCTGATTTGGGTAATCTAATTCATCATTCTGAATATAATGGTCCTAATCAAGTCACCTTTGGCAATGGTAAATGCCTCCCCATCTCTCATTCTGGTTCCTCTCATGCTCATCTTTCTAATCATTCCTATGTTCTCGATAATATGCTTCGCGTTCAACAGGCTCCACAAAACCTTCTCTCTGTGAGCTTCTTGACTCGTTCTAATCCTATTTCCATTGAATTTTTTTATACATATTTTGTGATCAAGGATCGCCGCACGAAGGCTGAGCTCTATCGTGGTTGTGCGCGGGATGGTCTCTACTCATTGCCTCTCCATATCCAAAGTCACACTCTTCCTCGTGTCTTCACTGGCTCTCTTGATCTCTGGCATCAACGGTTGGGTCATGCAAATCTCCGGGCTGTTAAACATCTTTTGTCTTCGCATTCAATAAAATACCATGATAGTCTTGATTCTTTGTGTCATGATTGTTCTGTTAGTAAGATTCACAAACTACCATTTCCTTCATCCCAATATCGTGCTTCTGCACCATTAGAACTTATTTGTAGTGATCGTCCCACTCTGTCCCATACCTGAACTCAACTCTCCAAAGGGAGACCCAGTTTACTGCTACCACCTCTTAGCTTCTGCGGGTTCCTATCTTTGGGGCCCCGCTCCTATTCTCTCTTATGATCATCAATCTTATTATGTGTTATTCTATGATCACTATAGTAAGTTCAGCTAGGTGTATTTTGTGCGCTATAAATCTCAACTCCTCAATGTCTTCGTCCAATTTCGCCAACTTGTTGAGAAATTTTTTGGTCTCCCCATCAAAACCTTTCAATCTGATGGGGGGGGGGGGGGGGGTGAATATCAAGCCTTATCTTCCTATCTCACAGCCAATGGCATTACCCATCATTCTTCTTGTCCCTATACTCCTGAACAAAATGGTTGTGCCGAGCGGAAACATCGTCACATTGTTAATAATGGTCTTGATATATTACATCAGGCACATGTTCCGCTCAAGTATTGGTCTCTTGCGTTTGATACCGTGTGCTATCTCATCAATCGCACTCCTACTCCACTTCTCCAAAATCATTCTCCATTCTATACACTATTCAATAAATCACCAGATCTTCAAAATCTCCGTGTCTTTGGTTGTTTATGTTATCCTTGACTTCGGCCTCAAACTTCTCACAAACTACAACCTCGTTCCACTCCTTGTGTTTTCTTGGGTTATAGTGGTTTACATAAAGGTTATCGGTGTCTTGATCGATCTACTGGTCGTATTCATGTCAGTCGCCATGTTCTCTTTGATGAATCAGTGTTCCCGTACAAGGATACTCCTCTCGACCCAAATCTCAATATTTCATCTGATCTGTTTCTCTCAGAACCCATTACACTTCCCGGCCCATTACCCTTGGCTGCACCCACGCCTCCCCAATTGTCTACCTCACCATCTCATAACTCCCCCCCAGCCCACACAAATTCCCTCTGAGCCCACCATAACCCTCCCCAAGCCCACTTCACCCATACCCCAACCCGACCCAGCTACCCCTACCCAGCCCACTTCACCCATTCCCCAACCAGACCCAGCTCCCCCTACCCAACCCATTTCACCCATTCCCCAACCCAAACCAGCTTCTCTTACCTAGCCTACTTGCACGCGCCCTCCGCCGTTGCTTCAGTATTGCCGCCGCCCCGTCCTTGCTCATCCCTCCCAACCGCCTCTTTTGCATTATCAGCGCCGACCGAAACCCGTCTCCACTCCCTCCACCGCCATTCCTGTACAACCCCCCCCCCCCCCTCCCACCTCATCCACCTACTACAACTCGCCCACGAACCTCTCCCAAGCCTTCCATCTCTTCCACCCTAACAAATCGTCCTCCTTTTACTACGTCTCCCCGCATTGTGACATCCCCTGCATCCACACCTCCCCAACGAATGATTACACGAACATAAACAGGCAAGCTCCAACCCAGTCAGTATCTCGATGTTGCTCCATCTGGCGTGCCTTCTACTGTGGCTCAGGCTCTGAAATTACCTCGTTGGCGGTCTGCTATGGTCAACGAATTTGACGCTCTTGTTCGCAACCATACCTGGGACTTGGTTCCTGCCCCTCCCGACTGTAATATTTTGTCTAATCGCTGGGTGTTTGCAGAGAAAACGAATCCAGATGGCTCTCTAGAACGCGAGAAAGCCCGGTTGGTAGCACGTGGCTTTGAGCAGATTCCCGGCCATGACTTCGGCGATACCTTCAGCCCAATTCTGAAACCAGCCACACTACGGCTTCTGCTGGGCATTGTCGTCTCTCAAGCTTGGCCATTACATCAGGTCGACATATCGAATGCATTCTTACACGACACTCTTCAAGAAGAAGTCTATATGCGTCAGCCGGTTGGGTTTATTGATCCAGAACACCCAGATTCTGTCTGCCGACTTCGGAAATCTATCTACGGATTACGCCAAGCGCCTCGTGCTTGGTTCCACTGTCTCTCTCAAGCTCTTCGGGACTTCAGATTTGTGGCATCCAAAACAGATCCGTCACTCTTCATTTACCGGGCTGATTCTGTGGTTCTCTATATGTTGGTCTATGTGGATGACCTTGTAATAATAGGCACAGATTCGAAGGTCATCCAGGAGCTGATGGTTCATCTTCGTTCTCGGTTGCTCTCAGGGATTTTGGCCGACTGTCTTATTTTCTTGGCCGGGAAGTTCACTATACTCCATCAGGCTTGATCCTCAACCAGAGAAAATACATCCTAGAGCTGTTGGAACGCTCGGGAATGGCCCAAGCAAAGTCTATCTCCACTCCCTGCACGCCTGATCAGCTCACACAAAGTGGATCAGCTCTGTCTCCGGCATTCGATAATCCAACCTTGTACATAAGTATAGTTGGTGGTCTCCAATATTTGAGCTTTACTCGGCCAGACATATCCTTTGCGGCCAATCACGTCTCTCAGTTTCAGCAGTCACCCTCTGATGCTCATTGGGCAGCTGTGAAGCGCATTATGCGCTATCTACAAGGTACAATTACACAGGGCCTTCTCTTCCAACGATCGGCTTATTCACAATTACATGGTTAGTCAGATGCATCATTTGCCTCTTGTCCCAAAGATCACAAATCCGTATCTGGTTTTGTTGTTTTCCATGGCGCAAATTTGGTATCTTGGTCAACTCGGAAACAGAAAGCGGTGGCCCGATCTTCAACAGAATGCGAATACAGGGCGCTTGCGACGCTTGCCTCCGAGGTTATTTGGTTACAAGCACTCTTAGCTGAACTTGGACAATCTCCATCAGCATCACCTGTTCTATGGTGTGACAACCTCGGCGCCACATATCTCGCTCACAATCCGGTTTTTCACACACGGTCCAAACACCTAGAGATTGAGTTCCATTTTGTTCGTGATCGGGTTAACAAGCAACAACTACATGTCCGATATCTTCCGGCTACTGATCAAATAGCGGATGTTCTTACGAAGCCTCTCACACGACAATCCTTCCGCAGCTTCTGCTCCAAGTTTCACCTCTCTGAGGTTCCACTTGCGGGGGCGTGATATGGGAGAGACATACTCGGCAACTACCTCTCCACTTCTCCTCTCTCTTCGTTTGTGATTGTTACTTTTCTGTTCTTCTGTTCCTAAGTTTGTGTTAGTGGAGAATTAGCTTCCTTAGGAATAGCTATTAGTTGAGAGTCTCATTGTATAAATACACATCAATAATACAAACATAACTCAGGTTTTCTGAGACTCTTACACCCACATCGTTACGTGACACAATTATCACGGTTCAAATTTATGGATTTGTCATTGTCTATATCTACACTCACTATTACAAGTCTTGGAAGGGCATTTTGGGAAGGTTGGCTTATATGGTTCTATCCATAGGAGAAGGGATTATTGATTGTAGATAAGAATAAGAAAACTTAATTCCCATTAAATTTATATAAGGCTCTCTCCAGACAGAGTCATTGAAGGCCAAACAATGTTACTGCTGATGGCTAAAAAAAGAGATAGGGCTGACAATCGGTTTCTTGGTTAACAACTTATCCGGTAAGGCGGTAATCGTATCGATAACCGATAAACAGGCAAGCAGTGCTTCGGCATACCGACCTCCCTAGTGTCGAGGAAGGGAAACGCGCGGCAAGTAGGGGCCTGAAACCCTAATCAGGCGCCACCCATTCCCATTCGATCGACAATCCTTCCTAGTTCACAGCTTCCCTCCCTTCTCGCGTTCGAGTTTCGATCTACCCCCGGTCCTCTACTCCTCTAAATCTTTCTTCTTTGTCTATGACCTGGCAGCAACAACCAACAGTGAAGTCGAGCAGAAGCAAAGCTTGGAAGTTGGAACAGAGCAGCCGAGAGCAGCCTTAGCGGTTACTCGGTATTACTAGTTTATAATCGTTAATCAGCTATCCGGTTACCGGTTCACCGGTTACAAACCTATACCGGTATTCTAATCTCGCGAGCCCTCTACTGATATATCGATAATCGATCGTTCAGCTACCGGTTAAACCAGTAATTGACCGTTTACCACCCAAAAAAGAGCAGAAGAAAGGAACAGAGTTACAGACCAAAACATTTGGAATTCAGTAACAGCTGCTACTGGACAAGTTTACTTATTTGTATAAGCCAACAAACTGAATCAGTTTTAAAATGTAGACAAATCAGTACAACATCCATATCCTTACCTGTACCTAAATGAGTTCAACATACAAAAGTTTTAACTCATGTTTTAACTTCTTCCCTTGCCGCATCTATGTATAGTCACTTGATTTGAAACTCCCCACTAGCATGAACTTCCTTTACTCTTTTGTCATATTCATCCTCTTCTTCTTCCTCTTCCTCTTCCTCTACCTCTCCATGAATGTCTTCCTCTTCCTCTCCGCCCCACTCGAAGCCCTTGACAGGAGTCGTCGATGTAGGCTTCTGCCGCGCCTCAGTCACGATTTTCATAATGTCCTCCACGCTTTGAACACGGAACTTCGGGTCATCCCCTCTCTTGTAGTACATGGACTGAGCTGACTCGGACATCTCTTTTGGCAAGTTCTTCAAGAACCAGGGATGGTTTTTAATATCCTTTATGGGGATTCTCTGCCACAGAAATGAAAACAACAGATGCATTCTTGTTCGGCCAGAAACTATTGATGATCACACAAGTTACTTCCATATCTACTGCATTACCTTCAGTGGGTTTGCTACAAATATGCGAGACAGCAGGTGTCTGCACTCTTTAGATATGTGCACATAGTCGGGGATCTTGTAATGAACAACCATTATTTTCTGCAAATGTAAAGCAAGTATGCAAACATGGTGAGAACAGCAACAGGTAAAAAAAAGGGTTTTCCTACTTGACCTCCCCCTTTTATTTTGGGTTATGAACAGAGAGAATCAAGGTAGGGGAATCATCCACTTGGATTGTTTTGCAGAAGTTCTTGGGGTCATTTTGGTCTTCAAAAGGGTATGCTCCAACAAGCATAACATAGAGAGTAACCCCACAAGACCACACATCTGCCAACTAAACAATGCAAAATATAATCAGCATATGGCAACATGTCGAGGAGCAGAAAGCACTCAAGACTCATTAGCACGAAAGTGAAGTGTCCACAAAGCAAACAGTTTTGCACAGTTAAAACCAGCATATGGCATGTGCAGCAAGCTCTTGGCGGGCCTTAATTCATGGGTTTACCCACAAGGAGAGATCACTACATCGACTTATCCCAATACTCCACAAAAAAGACAATGCATCGACGACCTTGAAAACGACAAAATCCTCAGTTACAAACAAAACAAACCAAAATGCTAGAATCGAAACCAGCCAGCGGTGAACAAAGGAACACCATCACCCCCACTATTTTAATAGGTTCATATCTCAGCAGTAGATAGGTTACGTGGTCGAATCAATGAAGTAGTAAAGGTTGATACTGCGCAATGTTACTATCCTTTTACCTTGCCGTCTAATTCTCTGCGGGATAGAACCTCCGGCGCTATGTATGCTGGAGTTCCCACTATCGATTTGGGCCTTGAGTGCAGCAAAGATGACTACATAATATATACCAACAAACCATGGAATCAATCAGCACAAAAGAAATGCAACAATGATATAATTTGAAGATCATGTTGATGCCCATGTAAGATAAGGGTGCAGATCAACAAGCAAAACTTCAACAAAGAAGAACAAAACAAAAACCTTTGAATATCCAAAATCACAAATCTTCAAACGACGTGCAGGGCTTCCATTTAGAAGTGTGTTTTCCAGCTTCAAATCTCTGTGGCAGATTTGCTGTCAAAACAGGACAAGGTGGACGCATGATTTAAAAACTGTCTGTAATGATTCAGCACGGAGAAATTTGTATTCTTTACCATGAAGTGGCAGAAATCAACACCAGAGATCAGTTGTTGAAAGAAGTATCTAGCCTGAAAGAGCGAAGCAAACAAAAACTGCATCAAACTACAAGCATTGGGAAAAGCAAGTAGAAGATGGAATCAAGTAGATCTAGGAGGGAAAGGAGAGAGACCTCATCTTCACTGAATCTGCCCGCACTGCAAAACCACTCAAAGAGCTCCCCGCCAGCAGCATACTCCATCACAATTGCCAAGTGGGTTGGAGTCAGAACAACCTGCAAGAAAAAGTGAAGAGCACAGTTGTTGAGAAATTGGTACCCGGACGATTTGATCAGGAAAAAAAAAAGTGAGGACTGTGAGTTCGCCCGGGGGGATTGCCTCCTTGAAGAGAATGATATTGGGGTGCCTAAGCGATCTGTGATTGATGATCTCCCTGGCCACATTCTCGTCTATCTATAGCCAAAATCAATATATCACATCGAATTAGGAAAACCCAAAAAATGGGATTTGAACTCCCATAAAGACAGAAAGCAGACCTTGAGACCTCGCTCCATGTATTTCATGGCAACAAGCTCTCTGGTTTCTCTGTGGCGCAAGAGCCTTGCCACCCCGAAGTTACCAGCTCCTAAATCTTTCACTAGCTCGTATTTCTCCATTTCCTCAAGCAATTTCTTCTCTTATCTAGTTGGAAAGCTATCTACAGAGTATACAAGCCAAATCTCATATGCATATATATATATATATATATATGTTGCAGGTTTATATGATCACTGCCAACAACCAGTGATTACATGAATAGGGACGATATCTACAGGCAGAGAGAGAGAAGTGGGTGGGTCAGGTCCTGAGGAACGCCATGCCCGAATATATTTATCGCTGAATGGAGCAAATGAGCAGGGACTGGAGTGGAGTGGAGGGGGAGGGAAAAGAAAGGAGGAGAGAGTGTGTGTGTGTGAGGAAAAGAAAGAAAACGGTGGGAGAAGAATGGAGATTGCTGATATATATATTATTATAACATCTACAATTTATGGTTAATTTGATAGATAGTGGTACGTCTTTATTCAACTAATTTATTACCATTTACTATGCCTTCAGCTTCAGCATCAGCATCACTGAAACATGAGTAGCAACATGGGACTGAACACAATGAGGAGAAACTTACACTAACCCAGTCTACATAGAACTTTCCATTTGTATAAGCGAGTTTCTTCTTTCTCGGCAATTCGTGAGGAAAGTGACAGACCTACCTGAAGTAGGGACTGTAACCTGTGGCTGAACCAAATTAAACTTACGAATCCTGATTTCCAGTTTCTAATAAACCAATTTTCAACAAATTGAACTTGCCTTCAAGGTCGGGATCTCGCTGAACCAAAATCCCAGGTCCAAAAGACCAAAACCGTCCTTTCTGCCCATTTGAACTTCTTCAATGTTGTTACTATTGTTGGGTCTAGTATTAACCCGCCTAATACTGGCCCAAGCCCACCATAAAGCGTCTCACCTTGGGCCCAAGCTCATTCTAGGGTCCAGCCACCCGGGGGGCGTCCATCACCGGGAGGCGTCTAGCCTACCCGGGGCATCCACCACCGAGAGGCGTCCATTCACCGGAAGACGTCCATCGACGGAAGGCGTCCAGTCTACCGGGGTGTCCATTACAACGGGAGGCGCCCACCACCGGGAGGCGTCCAATGGATGCCTCCGACTCCTATATAAGGAGGCCAGACCCTCCAAGCAAAGGGACTTCTCTCCCTTCCCTCACTTTACCACTTATGGTTCTCTCTCTAAACTCTATCTCTCTCTACATTTCTCTCTACACTCTATCATATATCTATTCTAACTTGACCGTCGGAGTGTAGATCATGGGGGCCGCCCCCGACTCTCCACAGGATTCTTCCACTCCCGAGGAGATCAGACGAGGGAGTCCGGATCGAGGTTCCACACTAATCCCCCGGTACTAATCCGGGTAAAACATTTTGGCGCCCACCGTGGGGCCGAGATTTTGAGATTCTTTTCGTCTGATTTCTGAAGGAGGGAAGAAACCAACTCTTCCTCTCCATATCCCTCCCAGATCCATCACGATAAGATTGGAAGAGCTTCCACTTGGTCTCGGTTCAGTGACAACAAAGAAGACATCAGATCTTCTTCCTCTGTCAACTACAAGCAATCGGCAACAACAAAAACGAGAAAGAGAAGAGATCCCGCTCTCTCTCTCTCTCTCTCTCTCTCTCTCATATCACACAAAAATGCCATCGGAGTATTGGACGAATAAAGGGTTTCTGGTCGCTTTATTATTATCTTCCAAGCACCATTGCGAGAAAGCAAAAAGAAGTCCATAGCCTTCAAAGAATAAGACTCGAATCTACTAGCTAAGAAAAATATGGAAAGATTCGGGTCCCAGTAAATCGGAACTGCTCGCCGTCGTCACCGGCACCACTCACCTCCCCCGCAGTCAACACTGTCATCATCTCTTTCATCATCTTTCTGACAAAGCAGAGTAGTCTCCTGTAAGGGGCAGATCTGCAAAATTCAGAAAAAAGTCAGCTATTTTCTCTCTCTTTGTTAGAAAAGACATACGACACAGTTACCTAGGCGGCCAACCCATCCTAACATAAAAATAAAAAAGAGATGCAGTAGGCCCGCTTCACACAAGCCCACTGCCTCGCTGATGCTACTCCTAGCCCGCTCACCATCCTTCACCCGCATTCCATTAACGGATCCGCACACCTCACGTAGGGGGGCCCAACCCGTCAACAATCAGCCTTTCAACCACCCGCCTTCCGAAATGCGGCGGCCCAATCCGAGAGTGGCCCGTATCCATGTAATCAATAACGGCGCGCCTAGCACGAGGGCTCCCTCGCCACAATCGGATCAAATGCGGCCCATCTGAGACCGCATCGCAGTCAGGCCCACTTCGTCCTCGTTAGCCCAATCCGGGTTCCAGTTAGGGCAGATCTGCAAAATTCAGAAAAAAGCCAGCTATTTTCTCTCTCTTTGTTAGAAAAGACATACGGCATAGTTACCTAGGCGGCCAACCCATCCTAACATAAAAAGAAAAAGAGCTGCAGTAGGCCCGCTTCACACAAGCCCACTGCCTCGCTGATGCTACTCCTAGCCCGCTCACCATCCTTCACCCGCATTCCATTAACGGATCCGCACACCTCACGTAGGGGGGCCCAACCCGTCAACAATCAGCCTTTCAACCACCCGCCTTCCAAAATGTGGCGGCCCAATCCGAGAGTGGCCCGTATCCATGTAATCAATAACTGCCCGCCTAGCACGAGGGCTCCCTCGCCACAATCGGATCAAATGCGTCCCATCTGAGATCGCATCGCAGTCAGGCCCACTTCGTCCTCGTTAGCCCAATCCGGGTTCCAGTTATTAAAAAGAAGAGAAAGTCGCTTCCACCGTGAATAGAACTCGTTAACGCCTTCAACTCAGCAGTAGCTCCAACCAGTAAGCTACAAGACCACTTTGAGAATCAAATTGCGACTCCTACTACTTAGACCGCTTCCTAGCTGTCTTCTACAACTTATTCTCAAGTTAAGTACTTCCTTCTACTTTTAAGATATATTCAAATACGATGCCATAAAGACCGCCACTAATATCATATTATGATATTTCTTGCTACATCATATGCTCATATTTAAAATCTAAGTATATTGGGCACTAGTCACTCACATCTTTCGCAGATTATAAAACCGCATCCCGCATCCTGAGCGATGCTTCCCCTTGAGATAGAAGCCCAAATCCGCTTTCCAGTAGGCGCGACATCGGTATAGCTAACACGATCCCGCCTCCCAGTAGGTGTGGCATCTTCAAAACACAAACGCCGCCTTGAGTTAAAACTCTCAAGTCGTGGGGGCCGCCCTCCCTAGCACATAGCTAACGTCTAATATTCAGCCAACAACTCATGCTTAACATGCACACAAGCTCATGCCCATCTCGCGGTCCAACAGCTTAACGCATACAACTCACAGTTACGGCCTACATATTAGCACGCTCAGCAATGGGCTAGTGGGGAAATCTCAAACGACTTGAGAGCTCTAACTCAAGACATCGAATACTAAACAAAGAAGCAAAGATGATAGCCGCACAAGGGGAAAACCGCATCGTTTGGACTCGCAAGGGTCCAGTCCACTCGGGGGCGTCCATCACCGAGAGGCATCCTGTCACTCGGAGGCGTCCATCACCGGGAGGCGTCTCATCCACTGGGAGGCGTCCATCACCAGGGGCATCCATCACCGAGCGATGGTCGCACAAGGGGCAAAACCGCATCGTGCGGACTCACAAGTAAGGCAAGTTAATACACCTTAACGCATTATTTTACTCCTTCCATTCTTACAGAATACAAGAAGCAAATGGGCAAATGTTGGGTCTAGTATTAACCCGCCTAATACGGGCCCAAGCCCACCATAAAGCGTCTCACCTTGGGCCCAAGCTCATTCTAGGGTCTAGTACACCGCAAGGCGTCCAGTCCACCCGGGGGGCGTCCATCACCGGGAGGCGTCCAGCCTACCCGGGGGCATCCACCACCGAGAGGTGTCCATTCACCGGAAGGCGTCCATCGACGGAAGGCGTCCAGTCTACCGGGGTGTCCATTACAACGGGAGGCGCCCACCACCGGGAGGCGTCCAATGGATGCTTCCGACTCCTATATAAGGAGGCCAGACCCTCCAAGCAAAGGGACTTCTCTCCCTTCCCTCACTTTACCACTTATGGTTCTCTCTCTAAACTCTATCTCTCTCTACATTTCTCTCTACACTCTATCATATATCTATTCTAACTTGACCGTCGGAGTGTAGATCACGGGGGCCGCCCCCGACTCTCCACAGGATTCTTCCATTCCCGAGGAGATCAGACGAGGGAGTCCGGATCGAGGTTCCACACTAATCCCCGGTACTAATCCGGGTAAAAAAACTATCAAGCATAAAGATTTTAATTTAAAAAAAATACTTAGAAGAAAAGTGGTGTATCATCAACTCTAAACTGCTCAACTAAGCTCATTCACTTCCTCCGACTCCCTCAGTCCCGCAGCTTGGGTTTCGTTTTGCCGGCTATCCATCTCAGGTCCCAGCTTGACCAGCCGCCAGGGAATCGTCGGAGGAGCAAAAAGCGGTGGGGTGGGACGCTGAAATTGAAATAGAAAAGGAGAGAGAACGTCGAAATAGAAAGAGGGTAAACCCGTTGCACGAAGCTTACGGTGATCCCGACCCCACTTAAGCCCTTAAACCCCTACTTACGGCTGTTCTTGACAAGGGGAAAAAGAGGTGCGCAGGGGCTTACGGTGTACCTACCCGCAGCCCAATAGACCCTTATACCAATTAAGCGCTATTTACATATTAATTAATAATAATTAATTTTTTTGTTTAAACGCATGATTGGATGCTTATTGCAGTGCTTGTTTCTAACTTTACATTAGAGGAGTTCAAATGAATCGTCCCGTTGTAATCTTAAATCAATTAAAAATTAAGGTTAATACCTTATTTTGGTCTGAACTATGACCATATAATCAACTTTGGCCTGTGGTTTCAGAAATTAACATCATTGCCTCAATTATGCAGCATATAGTCTAGTTTGGCCGGATTTTTGTTTAGACCGTTAATTTGGACGGTCAACACCATTGACTAACGGTCAACGCTCCAGCTCACCGCCATGTCATTAACAAATAAATAAAGAATTCAAAATTCAAATTATTTTTCGTATTTCCTTTATCTAATAAAATAATAAAGAATGGTACAAAAGACGGTAAAAACAAAAAATATTGTGCTCCACCGATTTCCCAGATCCACTAATTTCCCATATCCACCGATTTCCTTCTTCTTCGTTTATGCTTGACCACCGCAGCCTCTCTTCCTAATCTACCAACGAACTCTCTTCCTAATCAACCATGGCCGTCGGAAGGAAGACTGAGTAGCAGCACCAGCCAACCAACCCTAACAACCCAAATCCCCACCACAACGTCAACACCATCCAACCGCCAATGAAAACCTAGCAGCGACCGCTGGAACCCGAATCTCCGCCGCATACTTCCCCCACGCCCTCTACCACACTCCCCTGTACAGCCTCCTGCCGCCGCCAAATCGAGGATGACCTGCCCTCCCTGAGTCTATACCAGCTAGTCAGACTCACCATCGAAATTGCAATTTGTCGATTCAATTTTATGGACTGATTTCTTGGGAACGAAAGGGTTTTCTTGAGGTTGCAAATTAGGGTGTTGCTTCTCTTGAATCCCTAGAATGTTTTCGAAGACGAGATTTACCATGGCTGCCTCAAGTCACCCAGATCCGACCTCCAATCTACGATGGCGACGAATGGATTTCAGATCTCCCACCAGAGGGGATGTAATCTCGTCGATGACAAAAAAAAACCCAATTCTCCGAACACCTATGAGGCCTTCTCGGACTATGTTCTTACGATGTAGTGGTTTCAATCTCTGTTGTTGTTCCTACGTCGCCGAGGAACTGTGGGGAACGGTGATGTTGTTGGTGCAGATCTGGGCTATGGGCTCGGTAGGAGAGCGGTGATTGATTGTGCATATTTGGTGATGGATCGTCAGGGAAGAAGAGTTGGGAAAGGGATGGGGTGTGTGGGCCGAGTGAGAAGAGAAAAGTGAATTTTTTAAAATTAATTAAATTATTAAAAATTTTATTTTTATTTCCACATGCCATCCACGTCAGCATAGCATGCTGATTCACTAACAGTCAATGATGTTGACTTTCTAATTTGACGGAAATTCAAGATTCGGGCCGATTGAGTCTATATGCTGAATAGTTGAGGCCAAGATGTTAATTTTTAAAACCACGGGTCAAAGTTGATTACATGGTCATACTTCGGGCCAGAATAAGGTATTAACCCTAAAAATTATTAGGGTTGTTTGGATGAGTTATTCGTATGAGTTATTTGGGTGGAAATAACCCGTTTATCTACAAAAGTTGGTGATGAGTTATTTGTACTTGAGTTAATTTGAAATAACTCATTAATGAGTTATTGTCAATACCTCATAGGGGTAGTTATTGTGAAATAACTCACAAATACCACACTCTCATTTTGTGAGAAATTCCACTTTTATATTAACTCGTTACCCAACAACTTATCCAAACAACCCCTTCATGACTAAACACGCTTCTTTAATTTGCTGCATTTAACAAACACCCACTTCAATCATCATTCTTAATGTACACATACTTTTTGTAGTCCGAAATCAACAATTACATCCTTTTATCTACTCTTTATCGTATATTACCATGGTTGTAAAACCGATTTATGCTCCACTAGTTGAATCATGTTCAATTAATATCGGGCTTTAAAATATGCGTAAGAGAGCAGTTTTGGTGCATAACTTTATGGTGCACAACCATGCATAATCTTCTACATCCGCGCCATATCACCAATTATGAAAGAGTTTATTCCTTTTTCCTCTAAATTTTAACAGGCTTTATCTCTTTCATTTTAAGTAAAAAAAATTTGGATGAAAATTTTAGCAAAAGGGCATGTTTGATAAGTTTTCCAAAGTACAAGGGCATGTTTGATGTAAAAAATAATAGAGGGGCATGTTTATTAAAACGTCATAGTATAGGGGCATATTATACCTATAACCTTAACTACAATACATAATAGTTACACATCCCTTCTTCCCTCTAGTTTTTCGTCTATGACACCCCACTCGCTCCACTTCTCCCCGTGTGAAAAAAATCCCATCAACTTACTTGTAATAAAAAAATTATTTCACCACTATAAAAAAATTATTTAACTATTATAATTTTATAATTATATTGTCATAAAATTTCTGAATTGTTTCATAAGATTTTGTGTGCTTTCTCTTCTTTCCGGTATGCTTCATGAAAGTTTCGGTGTGATTGCACATATGTTTAGTCTTCTTCAGGGAAGTCGTCCTTTGTTTTATAAGATTTTTTATCTACTTCAGCGAATTGGTAATTATTTTATGAGGTTTGTCGTCTGTTTTAGGAAACTTATGGTCTGCTTTATGAGGTTCTAGTATGTTTCAGGGAACTTGTGGTATACTTTATGATAATTATGGTATGTTTCAGTAAACTTGTGATTTTTTTTATATGCTTTATGAAATGTGTGGAGGGGTGAGGGTCTAGTCTAGTCTGTTAGATAACCTTCCCTCTTCCATTGGGCTTAAGCCCTCTCTTTGCTTCCAGCTCAGGCCTCAAGCCCACTTCTTTTACTCCTCACAATCCAACCATTAGCGGACAACAAATTCTTCCATTCCATCTCCGGCTAAACGCTCAGTCCTTCAGCCTGCCTGGGCTGGGTCTGCCTCTTCTCTTCGGCTCCTTTCCAAGGAAAAGGATAATAAGATAGATAGCTCATCCTCCTTTCCGTTTGGGCCAGCCCACTCTTCCTTTCTTTCCCTTTTCTTTCTTCAGCTAGGCCTAAGCCCGTTTCTTTTGATTGTTCCCAACTAGCACATTCCATTGACCACATTAGGTTCAAAGTCGGGGATATAACTTCCCGAATCCGGTAGTGCAAAAGTAACAGATGGATGAACACAAAGTAGTGGAGGACTGACAGGTCATCTTAGATCTGGCCAGCCGCATCACTTCATTTATAAAAAAAGATACAGCAATGTGTACACCAGATTCAGATTCAAAACGGAAAAGCAAGTGGCATTCATGTCAGGATATGGGGATTTGATGACATGATTAAAGAGAAGATAAGCTATTCATCTGAACTGTCAAGAAAGACACATGAAACTTGCAAATGAGACCCAAATAACCAAAGCTGGTGTTACAGGTCCTAAACAGAAAAAGCAAACTAAACCCCTGAAGATGGATCTATGGATGAGGGAGATCTGGTGAGTTGGCACGGTGGCAGATGATGAACTAGCAGAACTTGGTGCAGAAACAATGCCGGCGGGGACGGGAGAAGGGTTTGGTGCAGCGGCCACCGGAGAAGCCCTCGTCGCGGCACACCATAGCACAGTTGTGGTCTCTGCGACAACCCCCTTTGAAATAACGGCTCTGAGTCGCACAAACCTTCACCCTCGCCTCTGCCACCTTCACCAATCCTGCCTCTTCATCTGTTCCAGTTCATTTCAAACAATTCATAAGGAAGATCAATGAGACTAAGAGAGAGAGAGAGATTGAGAGCACAAAGAATGTGACAGTCCAAATTAGAAGACTCACGGGAAACCATGAAAATGAGCAGGAGCAGGACGAACAGAGAACAGGGACGAGACGGAATCTTCGCCATATATGGGGGGCTTTGTGTGGGGAAGATGAAGGAGTCGGCACAACACAAAATCAGGATTCAGGACACACAAAGCTGATGGATGCGCGCGTTAAAAAGAGACAACTTTAAGAAGCCTGAACCGTGAAGTGTGGAAGATGATGGGATTGGAATGCTCGCTACTACTGTGCATTTGCGTATATATAAAAGTTAAACCAAGATTGGGGGTGCCTCTTTCCCAAGGAAAACACCTAGATTGTGGGGACCATTGCCCTAAAGTTTTGGGAATTGATAAACGTCGTCCTTAAAATTATTATTGATCGTCCTAAAAAATAACAAAGTTACACTTTTAACCTTTTGTCATCTTTAGCAAACAAGCATCACTTTAACTAAAAAAAAGGAAAAACACTCAATTTCCCACACTCTCGAATTCATCGTTGACATTCTCGAGTCGTAATTGTTGGGAATACGTCCGAATCATGAGTAGCGACTCCGATGAGGTTAGTAATCCGATTTTTTTTCAAAAAAACCCAAAACCCCTCAACCGAAGCCAATTTTCGGTTGTACCATGGCTCAACCTAAGGCAATTTTCGGTTGTACCATGGACCAACCGAAAATTGCCTTAGGTTGCACCATGGCTCAACCGAAGCCAATTTTCGGTTGATGGTACAACCGAAAATTTCCTTAGGTTGAGCCATGGTACAACCGAAAATTGGCTTCGGTTGAGGGGTTTCGGAATTTTTTTGGATTTTTTTTGTTTTGTATCAATAATTTTCTATTCTTTTACTACGATTTATGGTTCGGTCCATAAGATAATTTGTTGGATTTTGGTTTATATTTTTTTAGATTTATGAAAGGGGAGGGGTTGTTTGTTTTGTGTTTGATTTTGAAATTCAAAATGGGCAATTCGGTAAATTACATATTAAGTTAGGACGATGGTTAGTAATTTTTAGGACGACCTTTAACCATTCAGAAGTTTTGCACCACCCCACACTATAAAATCAAGGGTAATTATCATAAATGGTCACAAAACTATTCACTTTATACAAAACGGTCACAAATTTTTAATTTTGCACGTTTCAGTAACATATGTTTGGACTAATAACAAAACGGTAATTCCGTCCATCTACATCCAAAAACCCGTTACTTTCGCCTAGTCAGCACGCCACGTCATTTAAAATATCAATAATATATTAATGATCAAACCCAATTAAACCAATAACCTAACCGAAAACCCTAATTCTATACCCACCAACCCAAATCCTCGCCCTATTCATCCACCCGCTCTACTTCTTTCTCCCTTTCGTCGTCGCCAAGGACCTCTGCTTCTCGATAGACCACCACCTTGCCGTCAAGATCACCCAATTGGCGGAAGTGCAAGCTTGCTTCTCGCTCCGCATCGTGGCCTGCGGGGCCACCAGCGGAACCTCCGACCAACTGCTCGCCGCCCTCGACTACCAATCTGCCCACAAGTTCGCTAATGTCCATAAGGTCTTCAGCGCCAGAAATATCAACAAGATGCTTCAGGTAATTAATTAGCTTGCCTTCTTTCTGTTTCTTCTTATGCCTTCGATTGGTCATAAGTACAATAGCTAGCTCCCAGCCATGGCCAAAAATCCTCACCGCTCGAATTCATTTGGTCAATTTTCCTTTTCTAGTTGGCCCTAGCATTTCCCGTCCACTCTCATAACCAAGAGAGGCAGTCGAACCTGTCAAATTCACTCTTTCAAAGTGAAAGGCTGGGGGATCTGGTACCGCCATAGGATGAGGAGCGGGTGGGGTTGGGAGGCGAGGAGATGGCGGCGAGGTAATTGATGAACGCGGTGGGGAGGCGGTGCTGGAGTCGCCGGAACTGGCGGCGTAACTTGGCTCATGTTTCTGTCTCTAATAATGAGAGTGGGTGGAAAGAAATAGTTTTTTCGGTTGGGTTACCAGTTATGGGTTTGGTCATTAATATTTTATTGATATTTTAAATGACGTGGCGTGTTGACTAGACGAAAGTAACGGTTTTTTGGATGGAGATGGACGGAATTACCTTTTGTTATTAGTCCAAACATATGTTACTAAAACGTGCAAAATTAAAGGTTTGTGACCGTTTTGTACAAAGTGAATAGCTTTATGACCATTTATGATAATTAGCCACAATGCAGTCAAAAGCGCGATTCTACCTAGAAACGGAAAAGGTGTAAAATCAAAAAGCGTAGAATCAAAGCGTAAGTTTTTGACACATACTGTAAAATAGCTAAAAATCTATTAAGTACAACAAATACTATGTAAAATATTAGAGCTCGTAATTTAGATAAGTTAATAAATGCTTCCAATTCACGTTTAAAGTAAAGCAACTCATAACATCTTAACAATAAGTTCATTAAGATAGGTCTTAACAATAAGCCACATTCTCATCTATGCTAATGAATTTGGGAAGGGCCTAGCAGGTGAATTCCATACCTCTATTTAAATTGAGAATGCATCCAACTACCTGGTATTTATCTTTTGATCTCAAATGTATCGAATTGTTGCTGATTTACCTTTAAAATATATTTTTTATAATTAATTTCATGAAAAGAATACCCATTTAGTGAATAGAAGCCTAAAAGCGTAAGCGTTTTGGGGAACTAGAAGTGTAAAAGCGTAACCTTTTAAGCTTTAAAGCGCAATTTAGTCCGATTTTATACACTAAAGATTTTATATGAAAACGAAAACGTTTTGGTGTCCTAGAAGCGTAAAACCGTAAGCTTTTACGCCTTAAAGCGCGATTTTGACTGCATTAATTAGCCATAAAATCAATGTTCTGAAAATTGAATGGACTATGAATCGATATAGAGAACAACTCATATTTTACTAGTTTAACCAGCATTAATTCGTTAAAAAAGTTGTTAATGAATCTACGCCTTATAGATAGTGATATTGCCAGAATTTTAGTTTAGGTAGTTTCAATGTAATGAAATAACATAGAATTTATTGATGTATTCATGATGTGTTTTCATATTATGAAAAGTAGTTAAAATACATCACCACATTCTCTTTGGCCTTGGCACTGTCGAGCTTTGCTGGCGCGGATCATTTGGTGTCTCCATGCTTCTCTTTGGATTACGGTGGTGTTCGTGCCTCGGAGATTCAACGCATTGGTTGATATTGGGTGGTGGGTCAAGCTCGGCTGGGTTGCCTCCCAATCAATGTGAGAAGACTTCACCCGGCATATTGTTCACCCTACTCTTGTGCTAAGATGCGATCAATGGAACTCGAGTGTGATTAGATACCATGAAGAAGATGCAATTAGTTGGGAAACCCAACTCTACTAATCAATCAACTAAAGGGTATCACAAAAAGCTAGAAAATCTAACTCTCTTAGTTAACTGACTAAGGATTGCAAAAGTCAATCCCTCGGAGATCAATCCGGAACGATGAAAGGAAACCAATCATGATACAATCATTGTGCCAATTCGATGTTTGAGGTTTGTTCTCAATTGTCCTAGAAGGGGTTAACCAAATTGTCAAGGTATGGGCTATGAGGGGATTTTCTCCTCCTAGATCAAATCAATCCAACAATGAGATATGATAAACAATCACTCAAGAATCATGAAAAATACCTCAAACATTATATTAATCACATAATCATCACACAAGAGTTCCACTTTTACACACTACACATCTTATACTAGGGTTTCCAATATCCAAGTGAAAAAGGGAGACTACTCCATAGCTAGGAAGGGGAATACAACTAGGATGGAAGAAGAAACCATGGTGAGATGACTATCATTCCTTCTTGTTGCTTGAATCTCCCTTTGGAGAAGCATTCTTCAACCCTCTATCCTTGGGTAAGCCAAAACCATTTTCTTCCTCTCTTTTGCTCGTCACTTTCTCTCTCTATTTGAAGAAGAAGAAGTTAATCTCACTCTAGAACCTCCGCCTTTTAGGTTTCAGCTCCCTCTTATTTATATACTCCAGTCGCGCAGTTTTCACGGTCAATTATCACGCTCGTGAAGTCGAAGGTCTGCCCCTGAACTCGGGCAGAAACGCACCATTAAACTAATAGACTTCACAGAATGATGGAAATTGTCACAGTCTGGTGACTGTGAACTTTGACTTGCCCATGAGCCATCCTACGTTAGCTTCCAAGACTCCGTCAATTGTCATGGTCTATACTCCATCTTCATGGTATCTCGCCCGTGATAATTGTCTTTTGCACATGATCTATGTCCTTTGTCCATCCTTGCTCGTTTTCCGCCCACTTTCGTTCGATTTTTTATCCTGGAGATAATTCCGCCTGTTAAGATCTGAAACATGCTAAAACACGCACAAACCTAGCATAAAATTGCTCATCGGGCGATGCAAATGCCGTAAACATCTCTAGTAAAAGGGCAAAAATGTGCAATTACGACCGAATCAATAGATAATGAATCAAATTGAAGTAATGGTATATCTAGAGACTCGTCCATTCAATAATTGTATTACTTTACTTACCCTGTACTACACTCGATCTTCAATTAAGTTTGGCTTTTGATTGGTAGTGAGTAGTTAGGTATGAGTCAGGACGTATGTTGTATATATGATCATTGTTAATTACTTGACAGTATGCTGTCAATTTGCTCAGCCAAGGCGTCCACAACCTGACTCAATCTCATATAGATGTGGCCACGTGTACTCTTACTTTGATTGTGTACTATGATGCTGATTGGGGAGGGTATCCCATAATTCGCCATTCCTCTACTGATTATTTTATTCTTCTTGGCAATGTCCCAGTCTTCTGACGTATGAAAAAACAATCAGTTTCCCCAAGATCATTTGTTGAATCTGAGTATTGTTTTATAGCTACAACAGTTAGTAAACTCATTTAGCTTCGATGGTCACTTACAGAGTTGGTTATTCGCAAGCCGCAACTACTCCTCTTCATTGTGATATTCAATATGCTCTCACATCTATGATAATTCGATTTTTATGAACACAATAAACATGTCGAAATGGATTGTTCTTTTGTTCGTGAGCAGGTTTAAGCTTCTCATATTGCCTCTTGTAAAATTGTGAATGATGAACAACTGACTTATCTCTCATCAAAGGTCTTAAACTTGATAAGTGTCGTCATTTTCTTTTCAAACTTGGTATGTTGTGTCTCCACTTGAGAGGACGTGTTACATATCCCTCTATGCACATGGGCTCTTGGCTGCACATGTGTGCCTTGTCTAGGTCTTGCGGTCCAAGCTTCGTCCTTGTTGACCTAGCATTCCTTTTCCATATCAAAATGTTCTTTGTTTCCTTGTACGCCTCTAGTAAGATTGCGAGTGATGAAGAAATTGCTAATCTTCACATCAAAGGCCATGAACTTGATATGTTAGATTATTTTCCTAATCTTCTTAGCCTAAAAATTATTAAAAATTATAATTTAGATTATTTTCCTAATTTCTATTATTTATCATTATCAAATTAACCAAAAAAATTTAAAAAATATTGATAATTTTGGGTTAATTTATAAAATTTTGGTTTATATATTCTTTTTTTCGTTGAACCATATTCTTCTCATTAAACTTACATCGCAAATCACGATGCCTGAATCGATACAACGAAATGGGAGACTAGTTGTAGTCTTCCCAGCAATAGCAATTCTTATTTCCACTTTTCTCCACCATCTACTATGATTTTGTTCTTCTATCAGCAACTATGGTATCTATCAAGTAAACCTATACTTTCAAAATCAGAAGACAAAAGTATATCACCACTCAAACGACAACTCAAATCATATTGAAAGCCTCTCCAAACTTCCTCCACACTCATGTGCTTCTCACCATGGAATCTGCGACATCGCTCTCTCCATATTGCTGCAGATAGGCCACACCAGAGCACACAAATAGTCCTCCCTGCTGGGTTATGCTTCTTCGCAAATCCACTTGCCAGCATCACTGCTCTTTTCCAGGGTTCCACAAACCACTAGCTAACACCAGCTACCTGCACAAGCTGTTGCACAAACACACATGCAAAGAACAAATGCTCTCTGCTCTCACTACTGAATCCACATAGCAAACATTGATCATCACTGATTTTACCCCATCGAAACAGCTTGCTTCGAGTTGTCAAAGCATTAATCATTATTAGCCAAGAAATAAAACTAAATCTAGGAATACTACACTTTCCCCATATCAACTTACTCCATTCCTGCTTGCTGCACTTAGGACGGAGTGTGGTCCAAACCCTTTTTGCTGAGTACTGCTCCATAGGTTTTCCTTCCCAAAACATCTTATCCCCCTGCCTGGCGAGGAGATGCTGCACTTTAGGACGAAGCAGCAGGACTTTCCTCCACGCCCAAGAGCTGCTGGAGTTCACCTTGAGCTGCCACACATCCACCCCTTTACAGCGATAAGCTACTGCCCAGGCCACCCATAGAGCAGCCGATTTCATCAACATAAGCCGAAGAAGTCGTAGTGAGCAAGCTTGATTCCAGGTTGTCAGATCTCTCAATCCTAGACCACCCTCAAATTTAGGGAGTGTAATACGCTCCCAAGCTACCTTTTCCCTTCCTATTTCCTCACCATGCCATAGAAAGTCTTGGCACACCTTCTGAATTCTCTTCCAAATCTTCTTCGGTAGTATAATGATCTGCAACCAATACTGGACTACACTCATCAGCACAGAGGAAACCCTGCATAAGTCAGTTTCTTAGATCTCCAGGACTTGATCTTCTTTGTGATTTTACCAATGAGAACATCATACTCCTTATCTGTGAGTTTACCCGAGTGCGAAGGCAATCCTAGATATCAAACTGGAAGTGCTCCTTCTTTAAAACCAGTAAGATCAATGGCATTCTGTTTGTATTTCCAAGACTCACCCCCAAAATATATTTCACACTTACTTGGGTTACAACGCAATCCAGACAGCATGTAGTAGGATTGCATTATTTTTTTTAACCCTGTTGATTGCCTGCCCTGATCCCTCTATAGATATCAACAAGTCATCTGCAAAGCACAGATGACTGATTGCCACCTGCTTGCATCGAGGATGAAATGGAAGCTTCCCTTTCTGCATAGCCTCATCCAGTAAACCTATTAGACCTTCCATTGCGATGCCAAAAAGATATGGAGAAATCGAATCTCCCTGTCTAACTCCTTTGGCTGCCTTAAAGAACCCACACAACCCTCTATTTATATTTAAACTGAAATGGGTAGTCTGCAAGCAAACCTTAATCCAACTTAGAAATTCATCTGGAAACCTCATTGCCCTCATGAACTTAAACAAATAGTCCCAACTCACCGAGTCAAACACTTTCATGAGATCAACTTTAGTCGCACAACGAGAAGATAACACTCTCCTATGATACCTATTAACGAGTTCCTGAGCCAGCATGATGTTATCCATAATTCTACGCCCTTTAACAAACGCAGTCTGATTTGGACTAATCACTATAGGCAAAACTTCTCTAATCCTCTTGGTCAACATCTTAGCAACAATCTTATAGACAACATTCACACACGATATATGTCTAAAATCTTTAAGATGAGAAGCATTTGGTACCTTTGGACATAGCGAGACAGCAGTGGAATTAATGTCATAATCATTCTTTTGGTCTGGAAAAACTCTAAGATAGCACTGGTCACATCTTTGGGTTAATAGCATTTGGTGTCCCTCTACTATCACAAATTAACAAACGTACCCCTATCCTATATTTTTGCACAAATGTACCCTTCTAATATCATAACGTAACAAAAATACCCTTCCATTAAAAAAAACTGTCAAGTAACCGTTAACTGGAATGGAAAATGACCCAATTACCCTTACTAAAACTAAATAATAATTTAATTTCATTGGATGCCCGGGGAAAAATCCATAATTTCTTTCAACCAAAAAAATCCCTAATATCCCTACTATAGTCTCCGACCAATCGACCTTCCCACCAGTCCGACGGTCACTCTTCACCTCCGCCGTCCACCAAATCCTCCGACGGAAACCCAGATGACACCGACCCAAGTCCCCGACGAGGAAGCCAACTTGTTCGCGATGAAGCTGGCTAGCGCCTCCGTCCTGTCCATGGTGCTCAAATCGGCGCTCGAGCTCGACCTCCTCGAGATCATTGCCAAAGCTGGCCCCGGGGTTTGCCTTCCCCCTGCCGCATCCTGCTCCGTACTCACTTGCTCCCTCCGCACCCTCCCCCACGGAATCGTTCAGCGTCTCTACGGCACTGCCCTTGTCTGCAAGTTCCTCATCAAGAACGAGGGCAACGTCTCCATCGTCGCGCTCATGAACGAGGACATGGTCCTCGTGGAGAGATGGTAATTAACTGTGTTTCCCCTGATTCTAATTTCGATTAATTAACATCTAGGATTTAATTAGTTTGTTTCTTCAACATTGGAATTTCTACTCAATCAATGTTCTCCCTGTAGCTCCAAAATTGATTGCAGTTCTCCGCCGACACCCACTTGATCGGGAAGCCGAATTGGAACTGGAAACGAGCAGAACTTTGGCGTTAGCGACGGAGGAGTGGTCGAACTCGGTCTCTGTTCAGAAGGAGGGAGAAGTTGGTGCAGAAGTGCAAGGATTCTTCGACGTCGACGGAGGGACGCTTTTGTTTGCGTTGGTGGATGTAGCTTTGGCAAAGTCCGGGAGAAGGAATTAAAAGGGTCTCGACATGTGAAGGGGTGGGAGGGATGGAAATGAAATTAAATTAGGGATTTTTTTCGTAAGGATGATTTGAACTGTTGCAGTTTGCAAATGAAAATAAATTATAGTTTCGGTTTTAGTAAGGGGTAATTGTATCATTTCATACCCCAATTAACAGCCACTTAACAGAATATTTAACAGAAGGATATTTTTGTTACATTGTGATATTAGAAGGGTATGTTTGTGCGAAAATATAGTACATGAGTATGTTTGTTAATTTGCAATAGTAAAAGAGCACAAAATGATATTAACCCCACATCTTTCCCCACTATATGCCATGTCTTCTGGAAAACCCTGCAGTAAACCCATCAGGGCCTGGGGCTTTGTGAATGTCCATACTGAAAATCGCCTCTCGTACATCTTCCTCCTTGAATGGACTACTTAACATACTCCACTCAAAATTAGTCAACTGCCTTGTGATTACCTCCCTGATCCGCTCTTCATTTGCAGACACCTCATTTATCACACCAAGCCTTTGTAAAATCGAATCCCTTCAGCTGCAATTTCATCGACATCAGTCACTTCAGTCCAAGAGTCTAATATCAACTTCCTTATCGCTGTTTTTGTCGTTCGAATCCGCACATCTTGATGGAAAAATCGAGTTCCCTGCTCACCTTTGGTAAGCCAAGATTCTCTAGACTTCCTTTTAAAGAAGTCCTCTTCAGCTTTCCTTAACATTTCAAATTGCTCCTGAAGCATTTTCTTATCCTTGAAGTGCTCTTCTGTTGGTTCCATTAAGGCAAGTGCCTGAGAGACGAGAAGCTGTTGTTCCACTACTCGTACTTGTTCACTAATATTGTCATACACTTCTCTGTTTAACTTCTTGAGCTCTCTTTTCATAGCTTATTTTGCATTACATACAGCAGATTCCCTGTAAATTGAGTATCTCATACTTGTTGTACAGTTCCCAGAAACTTTGGATTATCTGCCCAAAAGTCAAAATATTTAAAAGGCTTAGGGAGGCTCTTGATTTCTGGATTTGTATTAACTAAAATCCCACCATGATCTGAGAAGTTTCCCATAATCACCTCCATTGTGCCATTCAGAAAACTCTCAATCCAATCAACATTCACAAGGCCTCTGTCAAGTCTCTTTGCTATAGCCTATAGGGTTTGCTTCCTGGTTATTAGACCAAGTAAAGATAGCTCTCATAGTCCTATAATTTACTAACTCCATAGCAGTTATCCAGGTTGAAAAGTCCTCCATACTCGCAGTCATATAAACGCTGATTTGATGTCTCTTCTGGATTCATGACTGCATTAAAATCACCACCTACAATCCAAGCTTGGCCCATCACCTTATATCTACTCAATTCTGCATATGTATCTCGTCTCTCAACCTCATCATTTGAAGCGTAGACTGCAGTGAAAAAACAAGTCTCACCCGAACCACTTTGAACAAAGCAATGAACAAAATTCTTACTTGGCTTGAGAATTGTGAGCTTAGCGGTAGCTACTGCTTTTGCACAGCTACCAGCTAACGATGACTTCCAACGAGTGGTTAATGGTGCAAGGCCACGAGTCTGGCCGCCTTAGCTAGTCCTAATAGTGTGTTGCACGTTTCTCCATCTTCCTTTAGTGTGCTCAGTGACATTGATGAATCTGAGGTAGTAAAACTGCAGGATGCCCCTAGGAAAGATAGTAAGAAGTTGGGGGCTAAGGCCCTGGCTTCCAGATGATTTTTCTGTATTGGAATGTTCGAGGGTTTAATAAGCCCTCGAAACGGCAGGATTTTGTCAAAATCCTAAGAAAGTATAAGGTAGATGTAGTTGCTGTTCTTGAGACAAGAGTTCATAAAAATAAAGCAGAACAGAAGATTGAAGGCTATTTTGATAGTTGGGAGAAATCTTTGAACTATGTTGATTCTGACTTAGGAAGGATTTGGTTATTTTGGTTTATATAATTTTTTTATGTATTTTATTTAATAAAATGTTCTGTCTGGACAATTTGTCCCTCCATCTCTTATTTTTGCCCGCTGCCAAACCTCATTGCCCTTTGGCCCCTGGTCCTCACTTTCTCTCTCTCCCTGCCCATCTAGATTGCATGTATCGAGAGCCTTGAGAGAGAACTAAACGTGTTAATTCCCATAATACAAGATTAATTAAACATAATTCCCATAATACATCATATTTATAAAATTTTCCCAAACTACCCAAGTTTCAAAGAGTTCGAGTCCCATAAACTCGAACAAAAAGTCAGTTCGACGATAAAGAACTCGAACTAACACCACATCGAGTTCTTAAAACTCGATCAACTGTAGAACGATTTTGAAAGAATCGATCAAGGTAGATCGACGACAAAGGACTCGATCAATGTAGAACGACTTTGGAGAACTCGATCCAATTAGATCGATGCCAAACAACTCGATCAAGTTAAACGACTTTAGAAGCCTCGATCCATATCTGCACTAGATCGATGCCTTACAACTCGAACAACCTAAATCAATTCCTATAGCCTCGAACCACTGGTCAATTATCTACAAAGTCACTTTCCCCCAACATGCTTCAGGATAGGGTTACAGGGATAAGACTCTTTGTTGTACTAGATCGAGTTCTAAGGACTCGAACTAGTGTAGTTCGATTACCCTAGACTCGAACCACTGCTCAATCATTCTGTCCAATCGCTTTCGGGCGTACATGCTCCATAATAGGGTGCAGGGGTAAAATTATTGGTTGCCCTAGATCGAGTTCTCTGGACACCAACTACTGTAGTTCTAGTTCTTTGGCCTCGAACCACTGCATAAGTTTACGAGGATAAAAATCAAGCACTTAGCACATTCTGGCAGCTCTTATACTTTCTATCTTCTTTCTTCCAAACACAAACTGCAACAGCTGGAGCACCATAACTTAGCAAAGAAGAAAAAATTTGGAGGTAAATTCTGCTTACGTTGTTTGAATAAGCATATTAGAATTGTGGATTAATTTAGTATTGTTTGAACTGTATGTAATGACCTGCTTCTATAAACTGCAGAAATGGGTAGACAATTTCGAAAATTCGACCTATTGATTCGGTGGAATGGTCGAATTACACATTTTCATAATAGTGTTGACTACGAAGATGGTGAATGAAGTACTGTCTGGATTGAGAGCATATTTACTTGGAAAGAACTCAGACATATTTGTGCGGAATGATGTTGCATAGGAGGGCGAAGAGTATGAAACATGACTTACCGTATGACGGTTTACAAGGATTATGCACTTGTATACGAAGGATCAGTTCTGTCTGACGATGATGACATTAATATGATGGTGAGATTTATTGCAAAAAACATATTTCCAACTGCTGAGGTGTATGTCGAGACAGAAGTTGTTGGCCAATATGGTAGCGGCGGTTATACCGAACAAGGTGAAGGATCGGGAGGGTTTTCCGGTTCAAGAGATTTCAGAGTTCTGCATGATGCACCATGGACAACATATGAGGATCGAACTGCACCTGGTTCATTGGTGGAACATGACGGACATGAGTGGCCAGTATGGGGTGAAGAATGGGATTGCATAAAGGCACCCAGACAAGCATCTACACCAGCATCTGGCATAAAAAATGATTTGTATGTGGATAAACCAAGTCCTCCGTACACTAGCGAAGAAAACGACGTGGAAGATGAAGATTTAGAATCAATGAGTAGTTCAGATGGTGAAGATTTGGAAGTTGATGAGGGGGAATTTGAGCCCCCCACACCTCACTACACGATGGTGCCACAACATCCTCTATATGCTCACAACGATGATTCTGACCTCCCTCCTATACCTATCTGGACTCCTGATTCTGGATTCGTGGTTGGCCAAACATTTGGAGGAAAGCCTCAGGTGGTCGATGCATTGAAAGAAACTGCTTTGCGAAGAAGTTTTCAATATCGTGTCATCACTTCCGACACTAAACAAATTCATGTTTGTTGCGAGAACCATGGTGACGGATGCATGTGGCATGTTCGGGCGGCATATGTTAAAAGAAATGGGGTTTGGCTCATTCGTAAGAATGACAACAACCACACTTGTAGGTCGTCACTGATTTCTCTAGATCACCGACAATTGAGTGCAAGGAAGGTTGCACAAACAATCAAACATCTGATTGAGGCACAACCTGGGATCACCGTACAGAGTGTCATAAACAAGGAAGGTTCACTCTCCAACGTCATTGATGCAAGTTCCAATCCATCAACCTAAATAATAAACATGTTAGTCAAACACTCTTTGTGTAGCTAAAGTGATTATAGTAAATAGATATTGCGCTTGCCAACAAACCGATCACGGCGCCACATTTGGTTACCCATCTTTTGTGAATTTGCGGTACCAAACCATGTATTCATCTTGGTACCCCCATTAGCCTCGTCATTGGGATGCCATCAATTGCATACGTCTGACGAGACTCCCACATTTCAATCCATCTATGGTGCTTGGTTGGCCAATCACTGATTGTACCCCGCAAATCCTTGATGTACTTGTGGAGTGACTTATGTACGTCCGGTGGTGGGAGAGGAATCGGTTGCGCCCAATTATATTGTCGGACACATCTATCCGGGAGGTGCCACTCGACAATGTTGTGGCAAATCACAGGCAACTTGCACGATCAGAGTTGACGATCCTCAGGGTATCGCAACTCGTATAAATCCTTTTGCTCCTTTCAGATACGGATCCCACTCCACCTAAGTTTCAACACGACAAATAAATTAATATCGAAGCAAATAATTTCAACAAATAAAATAGGATTCATAATCATAAAAATAAATCATGGGTCAAGACAAATAATTTCAACAAATAAAATAGGATTCATAATCATAAAAATAAATCATGCGCCAAGACAAATAATTTCAACAAATAAAATAGGATTCGTAATCATAAAAATAAATCATGGGCCAAGACAAATAATTTCAAAAAATAAAATAGGATTCGTAATCATAAAAATAAATCATGGGCCAAGACAAATAATTTCAACAAATAAAATAGGATTCGTAATCATAAAAATAAATCATGGGCTAAGACAAATAATTTCAACAAATAAATTAGCATTCATAATCATAAGCTAGAATGTTATCTCGTTAAATTCTTTACGGTCAAGATGTTGGCGGTACCCGTCTAGAGAGGTGAGTCTCATGATAGCTCCAATCAATCTAGCACCATAAGCCGATTGTCGTAGTGGCTCTTCGGGACCCCAACTGTTGGCAGGGCAGATCGGAGCAAAAGTAGGAAGGTGCTCCCAAACCCATAGTTGGAGGATGAACATGGGACCACCCGCTTGCTTTGTTTTCGGGTCCGTACACTTGCACAACTCCGAATATATCATCGCCAAACAAGCAGATCCCCAACTTTTTCTCCCAATCTCGTCCCAATCTTCCAAAAGAACTCGAAGCCACATACAATGCATATTTTCACAAGACTTGTTCGAAAACAAAAATCCTCCAACCAAACAAATCAGGTAGATGCGAGCATACCTCTCTATCTGAGCATTCGTGGCATCCTCCGGTAATTCTCCAGCGATCCTCACTAGCCAAGGTATCAATAGCATAGACTTGTGTAGAGGTGCTACACGACGACCTTGTAGTGCTTCCTCGGGGATGTTGATGCCTAAACGCTCGCTTATAAATTGGCCCCAACCATTCAATGGTTTCTGTGAACTTTCTATTATTGCATCACCATCGAATGGAAGCTCTGTCAGCATGGCCACGTCCTTCAACGTAATCGTCATCTCTTCCTCCAGAAGGTGGAATGTGTGCATTTCTTTTCTCCATCTTTCCACCATTGTTCTAAGAAGGTTGTTGTCCATCTCCATACCCACAAATTTTCGCACCCTCAGCAATCGCGCTCTTTCAATGAAGGGCTCGATCCGATCATCCCATTTAGGCAAGCGAGATAGCGACCGATGGGTGATTACGTCAAGTTGTTCCTGTAGAAAAAACATTAATTATTATACAAAAAAATTAGAAGAATACTATCACATTTAAAAAAAGAAAAGTACATGAGGAAGTGCTTACCGGATCAACCGCCCAAACACTTTCAGACCGATGGTAAGGTTGTGCATCCAACAAATAGGTTTCTCGCGGTCCGTCTTGAATGTATAATCTAGGATTGTAAATACTCGGGTCCATCTCGACAATTTTGAGTGATAGAAGTACCAAACTAAAGAAAAAAATTTGATGCGGAAGATCGGGTTTAGAGTGGTGGAGGAAGAGAGGAAGAAGAATGGAGTGGAGTGAGCTTTGGTGGAATGGAAGGGGGTATTTATAGGTTTTGTGGGAGGAAGTGGATCGAGTTTAGGTCACTCAAACCACATCATCGAGTTTGGTGTCTTCGATCTGCGTCAAAAGCAGCTCGAGGGATGACAGATCGAACGACCCAGATCGAGTTTGGAATACTCGATCTACGATAGAGCGTGTCTGACGTCATCGATCCGCGTCTAATGGATCGATTTCCAAAGAATCGATCCACCTTCATCGCGTTCCGCCCACTCAATCCACGTCACCACTGCTTCGCTGATATGGCCATCGAACGGCCTAGATCGTTTCCCGGTAACTCGATCTAGGGTGGAGCGCTGCTTATATCATCGATCCAGGTCTGTTAGTTCGAGTCTCCTGTGCTCGATCCATGTAAGTCGAGTTTAATAACCTCGATCCACGTCGTCCTATGTCAGTCAATTGTGGCCCTTTTCGCTCGATGCACGTGGATCGATGACTTGGCAATCAATTCTGCACTTGTTCAAGTTTATTAAACTCGAACCGTGTCAAATTTTGGTAGTTTGGGAAATTTTTATAAAAATTATGTATTATGAGAATTACTTTTAATTATTCCTGTATTTGGGGAATTAATCCGAACTAAACGAATGTCTCTCAATGTTGAGTCACTGATGAATATGAAACTCATTTGCGTTGGATCTGAAAACGGCCCATATATGCAGAACTAAACATTAAGGATGAGAAAGAAGTAGCGCAACCGATAGATCATTTGCCTACTTCTTGGTGAAAAAAAAAAAAGATCGATAGCTATAACAAACAACAACACAGAACAGAAGAGGAGAAAGCAAATCAAAGAGGCGGAAAAATGAAAGTAGCAAAAAAGAGGCCGGCGGAAGCTCGCCAACTAGTCTGGCCTTATTACAGCTGGGAAACACGAAATAGAGGAGGGCAGCGACCGGCCGGGCAGGCAGGCAGGCAGGGGGCACCGCTCGTCATAACTAGCAATTCCTGGTGCAGAAGCAACGGCGGCGGAAACCCTGGCATTCGCCGCCGGAGAAATGTTCGAGCCTGCAGACCTGGGCACAGTTGTGGTTTCGGACGCAGGTTCCCTTGAAGCCGTGGCTTTGCGACGCGCACATTCTCCCCTCCGCCACCATCACTCCCTCGCCTCCTTCCCCTGCAATCACAAAAGCTCATCAGCAACAGATTGTGCACGTAATAGTTGCAGTTAACATATAAAAATTAATTTAGCCTGTTGCTAGATGTCTATAAATTGTAAGTTACTGACGAGATGGGTGCAGGAGAAGCAGCACCACCAGCACAACTGCAAAGAAACTCATTTTCCCCATGGTAGTGGATTGCAACAATAACACTCTCTCTCTCTCTCTCTCTCTCTCTCTCTCTCTCTCTCTCTCTCTCTCTCTCTCTCTCTCTCTCTACTGCCGATGCGACTAGATCTAGTTATGAGTTATGACAATACGCTCTCCATCTATGGTGCGCAATGCCAGGTATATATAAAGGGGAGATGGGTCTGTATCCGGAAAAGTAACGTTCATTTCCAACCCCTGGATGGCCCACCTTATTTTGTTTCTCTCTCATCCCAAGTAAGAACAATAGAACATACAAGCATAAGCAAAACAAAATATTTGAAATTGGGTTAATAGCATTTTGTATCGCTCTACTACGGTAATTTAGTAAACGTACTCATTTATTTAATTTTTTACGAACATACCCTTCAATGTCTCGCCGGCCAATCGGTCGAAAATCACTTCAATTTCAAGGTGGCCGAAAAAGATGCACCCTAAGCTAGCGGCGGAGGAGTTGGATGGCGAAGTAGAAGCTGGCATCGGAGGAGTAGCTGGGTCGATGATGAAGGACGATGGGTTTGGTTAGGGATGACAATAAAACCCATGGCCGCGGGTACCGCCCCCGACCCAGTCAACGCGGGGAATCCCCGCTTAGACCGGGCATGGGGCGGGTATGGGTAAAACCCGCAAAAATTTTGATGGGTATGGGGCGGGTATGGTTTTGACCTCCCCGCCCCATACCCATACTCATACCCGCCCCACCAAGAGAATTTCTTCACATATAAAAAAATATGTGAATTAAATTGTAATCTATCAATGGTGATGAGGATAATTCAAGGAAATAAATAGTAGAAATGCAATTGAGTGACCATTTTAATCAAAATCTAATTCATTTTCCCTCAATTCTCCTTTCACTCTTTCACTTTTCCCCTTGTCTACAAGATTATGTTAGTTAATTATTACTTAGTAGATGTATAAGAGTTAGAAGATAATAATTTGAAAAATATTATACTCTATATTATGTATTAATGGATGTTTTAGGATCATATACTTTGAACCGTATTAAGAAAATGATCGTGTTTTGTTGACTTCATGATATAATAGGTTCGTTTAGAGTAATAATTAAAACTTTTCTTGTAAATTTTAGGTATAATAATATTGGATGTATGGGTACGGGTACGGGTATTACCCATGGATACCCGAAACCCACTGATATGAGGATGGGTTTGCAAAACATTCTCCGCATGGGTATGGGGCGAGTATGGATTTGGGTATTTGAAGATGAGATGGGGATGGTTTAGATACCCCATTGCCATCCCTAGGTTTGGTGAATGTGGGATAGGAAAGAATATTGTGGGGATACCTCCATACCCAAAGGACAAAAGGAAAGTTTAAACCTACTAAATTAATCGTTATTTTTGCTATTTATTGTCTGTTTGAAAAATATTTAGGAAAAAAAATCATAAAGAAAAGGTTACCCAAGGTTAAAGGGGCAAACAAGTCCTTTTGCATATCTTTTAACGATCACTTAACAGAAATAGTGACGGAAGGGTATTATCGTTACATTTTCATGGATAAAGAGTATGTTTGTATAAAAATATAATTGAAGGGTACATAATTAATCTGCAATAATATAGGATATAAAATGATATTAATCTTTCCAAATTTTACTTAAAATAGTTTCAGCTCTAATGTGCGATCTAAGTAGCGCGCACAGCGCCAAATTTAGGGTCCAAGGTAGAAATAACTTTTGCATAACCACGTATGAACTCATGGTTTGAGGTTTAGGGTGTATAACTTTTGCATAATCATATACGAACTATGGTTTGAGGTGGATCAGATATAATGAGTGAAAATACAAGAATTTTTTTTCTTCTAATTTTTTATTTAGCTTTTATCTTTGCTGTTCTAATTTGAATTTGAATTTTTTTTTTCACAAGGATGAGAAAGAAGTGCAGCAACCGATAGATCATCATTTGTCTGCTTCTTGATGAAAAAAAAAAAGATTGGATAGCTAACAAACAGCAACACAGAACAGAAGAGGAAAGCAAATCAAAGAGGCAGAAAAAGAAAGAAAAAAAAAATGAAAGTAGCAGAAAAGCGGCCCGGGGGTAGCTCGCCAACTAGTGTGCTAGCCTGGCCTTATTACACGAAACACACATGCAGGACGGAATGAAACAAAGAGGGCGGCGGCCGGCCGGGCACCGTTCATATCATTACTAGCACTTCTTGGTGCAGAAGCAACGGCGGCGGAAACCCTGGCAGTCGCCGCCGGAGAAATGCTCGAGCCTGCAGATCTGGGCACAGTTGTGGTCGCGGACGCAGGGTCCCTTGAAGCCGTGGCTTTTCGACGAGCACACTCTCCCCTCCGCCACCATCACTCCTTCCCCTGCACCAAAACATATACAATCAATCACAAAACCTCATGATCAGCAACACAACAGATTTTGCATGTTGACATAATGTCTAGCTATTATTGAAGTTACTGACGAGAAGGGTGCAGGAGAAGCAGCACCACCAGCACAACTCCAAAGCAACTCATCTTCCCCATGGTAATATTGGATCGCAACAATAACACTCTCTCTCTCTCTCTCTCTCTCTCTCTCTCTCTCTCTCTCTCGTGACAATGCGACTAGCTCTAGTTACGACAATACGCTCTCCAAGGTGCTCAATGCCGGCCATAGATAAAGGGGAAGGTCTGTACTCTGTATCTGGAAAAAAGTAACGTTCATTTCCACCCACTGGATGGATGGCCCACCTTGTTTTGTTTCTCGCTCATCGTTTTGTAACTACAGCATAAACAAACAAAGCATATTTCCTGATTTCATTTATTATTGATTTAGTTAGATATTTTGTTTTTTGAATGTTGTTCTCCGTCAAGTCAAGACAGTTTAGTATCAATAACTTGAGTTGTTGTGAAAGATTTAATAATGGACTTATACTGTTTAATATTTACTGACACTTCCCCGCTAACGAAAACCAACTTATACGTGCTTAGATTTTTCGCAAATCCGAATATCATTTGCTTAACAAATGGAGTCGCCAAGATTCGAACACATGATCTCTCGATCAACCATTCTCAATTAGAAGTGCCTTAATTTTCATTTTCAATTAAATAATATTTTTTTACTCACTTTTGTCCTTAGTAGCTGCCCGTTACACTCTCCCTATCCCTTATTGAAATAAAATTATTTTATAAATTAGCTATGATTTGGTAGAAATTTGTTCGAGATATTGAACAAGTACATCTTTAATTTTGGACGGATCATATGCATCATTGTCATTTGTACATAACTAGTTATAAAAACATTGAATATGTCAATACACAACTTATAAATCATAAATAAAATATTTCACCGGTCAACTATTTTCATATAAATACATGTTTTATTTTCATACTCGATTAGCTATCATACCTAATTTACCATTTTTCCTCCCAAGCCAAGGTGGGTCCGGGTACCCACCCTCTAACCTTCTCCTTCCACCCTTGATTAGGGGTGGGAATTTGGTGGCGGTTTTGCGGTTAATTGCAAACTGAAAAAACAATCTATTTTGCCATCGTGGTTAGCAATATTGTATGTTTTGCGGGTTGCGAGTTAACCGCAACAGAACAATAGGTAACCGCAATTTAACTGATTACTGACGCGGTTACATGTGGTTAACTAAGGTTAGCGCGGTTAACCATGACACAATGGCACAACTACATACCAAAATGTCCCCAAACCATCATAACAGTTAGTAACGTGGTTAACCGTACTTTACGGTTAGTGGTTAACCACTAACCGTTTGCAGTGTGATTGCAGTTAGCATATATATGGGTTCATTTCCGTTGCAATTAACCTCAAATTTTGGTGTGATTAACCGTAACCGCACCGATTCTCAGCCCTAGATATAATGAAGGAATTTGTAATTTGTAATTTGGATTTGGATTTTTTTTTTTTTTTTGCACAAAACGAGTTTCTTATGATCTACAATTGAGATCAAATTTTTAATATATTTAGAGCATTTTTTATACCACTCGTTACCGTTCCGTTACCACCTTGTTATCACCTGGTACCACATTTATTTTCAACTCAAATTTTGAGTAATTTTGCTCAAAAGGAAAGATTTCATCGTGATCTATCGTGATCTCCGTGATCAAATTTTTTTTGGGGAAAATAGTTTAGGACTAAATATACCACTTTATACTACCTTGGTATAGGGTGGTAACTGGTGTTAGATGATGATGAATGTGGTAAATGACTATTAGTATATTTCTACTATCATGTATACAACCATTCTACACTATGCTTTAGTCATACCATCTTGGTACATTTCCATACAACATGGTATAATCTTATGTACATACCAAATAGTACACATGGTATAGACTAATAATAAAAGTCCCAATTTCTTTTTGTTCCAAAATATATCAATGTGAATGTCATTTTAAATTGCACAATTAATCTGATTTTTCTGTGCAATATTTTTTAAATTCTAACTTAAAAGGAAAGAGATAATGCGGAAAATAGTTGAGGACTAAACATACTATTTTATACTACCCTGGTATAAGGTGGTAAATGATGGAGATGATGATGAATGTGGTACATGACTGTTAGTATATTCATAGTATCATTTATACAACCATTCTACACTATGTTATATTCATACCATCATGGTATATTTCCATACAACATGGTATAATCTTATGTACATACCAAATAGTACACATGGTATGGACTAGTAATAAAAGTCTCAATTTCTTTTTGTTCCAAAATATATCAAAGTGGGTGTCATTTTGAATAGCACAATTAATATGATTTTTCTGAGTAATTTTTTAAAATTTTAACTTAAAACGAAAAAGATAAAGCCTTTTAAACTTTACTGGAAGAAAGTTAGTAGTCTTTTATAAATGATAAGCATAGGGTTATGCATGGTTATGCACTGATCTGTTCCCCAAATTATGGATCCAAGATAAGTTGTATGACCATGCGTTGCATAACCCTTTCATAAACATATCTAGTTCCTTGATTTTAAGTATGGTCAAATCTAAGGGAAGATCAAAGAATTTTGTTTTTTTTTTCTATTATTTAATTGGCTGTATCTTCTTTGCTTATCTTGGATTCCAAAAACTTTTGTATAGATGCAATGAGTTCGTAGTAATCTACAAAATGATATCAATTTTCAATATATTTCGAGAATTTTTTTTTAACATCCATGATCCATACCACTCATTACCACTATGGCACCACCTTCGTTTTTAACTCAAAATTTGAAGGAAAAAATTCCACAAGGAACAAGTTCATCATTATTTATTGGATCTACAAATTTTTAGTGAAAGATTGCAGACCAAATATACCACCATATATCATCCTAGTATAGGATGGTAAATGACCATTAATATATTTATGCTATCATGTATACAACTATTCTAGACTATAATATATTCATACCATCCTTATACACTTCTATACCACGTGGTATAATTTTATGTAATAATACCAAACATTATCATATGACATGAATGGTAGTAAATGTCTCAATTTATTGAGCTTTTGGACTATTCGTGTGTTGTGGAGTTTTTACTAGAGGCACAGTAACATATCTATTCAAAGTGGTACGTTAATGAAGTTCGAGGGACTCTATTTATAGTAATTTCCATCATGTTTTTCAAGAGGTTTTCTATGAGAACAAAAATATATTCATTTAAACTTTTTTGAAAATTGCTGCATGTTTCCACTATAGGGCTGCAAATGAGCGAAGCTAAACTGAGTTTTAGCCTAACTCAAGCTTAGCTCAATAGAAAATGAGATTAGGTCGAGCTCGGCTCGTTTAATAACTGTTTGTAGGCACATGTTTCTACAGGTTAACATGTAACTCATATTCTTTTCAAACTAGTTTGGTGTTTGACCCGTTGGTTGAAATGTCATTGAATATAACGTATTTATGAAACATTATAAAATTTTCAAAATATTTGAAATGTATATTTCTACCCACTAGCTAATTTAATTGTTCAAATCAAATTACATAATGAAAATATGAAAAATGAAAATATCAAACACCAAAGAAATTCTTATGAAAAGTTAGGGGCTAGTTAATTGTAGTGGAAAGGTCATATGTTTTAGTTTAAAAATATTCATCAAATTTGTTAGTGTAATTAGTAATGATTCGTATTATTCTATAAAGAAATCATCGTTCAAATTCCATAATTGATATTTTTTTCCTATTAATAACATAAATAAATGTATAAACAAATCTACATTTTCTACCTTCATTCGCTGAAAAACTTATCCTAATAGGCCACCACTACTATTATATTTGTAAGTTAGTATAGTTTCCTGTTTGATTACATAAAGAATATTTACTTTCCCATGTTTTATAATTATAAAGAATATTTGCTCTTAGGAGCGTGATCTTTGGTCACTAGTCACTACCCACTATTAGTGAGGATATATAGAGAAAAAAAAATTTTACTGTTCTATTGTTGAAAAGGAGAGGAGGAGGAGTCGCCACGAAAAAAGGTCTAACAATAGTGTGGAGACCAAACTTTAGTGTCCCCCACTTGTTTGTTTGTGTAGTTTAATTTCGTGTAACACAATTTACAAGTTATAACAGTATTGTGTGGTTATGTAGTTTAATTTCGTGTACTCTATCTCTATGTATTGCGTGGAAAGTAGAAAATGAACTTTGACTCAGCTCGCACTGCCAATATTTCGCTCAGTGTGCACGCAATCTTGCAAACTGAACCAAATTTTATAATATTTCAGTTAAAATGCATATAATCATGCATTCGATAGGCGTGCATACGGACACGAGTATGGGTTCGGTCGATTGGTCCAGAAGCGGATCAAACCGAGATAGGACTGGACCAATATACAAAGGATGACAGGATTAGAACAAAAGCATGTTTGGTCTATTTGTTCGATTTGGTCTGTTTCAACGTTCCAATTTTGTGCTTCATATTTAAAACTATTCATAGGACCAAATTCGAATCGAAATATATTCAATCCGATTCACTTCCATCAAAATCAACTCAGTACGATCTGTCCGGTGTGAACCGGATCGTTGCCCACCCCTTACATACGAGCTTCTAATTGGGTTTAACACAATATTTATGTAATTATATTTTTTTTGGTAGGTGTGAAAATTATTATTATATTTTAAAAGGTTATAACTGTGAGAATTATTCTGATATGTGCAACTCTTTATCTTCCAACTTTCCACCAACTCTCATCTCCCAACTCTTTTATCTTTTATGATGCATGGTTTATCTATTTCCTCTTTTGTGCGCATGGAGATAATGATGTGAATGAGCGAGAGCAATTCAGGCCGGGGGTCGGTGGGTGGCGTCGGTGCAAACGGACAGAAAGCTGAGTAAAGGATATTCACGTGAACTCCTTTACACCACTCAGTGACTCAGCAGCAGGAGCAGTGCAATGGTGGTTGCCATTTTCGTTTTTCGGGTCCCTCTGTCTGTCTGCCACATAACCTAATAATGCAAACACACACATTACCTTACCCCGTTGCATGTCTCACTGTACTGAAAAGCCCGCAGCGGCAGCATCATCGATGAGTCAGTCTCAGTCGGTCTGTGTACATGGCAGAAAACCCGATGCATCTTGCCACTCACCCCATGCTATCCATTTTTTTTTTGGGCGCGCTCCAATTTTTTTTATGAGAGGAATCATTAGTTTCACGTGCCACTTTGTGACAGCGGCTACTACTAAACATGAGATCATTTGTAATTAAATTCAATGTCAATGGGGGATTCACCACCAGCAGCCTTATACCTCGGGGAACACCTACAGGCCTCACTTGGATTCGAACCTGGGATCTGCAACTCCCAATCCTTCACTATCGCGACAGTTTTACCGTTAGGCTATCTTACCTTTGGTCAAGCATGTTGAAACCCTACATCAGCCATGGAACGGACGCGTTGTCCACCTGCCCGTTCCATCCTCCAGGAATGCTCGCAACATGCTCGTCCTCCTGTCTAGGCATGTTTTCAACATGCTCGACCTACGGTTCTTTCTTGTTTTTAACATGCCTGTCCCTCGGTCCGGTCTAGTTTTGAACATGCTCGAGTTAGTTTTGTGATGTCATGGACCTTTTTTAATGAAAATTCACATAAATTATAATATTTATGTTCATTAAGTTTCGTTATTTATTGTGTTTATTAGGAAGGAGGATAAAAATCTTGTGCCACCATCATTTACTAACAAGGAAACTATTATGGATGATTCGGTAAGAAGTTATTTTTTATAATTTAATTATCATAACATAATTGTTGCACAACTAAATGTTTTTACCTTGTATTTCTTGTAGGGTGGATCCGGAGTTAATGAGGGTCACAATGTTGATTGCACATCATTGTTTCTAAGTGATGTTTATGATACCCATGATCAAGCTTGTAAAGCGGCAAATGAGATTGCCATGAGTAATAGTTTTTCCTTGATAGTGGCATCAGTCAAGAGAAACGTTGGAGAAGGCAACCGCGGATCTATATGGATTGCAACCATGGTAGTAGGAGCAACTCATATACGTCTGATCCTGCAAAGACAACACGGAGCAAATCTACAACAGGCAAGTTAGGTTGTCGTTTCCGAGTGGTGGTGCAATCCGTAAAAATAGATGGCAAGTGTAAGTGGAGAATTCATGGGATTAAGTCAAGGGGATTTCACAGTCACAGATTGGAGGTTTACTCTTAGGGAAGCATGCAAAAGAATGCTCTTTCGCAAGTGGAAAAAATGAATATTAAGGAGTTGGAGGCAACACATACTCAGGCGAAAGATATAAGAAGTTTGCTCAATATGAAGTACGATGCTCATCACAACATGACTCAGATTTATAATGAGACAACAAAAATTAGGCGTGAGAGATTGGGTGGGTTGAAACCTATGCGGTGGACATTGATAGAAGCTCCACGTCTTGGCTACTTTATTGAGTGTGAATTAGATGATCAACGTCGTGTTACTAGACTCTTCCTATGCCATCCTGAGTCGATTCGGATGTTGTTGGCATGGTATTTTGTTGTTTTGATAGACTCGACGTACAAGACTAACAAGTATAAGCAGCCACTGGTTCAGTTGATTGGTGTTAGTCCAGTGAAGAAGAACTTCAACATCGGGTTCACATTGATTTCAAATGAGACGAAGGAGACATATGCTTGGGTTTTGATGCAATTGAAGATTGTGCTTGGTGATCGAACCCCGGTTGCGTTCGTCACAGACAAGGCGGGAGGATTGGGTGTCTCTTTTCAACAAATCTTTCCATCTTCAGCTCATTTACTATGTGTGTGACATATGAAAAAGAACATTGAAGCCAAAATGATGCAGTTGGGGATTGGTCATGATTCTGCCGAGTTATTTGTAGGAAGTCTATGGGAGAGAGTCTTGCGAGCTAATACTGAGACAGGGTTCCAACGTCGTTGGCTAGAGTTGCAAAATAGTCATTGGGGTTCAAACAACAAGTTAATGGACTACTTGAGAGGTGAGTGGTTGCCATGCAGGGAAAGGTGGGCAAATTGCTACACCAATCGCATCTTCCATATCGGTAACACGAGCACAAATAGGGTAGAGTTGATGCATTCCTCCTTGAAGAAATGGCTTGCCACTTTGACCCACAAGAACAATACACTCTTCCTCGGGTTTCACACATCCGTCAACGGAAGAGTGATTGAATTGAGGAAGGACTTGGAGGATTCTCTTTCCAAGGTATTCTCGTTTTTGCTTATTTAATTTGGCATTTCCCTATATCCTCAATTTTATTTTTTTATTAGAAATTCATGATTTTGGAATAGGTGTTTGCATTAGCCTATGGACCGCCATATGTTAACCTGAATACTACAGTGAACTTGTGGGCAGTTGAGTTACTAATGGAAGAACGAGAGAGGGAAATTGTTCAGGGATGTGGATGTCGGATACCTGAAACACATGGCCTACCATGTAAATGTAAGATGGATGAATTGAGTGCTGCTAGCGTGGAGTTGCACCACCACCACTTACATCCATTCTGGTCATCTTTGGTGTCTGAGAGTCCTCCCGATCTTGCAGAATGGGAAGATCACGATGCCATTGAGCGTGACATTTTTACAGCCATGGTACAAGATGTGTACAAGCAAGGGCCAACTGCTATCCGAAAGGCAACTCAAGTACTACGCCCTCATATTCTTCCACAAGTTGAAGGCCTACAAGAGCCTAAGGAGTTAGAGGCTCCAAAGGGACGACCACCTAGGAGGAGCAACACTCGAGATCCTTCCTGGTTTGAGCATGAGAGGGCAAGGTCGGCACAGACGAGCAGAACAAATCAGAGTCCGAGGACATTGAGGAGCAGAACACCTCAAAACCGGAGGCCCGCCGCAGGTTAGCATCATTGGAATATGTTTTCATAGTAATATTTCTTGTTTTGTGACCGTAATATTAATTATTTTCTGCAATATGTTGCAAGTTTGCGGAAAAGTCAAGATATGCAAGTTCATAGTGAGAGAAATGTTTGTCCTTACCTCCGTTGGGTCCCACCTAGCATGCATCCTCTTGTTAGAGGTTGGTTTGACCCAGAACCAGATAGACATTGTGGTTTTCGGGCCATGTCACATGTGATTCATGGAGACGAGGGACACTACATGCAAATGAGACAAGATCTTATCATAGAAGTACAAAATCAGTGGCATATATACAAGGAAGCTTACAAATCTAGAGATGGAACGTTGGAGCAAGTACTTCACAGGTTGAATTGCTAGACCGCTGGGAGGTGCGACAGATAGTATTGGTTTGAGGAGGTGGATTTGTTGGCATACGCAACCATGTACAACTGGGAAATTGTCGTATATGGAGTGCAGGGGGAGCGAGAGCGCACGTATGGGTACATCGCCTTACCTATGATGGCGCCGCCAAGGTTCACTCATCCCAGTTATGTTCTGCCAATGGTCTTTACTAGGGATCATTGGGTCCGACTAATTCTCGACAATGTCGATGGGGTGACACCAATGCCATATTTTAGTCCACAATTGACTCATTTTCGGAATATGAGCAAATTCCGCATTGGGATGAGTTATACCAACAGGAGCAGGAATTGTATGCCATCCTTGGAGGACATTATCCACCCACTGACGATGAAGAGAATGATTAAACATTGTTGCCTTAGATTGATTATGTTATTGATGTTCTTAGTGTGTGTTTATGTTCAAAGTTGTGTGGATTTAGGTGCAATTATCAAGGATTGACATTTTGTGTTAAAATGTATGTGGTTAGGTGGAATTAATCAATGATTTTGTGTTCAAAGTTGTGTAGATTTAGTTGAAATTAATCAATTGTGTTCACAGTTATTGTTGCTGTAAAAACAGACTAGGCGGGTTGAAAACCTGCCTGCACCAGGACCAAACATTTCACCTACCCATCTTCACCGTGGGTTGAGCATGTTGCGCACCCACCTGACGGGATGGTGCAGGAATATACCCTCCCAGCTTAGGCCGTGGACAAATCATGTTATGAACCCGCCTTCCTGGAGGTGAGGGCATATATCCTACCCGCCCTCCCGGAGGTCGAGCCATATTTTCTACCCTTCTGACCGCTGGTTGAGCCATATTCCCTACCCGCCCGATGGTGCAGGTAATTTTGTGTGATGTTCATTAAAAATTGTTGTTTGTTGTGTTTTTGTTAGATATATAAGTAGTGGTTTAAAATTATAATTAGTATATAAACACTCAAACATAACACATCCAAATGTACCTTAACAAATATAAAACATCAATCTTAAGAAATATCCAACATCAAAACATAAAATATCCAACATCCAAATGTACCTTAACAAATATCCAACATCAACCTTAAGAAATATCCAACATCAAAACATAAAATATCCACCATCCAAAACACAAACAAACCAGAACTCAACATCTAAACAACAATGTTCAACATTGAACAACTACTAGGCGAATGGGCGATACGGTCTCTGTTGCCTAAAGTCAACGTACTGTAACGTTGCGTCCGAGAACCCTCGACTTTTCCTTGCCCCTTCTTTCGCTCATTGTTGCCTGCTATCAAGAAAATAAAATTATTTCTTTTCAGAATTGTAATTGACAAACATACATTTTTTAACTATACATAATAATTATTAACAACCATAAAATTTATGAATTCCAATATTAATTATATTTTCAAATACTAATTATATTAATCATCACAATTCATATACTAATTCTTACCCTTTCTTTCGCTTATTTTTACCAACTATCAAGAAAATAAAATTAATTCTTCTTAGTATTGCAATTAACAATCCTATATTCATTAACTATTTATAATCATTATTAACAATCCACAACTTTGTCAATTCAAACACTACTTATATTGTCAAATGCTAATTAACATCCTCTCATCACACACCAACCGCAACAAAATCCCAGATTCTTTTCTTCCTTCCCATTATAAAAGCTCATATATGGATTATAATTAACCATTCAAATTTATATATTATTAATTAAAATGAACATTCTAATCATTAACATTTGCATTTTAATTGGAAAAAAAATCAAAACGGGTCGGACGGGTTGGAAAACGGGTCGGATCAGTGTCAAGGCGGGTCAGAGACCGGGTTAGAGACCGCATCGGACCAGGGTCGGGGCAGGTGGGCTACCTGGCTCCGTCGGATCCGCGCGGGTGCCCTGCCTGCGTCTACCCCGGCTCAAATCAAACGCCCTACCTGCCTCTAGCCACTGGCGACGGGTTTTCAACCCGCGACGTCGCCGCAACTCAACCAAACGGGAAGAGAGGGAGAGAGAGATTTACCTTTGGCAGGTCTGAGTAGAAGCAGAGGGCTAGAGGCGGACGATGATTTGGAGGCTTCTCCTTCCTCCTCGGCGACAGTGCGGCGGATCTGGGCTTGGGCGAAGATGCTGGCGGCGACGGGTCTGGGTGGCGGTGACGGGTCTTGGTGGTGGAGGCGAGTCTGGGCGAGGGTCTGGTTGACGGCGGCAGATTAGTGTGGCGCCGGGTCTGGCGGCGACTTCCTCTCCTTCTGGATGGCGGCGGGTCTGGATGGCGGCAGATTAGGTTGGCGGCGGATCTGGGTGAGGGGTTGAGAGTTTTGTTTTTGAGTATTTGGGGAGAATAGGGTAAGGGACGGCAGGGTGGGTCAATTTAGGGTTTAGGTTAAATGAGGGGTAAACTCGTCCATGTATGTAAGTTTAGGGCGATAAATTCAAAAACTTAGGGCGACGAATAGGAATTCAGAATCGCAAAGTTCCTGACCCCCCGAGTACCATCACTGAATTTTCCTCCCTCCTAAAATCTCGACTATTTCGTCCCCTAAGAAAATCCCTCATCTCCATTGCCAAAACCTTCATCTCAAAACCTCCCTAAAACTAAATCAAACCTCTCTAATCCTTCAGTTCATCACCACTACCCATCATCTCTTCCACCACCTCCAAGCTTCATTCTTCAAGAAATCCCCTAATTGAAGATTGGAGAGCCCTTCTCCCTCACCAAGGCCGCAACACCAAAGCTCCTCTCTCCTCAATTTTTTCGATTCATGCACTCCAATGGCTGAAAGGTATGTGCTCCATTTCTGTTAGACATGATTAGGTGTTTGAATGGTTCAATTTGACAAGGGATTGAATGGTTGAATGATGGAGGGGTTCCAAACATGTATTCCTTAACCCTAGAATCTTGATTTTTGATTTAGACCTCTTTTAGTAAAATTGATGATGATTGTACGGTTGGTGGGCATGTATGAGTTATGGGCTTATGCAATTATATGATGATTATTGATGTGAAATTTTCTTGATCATTATGATTATCGATTAAGACGATTTTCTTTAGTCGATCCACGAATTAGATGACTAAAGTTTGTCTATGTTTATGTAAATAAATTATAATTTGCGTCCCTCCTTAATTTCTATTCAAATCGTCAACCTTGACTTGGTATTTGACATACATCATCCAATTTGACTATTACTCCATAGTACTTCAAAAACTTGAATCAGTCTTTTTCAAGGTTGTCAACCCGCAGGTTGACCCGGACGAGCTAGTGGGTCAAAGGTTAATGGGTCACCCGCTATAGCCCGGAAATATTGAAAGAGCTATTATATTGAACTTATCACGAATTCAACATAAAAAAATACAACACTACCTAAACTCCAACACACTTAAATTACATCAACCTAAAACATAACCAATTTGAAATTCCTCTTCCACATAAACAATCAAAAATTCCAAATGATTATTAACAATTCAACTTCTAACTAACATCTAAAACATCAAACATGTAACAAAAAACAAGTAACAATTCAACTTCTTCCACAACCAAAACCACCTGCCAAATAACAATCAATGTCATGTTTCCATTAATAGGAACCCAAACCACATGCCAAAAGCATATGGGTTCGAAGGCTGTTTCTATTCCATATCTTAACCTCCAAATAAAAAATAAAAAAACCAAAAGGAAGGGTAAAGTGAACAGAGAGCCATAGACATGCAGCAGCTAAACCTCCTATAGCTATATTCTGCATTAGTACTAGGCAGCTGGTGATGGACTTAGACAGAGACTAATCATATGAACCCAAAGGAAAGGAAAAATATATAAAGAACGAAAGAATGAAAGGAAGGAAGAGAAAAAAGATGAGATGATTGAGAGAGTACCACTAGAACTGTGTTGGACGGCGCCACCGATGAAGGGAATCGAGCGGAGCGATTGCGAGACTACGAGAGAGAATGAAGGTCGACTGGTCCAGGCTCCCTTAGGTTTTCTGATGCTCTACTTCTCCTTCTCGCCTTCTCCCCGAGAACGACGCCGCACAAGGGAAAAATGGGGCACAAAGACGCAACCCGCTGACCCAGTCTGACGGGCTAACCGCCCAGGTTTCAGCGGGTTTGACCACTTCTGGGATGCTGTTGAAAAGGGTTGCTATAGCCTGTATTTAAGGGCGGATCCGGGCCAACCCGGGTCGACTCGTGGGTTGACAACCTTGGTCTTTTCATGATTGCTAAGTTCGTAGGACCTCTTTTCCCATGCACTACTTCTCTTTGGATTATCTTAAACACTTCGTACCAAAATATGCCGAGTTGTGCAATTTCAGGCTGCCACTGCAAAACGGTGCTTTGGTCTCCATTGTAGGTTCTGGGTTTCCATCTTTGCATCCGTGCTTTGAGATGGCATATTTGGTGCACAAGGGATCTTTCGCAAGATCAAGTTGTATCTATGTTGTTTAATTTGCATATATTGTATGTTGGATTGAGTGCAGGGTGAGGAAGATCTTCCGAGAGCTTTAAGGAGGTAGGAAATTCTCCTCATGTTCCTCTTCAAGGATAATGGATCGCCGTGATGATTCCATAGAGGTGGAGTATGAGGCTTCTCCTCCCGGAGTTGGACGTCACAACATGGAATTTAGATAGAGCACGCGCCTACAACAATACACTACTCCTCCAATAGCCCATGTGGCTTACGAGGACGAGGTAGTTCTCTTCTACATTGAGATAAATGATGAGCATGTCATTGATTCCTAGGAGGAAGCTCCTCCAACACCTCAGACCATGGTGTCGTTGCACTATGCTTTCCACAATGGAATTGAAGTTGCACTTCACCAATCCCGAGTATTGGGTCAAGATGGTCCGCTATAATGGCACCATGGTGGAGCTATAGGGTGATATCTACTACGAGGAATTCTAGCGCTATCAGGGCTGAGGTTCAAATATTTCCATCCAACTCTAGGTTGCAGGTCTAGTTGAGTTGTTAGCCTCTTTCTAAGAAAACTATGATGTCTTAATCGAGAAGTTAGGCATCCCGAGCATCTCTCCATGCTTCGGATGCCTGTCTAACATCATCCTAGGACGCCCTTATAGGAGAATTAAGAGAAAGCATAAGGATAAGACTCTCTGGGAGTCCTTGACCTCCCATGAGCCTCCCTTCGCGGTCTGGGAGTCCTACTCTAACAGGCAGATGGACCACTTCCTACGGGTTGTTCAACATGTTGCGCGTGTCTCCTTGCACAGACGTTAGGATGGAAAGGATCAGAGGCTCTCCATCCAGGACATGCTGATTTCCCACTCCATCGTAGATGGATTCTAAATGCACTCGTGGTGGCTCATGGCTGAGATGTTTGCCAAGATATGAGGTAAGGAGAAGGCGAATCACCTTTCAAGTGGTGGGATCAGTCTCGCCATCGCAGAGCACATCAACAGCCATCACGATAGCTGTGACCGCAATTGATGTACCCTCGAGGAGCTCATTTTTTGCACTCGTTTGCGCACACCAAAGTTGGGGTGAGCTTCTTCACCAACTCCGGGGTTGATGTCTTCAATGTGACTACACCTTTTACCACTTAGACAATGGATCATAAGCCACCCATCGAGCTCTTTGTCCAAGCAGATAATGCGTTCAAATAAATATAAACCACCAAGGGACCGAATGGATGAAAAGGAAGACGAGAATACAAGCCCATGGGCGCAAACAGAGATGGATTTGGACATCAGATGCTCACTTTATGGCTAAAACAAGCATATGTGGTAGTGTAGCAAACCCAACATTGACTGAGATCCAACCTGAGTTCTATAACTCAAAGCACACCCAAATTTGGAGGAAAGGTTTCATTTTGGCCAAGAAACCAAGCCCAAGTGGAAAAGTAGCATCAGCCCAACTGCAATGAACCCGCCGCTCAAGCCCTAACTCTCCCGAAGCTTCCAGAATGTCCTTACTTCATCCCCAAGTCGTAGGAATTCAAGAAGGTTTTGCCCAACTTTAGGAGGAAAAGGAGTAAAAAGCCCCTAACTAGTATAAATAAGAGGCTATACTATATCTTTTCTACACACCTTTTACGAGCACTTTCCTAGGGGCACGAGTTAGAAATTCATAGAAAAAGGCTAAGCCCTACTGGAGCTCGATGGGTAGTTGTCACCATCGATGCTTGTATTATTGATGATATCTTCCTATTCTCCTATGCATAGCTAACTCGAAATTATTTAGGGAAATGACTCGATGATGGTTTATGTGCGAGTTTCGATGATTTAATGATATGCCTATTGACTCGCTAAATCACAATATCAAACTACGACAAAGTGCAATCGTAGTATGGAAATGCAGTCGAGTGGGACAAGTAATAAAAGTCAACCTGGGGCCTAGATGTACTGCCTACTCAGATGAAATTCTATTATCTAGCGAGAAAAATTGAGTGAGAATGAGTTTAAACTGAAGCAGAAAGAAAGAACCAAGTTGTTCGGTTTACTTAGCAAGAGAAGAGTCACTTGGGATTGTGTCCCCCTAGCTCCTCAGTTAGGTTCAAGTTGTAATTCCCTTTGGTTGTTTTAATGTCGATTAGACTGTGGAAGATCCAAAAATAACTTGGAATCTCTTACACTGACCAAACCCTCTTAGACAGAATACCCGACAGGTGACTAGCCTTCACTGGTATAGACTGCTAAGGCGATTCACACAGATCCCCTCTACTTGGAACGAATTTCAGTACAAAACAGTGAATTGATTGACTCTCGTACAATCAATTCATTACTATCAATTGAAGAAGCTCTTATAACCTAATCAGATTCTATCTATCATAGGTTAGAGCAGAAGTCAAGAGAACTTGATTAGGATCCAATTGACTCAATAAACATAGCCTCAATTGATTAAAATCATCGAGTATAACATCCAAAAGTCATTACAAACAAGATCTCTAACACATGGAACTAGGGTTCTTCATACCCAAGTGAGAGAAAGGTTTACTCCTTAGAGAGAGAGGAAAACAGAAACCAAAGTAGTCAAACTCATAATGATGTGTATAATATGCTCTGGGATGTCAATCTTCACTCATGGAGATGCAATCCGGGTTCAATGGTGAGAAATCCACTCCAAATAGCTTATAGGGTTTGTTCTTCGTCACTTTCTCTCTATAGAACTCTGTTTTTGTTCTATAAAGTCGACTAATACCTGAAATTTGACAAAAGAGCACAACCTAGCATAAAATAGGCCAAGAAAACACAAATCCAAGCCTTCTTTCAACGTCAAGGTTCAGCTTTTCCAATGATTTTCCGGCGAGTTTCCCGACGAATGCCACTTTTTTCTGATACGTTTTCTGAGAATTGGATATATAGTAGGGAGTAAAAAATTTATTAATGGAGAGATATGTATAATCCATTTTGAATTAAATTATTATTATTTTTTAGTTGGAAGCAAATAGCATATGCCTCTTGGCCGTTGGGGTGACTAAAGTGGTCAACAACCAATCAACAAGACTAGGAATATCCATGGAAAACTTCCAAAAAGAAAGAGACAAGAGAAGGGATTGGTAGCAAACTGGCAGCGTGTTGATGAGTCCTGGTCGCCTCCCCGGCCTCGCCTATCAGAGTCAGAGATCGAAGAACCTGAGAAAAAAGAAGGGCAAATGGATTTCGAGAACATAAAGAAATATTTGGAAGGGAATGCTAGCGGACAAGTTGATGTCAAGAATCGATCGGCGGTCCGCGCTATGCCTTACAGATTCTTCGAGCGATTCAATGTGCAAGGTCTTCATGTCGAGCTAGTCGAACCCGGTCGCATTATTTGCTCAATTAAAGTTCCACCTCGTCTCTTGGTATGATAAGTTGCTCACTGTATCAGTTGTTTGCTTGATTTCAAGGAACCCAATTCGCTATGACCCGAATGATTGGACTCTAAATTCCTGATTCTAGGTTTTAGCGGAAATCGCGGCGAATATGGAGGGTTAAAAGATTACCCAGTTTAGTTCTCCACCGAAAGTTGCAGTTTTTGGTTGGAATAATCGTTTTGGTGTTTTTCAAGTACTCAGGTCTTAGTTCCTGGAGATATATCTATCTGTTTCCAATTACATTGATTGTTGTTGGGAGTTTAGGTGTTGATAAATATGGTCGATTCTGCAGAATGCTGGCAAATCCTTGCACGGTGGAGCCATCGCCACTCTGGTCGACGTGTTTGGGTCAGCTGTGATATACACTGTTTCAGCTCCTCAGAACACTGGAGTTTCAGTTGAAATCAACGTTTCTTACTTGGATTCTGCTTATGTTAATGTGAGTATAGCCAGACTTATCCTTGTTCATGTTCGTCAACTGGTTTCCTTCTGTTGGCTGATATCAACTGCGACTGGCTAGCTAGCATAGTGCTGGTTTTCTTTCTAGAATGCCTCTTCACATGTTTTTCAGCTTGAGGAGTAATTAGCTGCAAAAGTATTGCCCCAAAGTCTGCTTACATGCTAAATCACCTGTGCTGGAGATTGGTACTTGATCACATGGCACACTTTGTCTTAATTGCTGGGATTTCATCTAATACTGTAGCAAACTTCGACCATATTGGGAAAAAATTTCTGCTTGGGTCATGCGAACTGTCCATTTTGAACTCCAAAACTAGGATCATGTTGTTTCCTTTAAAGGGTTATAGTTTATTAAGATACTTGTTTGATGATTCAGAACATTATATCTTTGTAGGAATTTGCTGGTGCTCTAACATATGTTATCTGCCATACTTTCAATTTAGAAGACTGTTTGATACATAAGAGTTTCAACCCGAGCTCCTGCAGTTAGCAAGAAATGTAGTTTCTTTTACAATTTTGCTTATTTCGCTGAGGATACAGAAGTATTTTTGTCGTTCCGGATGAGATGTTAATGGCTGAAACACGTAGGTTTGAATCAGCACCTCGTTACCTTTTTCGGATTACCTTCTTCCCTGAAGGTCCCTAGTTACTTCTCTTGGGTTTAGCTAGGGTGCCCTTTGGTGTTAGATTCTACTAATTGTTGAGATTGCAATCCAGAGATCTCAAGCTTTGCGTGATTATTTAATAGCATGGCTTATCATAGCAGGGCAACTAAACGGGATACCTTCCCTTTTGAGCTGCATTTTCATGGGAAGCACCGAAGCAGGCCTAGTTTATGTATCTCTCTCTGTAGCTAATAGAAGTGGTCGTGAAGTTTCTAGTTTCAGTTCGAGTACCAGGAAAAAATGTTTCTCGTTTCTAGTTTCAGTCCTTGTTTTCTGAACGTCAACTGCATATGGTTCTCGCTTCGTACACATATTAAGTTGCGTCTATCAGGGAGCTTATAGTTGTCATGTTGATGATGAAAACAGGAAGAGATAGAGGTTGAGGCCAGAATTTTGCGCCTTGGAAAGACGGTGGGAGTCATCACCGTTGAGTTAAGGAAGAAGAAATCTGGGCAGATTATTGCACAGGGCCGTCATACCAAGTATCTTCTTGTTTCTAGCAAATTGTAAATTTGTAACCCTAGCGAAGAACTAGCCTATGAAATAAATACGTGATAGAAACCTCATTATATATATATATATACCAAGTCAGCTACCTTCCTGTTCTCTTCGTTTCCGTATATCCTGCAGTAGGTCCTGTTTTCTTGGGAGGAAACTTCTGTAACGAGGGGGTTTGATTATTTATATGGCTTTTTGAGAACAAACTAAGTTAAGGTAGGGTACACCTACTATTTTGGAGGTTCAATGAGAGATGCAGAAATGAAAGGTTACAGTTACGGCTGCATTACAGGGAAAATATGAAGTTTTGACTCAGCTAGTTAGCACACTTACAACTATAGGCAAAGTTCAACCTACGATCAGGTGCATAATAGAGCAAGTACATTTCAATTATTAAACTCGGACGATTTATCTATCCGTACTTCAGCAAATCATTATTTAGCGGTAGAAACGTTGTTTTAAGCTATTAGAATTATTAAGCCACAAGCAGACAAAAATTACCAAAAATCGAAAACACTGTTCCTTACGAAAAATCGCGTGGCACTGTTCAACGAGAGATTTGATGATTCATGTGGTCCAATCTACGTAAAGCCCATGTGTATCTATTTTGGGCAGGCCAAATTTGGCCGTTGATGATAGATTTAGGCCAATTGTGACCGTTGATGTTAATATTTAGGCAACATGTGACCATTGATGCTAGCCTGATCGGTGGGCCCCCTCGGAAAAACAAAAAGAATACGTTCTCGATAGTTGAAATTTACTTTTCTCCCACCTCCCAAACCTTCTGCCTTTCTCTCCCATCCCTTCCCATCTCAATACCCGATCCAGAACTTCCCATCTCCGTAACCTACAACCGACCAAACGCCGGCCCTTCTCTCCCATCCCATCTCATTCCCCGATTCACAACATGCCATCTCTGTAACCTCCGACCAGACGCCGGCAGGAGATTGTGGCGACAACGCATTTCCCAACTCCGAACCCGCGATCGGACGAAGGCAAACGACACCTGATTTCCCCTCTCTCTCACCTCCCTGAACCAGCTGAATGACACGGCGGAGGGAGATGGTGGCGACGAATTTCTTGGCGGCTAGCCAAATCGGGCGCCCGAAGAAGAATCTGGAAGATACATGGGCGACGACGACACCTGAGGATATCAACTCAAGGAACGGAGACGACAACAATGATTCTGACTCCTCTGAACCGGAAGGGGGATTTAGCTTTCTCCTTCCAGCGGCGTTCCGTCTCTCGGTTCGTTCCATTTAGGGAGTTTCTTCAGTAGACCCTTTGTTGGCTGCCATTCCAGATCTGATCCCGATTCCCCTTTCGTCCATCAGAAGCAGACCCAATCATTCAAGAAGAACGACCGGCGGCTGACCAAGTTGTTGGGTTGTCGATTCTCCTTCGAGGTTCGCGATAAGCAGAATAGAGAAGAACGATGGTCATTTGGTTCTCCTTTCTTCCCATCTCTTCTCCATTGATTTACTGAGGCGAAAGTGAACCATGAGACTGATTAATTGCAGGGCTCCGTGTCGGTCTTTGAAGTGCCACCTTTGTCGGTTTTCGATGAATCTCAAGAGTCAACAACCAATTTTTGCCCTGCAAATCCACTAAACTCCCAAGGGATCTTCTGAGTCGAACTTCTGTTGTGGAAAAATTAGTCCAGCGAAAGACCGGGGTGAGATGGAATTCTTTCAATTTCTTTTCCTCTCTCTGCTCTACCTCATCCCAATTCCCTCCGACGCGATCTTTACTCTGATTTTCCAGAGGCTCATGCGATGATGGCTGAATATCATTAGAGGAAAAACTTTCCCCAGAATGCCAACTACATATGGTCTCTTGATTTTGATGGTGCTTGCTAACAGAGGGATAGAACGTTGAGAGGCAGAGGAGGAGAAAGAAGGGAAATTTGGGTTGGTGACATCTGTTTCCATTTGAGCTCAATCTTATCCCAAGTGTCCAACATGCAAATCATTGAGCTTTGTGTAAATAAAATGAAACACTAATAACCTATAATAATAAAATCAAACAGCAATGTGATTTTATTTCATAACTAATTTCAGATTTTGCTTTGAGTAGTAATTCTCCACATCTACTAATCTTATGCTATATTGAGATATACGGAAGAAAATTAGTTTCTTAAATTCATTTTGGAGCAGGATCTCTTAATATGGTTGTTCTACATCAACATAGGTTCATGAGCTATAATTGATGTTCATATATGTTGTTGGATTTGTTCCAAGCACTGCAGAAAGAAACCATCTCATTCTCATTCATCTGCAACTATCAAGCTTTTTATGTACAAATGTTTGACCATCTTAGTTTGATTGTTTCATCTTTTTTAATTGGAGGATTATTTCTGCAAGTTAGTTGTTGTTTCACAAGACAGAATCATTAGTAATAGAACAGAGATATTGATCACATATATTCTCAATGTGTTCTTATGGTGTCAGAAAGCTAAGCCTGTATCCAACATTTAAAAGTAGATAACAATAAAAATCCATTTCAATAACTCCCACCTACATGTAGATAAAAAAGAATTAAGTAGCTATTCATGTTTTGTTTTACAGGGAAGGAGAAAAGAGTCGTGGCAGACAAAGACATGTAAAGTTTCACAAAAGCATCACCTCACGCTATGGTCGGGTCGGGTACATTTGGGGGTGCGGATAGTATAACAACACCCTTTATGTTGTTATAATAACAACAAGTTTCATTAAGGGCTAAACCGTAAACTTACGAAAAAGTAATAAAATAAAATAAAAATAAATCATAAAGATGTTGCGCTCCCAAAATCATTCCCCGTTCTCAAACGTAAACCCTAAAGTACTGTTTGCCTCTACGCAGCCGCCGTAACCATGCCGCCGAAGTTCGATCTGTCTCAGTTGGTGGACGTCTTTCTCCGCGTGATCGACGGTGAGGTCGAGCGGCTTCCTCCCTTGTTCCCAAGATCGGTCCGACGAGTGACTAATCAATTAGGGAATGGGGCTTGCGATTTTGTCGATGGAACTGGAACTCGTTTGCAAGTTCGGACGTACGATGCAATGAAGGAGGTAATGGAGGAAGTTGTTCCGATGAAGTCGTGGGATGCGGTGATAGTGGCATCGGAGGAGGCTGTAAAGTGTGACGATGGTGATTGCAGGTACGACGGGAGAGATGGAGAGCCCTTTGGAACATGGGAAGAGAGGGTCACAATGGTGATTGGCGGCCTGATTTGTTAATTGCGACAAGGGGTGAAGGAGAGGTTCTGCCAGTGGAGTCGCGGGAGGCGGTGGTAGCACCCCTCTTCCAACCTCCCGTTCGTAACCGCTGCCGCTCAACATTATTTCCAAAGGGGAAAAAAGAAATGAAAGAAAGCGACAGTATCAGTATGTACTAGGTACCAATATGTGTATAGATTTGTCCCATTTTATTTCTATAAAAAAACGTTCCAGGGGAAATGATTCATTCCCATGCATTTTGGATTGGTCATTTTATAGTGCAATTTCTCGTATTGGTTCTGAGGGTTGGAGAAATAAACCATAGTAAGTGAACTATATTGATCTATACTGAAGTATTTTGAATGAAATGTTTAGTCGTGGTTGATATGAGTTTGACCGCGGATACTATAACACAAATATTTTTAAAACACATAAGAAATCTCTTAATGAATACCACAAACACTATAAAACAAACCACAAAAAGCATACAACAAATTTCATAATGCAAACCACAAATCTCCTAATACATACCAGAAATATCACAAAGCAAATCACAAATATTTCTAAAGCACACCAAAAACCTTCTAATGCAAACCACAAACACGATAAAGCAACCTACAAAAAGCATACCAAAAACCTCCTAATGCAAACCACACGTCTCATGAAACATGCTAGAAACCCCATGAAGCAAACCATAGAATTTCAAAAGCACACCAGAAATCTCATAATCCAAACCACGAACACCGTAAATCAAACCACAAAAACCAAACCATAAACCTTCTAATGCAGACCACAAATCTATTAAAACATACCAGAAACTCCACAAAGCAAACCAAAAATATTTCGAAAGCACACCAGAAACCTCTTAACGCAAACTACAAATATTATAAAGCAAACCACAAACACGATAAAGCAATCCAGAAAAAGAAAACTAAAAACATGAGAAAGCAAACTAAAAAAAGAATATAAGAAACACGAGAAAGCAAACCATAAAAACACACAATTAACACGAGAAAGTACATTATAAATCTATAATGCAGATCACAAAATCCAGCGACTAGTGATTATTGACTGGACTCCCGCGAGTGACCATTATATAATAATTCACTATATTTTCATGTGTGTCGTAACCTTGCCGTCAGATATGAAAAAGTTCTTTTCAAAAAAAATTTGTATTTCGAATAAATGACGAGGCTCAAGACTAATTCATAAATTTATATAAATTGGATCACATTGAGGAACCTATTTATTAATTTCCAAATTTATTTATTCTTTCCTTTTCTATGGAAAGTAATCTTCCAAATAGAGCAGAAATCCTACTTGTTTTTTTTTTCGTCCAAAAGATAGCGCTTCTCTAACATTAGGCAGCCAATAATTATTAGTAATAACAATAAAATAATTAGTTAATTAAATGGGCTTTGGCAGATAAGTGCAGGTCACGTGCCCTGCTCTAAGAAAGCACGCTCAATACACGCGGGCGGCATGGGTAGAAAAAAATGTGGTGACCATAATGCCCTTCTTTTAATTTTTAGCACGCAGAAATTCAGTCAACCCATAAAACTAAAAAGTATGCAAAAGGATGGCTTCTTATTGGCTGCCTTATATTGTTATCACCATAACAACAAACATGGTGTTGTTATCATATCCGGTCCCTATATTTGGTGGCTGGCCTCTATAAGGCTGTCCACAACCCTAGGGCTAAAAGGCTAAAATGTCCTTTTAGTCCCAATAAAACATCTTTAATCATGGGACAAATTTGAGGGGTAAAAGGCTATAAGAGATTTTAAGGGGCTATTTTAGCTCTTATTTGGGAGGTTTTTAAGAGAGGGGCTAAAATGGTGAGAGCTCAAATGGTGGTGATTATTTTAACTTTCTTTTGTTTTACTTAAATTGAATATACTTGTGTTGTTGTGAGTGCTTTTAACTAACGAAGTTCCTATCGTTGTAACATTCAACCATTTGATTGTTATTTGAAAAAAAAATATTTAAAATTTGGAACGTTCTTCCATTTCAACTAAAAAAAAGGTATCTCCGAAATTGTTCAAAATCTTGGTAATTTTGATGAACGAAGTTAATTTCGGTGTAACTTTCTTTCATTTCAACTAAAAACAAAGTATCTCAGAATATTTCAAATTTTATCGGAATGTTCGTATTTAATTATTGTGAATGAATATATAAATTTTAAAGTAAAAAACATAATTTTAACTATTCATACGTTATGATTACTAAATACGAAACATAAATTTTTAGCTACAGGGTTGCAGCTGTTTCGGTTTTCGAGGGGGCTAAAAGGCTAAAATAGACTTAAAACCTCCAATTTTTGTCCCTCATGTTGTGGTTAGCCTAAGGGGAGGGAAAAACAACATTGTCAAATAGGGGAGGCAAAAGCAGAACGCGTAGGTTAGTTGTTGTTTCATTGTAACTATTTTAGTATGTTAGTTGTTGTTTCATTGTAATTAATTAATACTAGGGAGGAAGCCCGTGCTTCGTGACCAGAGTCACAAGACATAATCATTAGTAATAGAACAAAGATATTGATCACCTATATTCTCAATGTGTTCTTATGGCGACATAAGGCTAAGCCTGTATCCAACATTTAAAAGCAGGTAACAATAAAGATCCATTTCAATAACTCCCACCTACATGTAGATAAAAAAGAGTTAAGTATCTATTCGTGTTTTGTTTTACAGGGAAGGAGAAAAGAGTTGCCAGGCAGACAAAGACATGTAAAGTTTCACAAAAGCATCACCTCACGCTATGGTCGGGTCGGGTACATTTGGTGGCTGGCCTCTATAATGCTGTCCACAACCCTAGGGCTAAAAGGCTAAAATGTCCTTTTAGTCCCAATAAAGCATCTTTAATCATGGGGCAAATTTGAGGGGTAAAAGACTATAAGGGGTTTTAGGGGGCTATCTTAGCTCTTATTTGGGAGGTTTTTAAGAGGGGGGCTAAAATGGTGAGAGCTCAAATGGTGGGGATTATTTTAACTTTTCTTTGTTTTACTTAAATTGAATATACTTGTGTTGTTGTGAGTGTTTTGAACTAACGAAGTTCCTATCGTTGTAACTTTCAACCATTTGATTGTTATTTGAAAAAAAAAATTTAAAATTTGGAACGTTCTTCCATTTCAACTAAAAAAAAGGTATCTCCGAAATCGTTCAAAATCTTGGTAATTTTGATGAACGAAGTTAATTTCGGTGTAACTTTCTTCCATTTCAACTAAAAACAAAGTATCTCAGAATATTTCAAATTTTATCGGAATGTTCGTATTTAATTATTGTGAATGAATATATAAATTTTAAAGTAAAAAACATAATTTTAACTATTCATAAGTTATGATTACTAAATACGAAACATAAATTTTTAGCCATCCGGGTTGCAGCTGTTTCAGTTTTCGAGGGGGTTAAAAGGATAAAATAGCCTTAAAACCTCCAATTTTTGTCCCTCGGGTTGTGGTTAGCCTAATGGGAGGGAAAAGCAACATTGTCAAATAGGGGAGGCAAAAGCAGAACGCGTAGGTTAGTTGTTGTTTCATTATAATTGTTTCAGCTTGTTAGTTGTTGTTTCATTGTAATTAATTAATAATAGAGAGGAAGCCCGTGCTTCGTGACCAGAGTCACAAGACATAATCATTAGTAATAGAACAGAGATATTGATTACATATAATCTCAATGTGTTCTTATGGCGACATAAGGCTAAGTCTGTATCCAACATTTAAAAGCAGGTAACAATAAAGATCCATTTCAATAACTCCCACCTACATGTAGATAAAAAAGAGTTAAGTATCTATTCATGTTTTGTTTTACAGGGAAGGAGAAAAGAGTTGCCTGGCAGACAAAGACATGTAAAGTTTCACAAATGCATCACCTCACGCTATGGTCGGGTCGGGTACATTTGGTGGCTGGCCTCTATAAGGCTGTCCACAACCCTAGGACTAAAAGGCTAAAATGTCCTTTTAGTCCCAATAAAGCATCTTTAATCATGGGGCAAATTTGAGGGGTAAAAGGCTATAGGAGATTTTAGGGGGCTATTTTAGCTCTTATTTGGGAGGGTTTTATGAGGGGGGCTAAAATGGTGAGAGCTCAAATGGTGGGGATTATTTTAACTTTTTTTTATCCAAGATAAGCCCCCAGGGCATGGCCGAACAACAAATATATAAAACTGATAACAACAATAATAAAGAACGGTAACCCGTATGCAACCAGACTCCTGATAAAGGAGCCTTTTTTGCCATGAGGTGGGCAGCTCTATGAAAGCCCCGAGGAGCAAAGACGCGAAACTGACATAGGGACTCGAGAAGAGAGAGAGAGAACTTCCCTTAAAATATCTCTGACTTTAGAATGGGAAGACTTCCTCGATGTAGCATCCTAATGACCGGTTGAGAATATCATCGAGAGGTAACAACCAAACATTATGAGTAAGACACTTTCTCATAGTAATAGCATAATAAATTTTACCAAAAGCAAATGAGACAGTGCCATCACCTGAAAATCTGGCAAAGTCAGTTTGCACATCCGTGAAGATTCTTTGTGACCCAATCAACCCAGATCAATATACTTTTGCTAGGGCATGTTATATCTAACCCCAAAAAGGCATCCACTGCGATGCTAAAGATCTCTATCTCAAGAGATTAAGGAATGCCCTTTAGGCACATGCGACATAACCGAATGGATAACATCAATTGTATAATTGATAAAAAGAAGTATAATAGCTCTACATTTGAAGATGGATCCGAATCACCCAATATACAACATTCTTAAAAGTGAATTACCAAAGATAATGAAATAAAATTTCTATTTAACATAAATTAAGAGTAAGAGTAAATGAGACCACTAAAGATGGACATTTAATAGCTAAACAATAATGATAATAATAAAGCATATTAAAGGGGAAGTAAATACCCGAGAAGCAAAGCCAATTAAATAATTCTCTTGTAATCAGCAATAATTAAGAAAATAAAAAATTAGTAAATAAGATTCCAAAACTTACCTCGTAAGTCAATAACTGAGACATCACCGGAGGAAGGAATTTAAATTAAAAAGAAAATTTGCTTACATGGCGCCGTATGTCTCGCCTCGGAACTAAATTCGGAGACAAGGCGAAATTTGAAGGCGGCGGCCGGAGGAGAGCCTGGAACCCCAGAGCTCCAATCACCACCACATCTGAATGTACGTAACCTGACCGGCCGGAGACAGAGATGAACGGAATCACTTGGTGATGGCATAGATGATCCCCGGGATGTAGCCGAAGAGGGTGAGCACCAAACAGATCCAGAACTCCACCTGACAGCCAAACTTGAGGAAGACGCCGAGAGGAGGCAAGAGGATGGCCAGCAGGATGTCGATGAAGTTAGCCGTGCCGGTTCTCATGATGATCGACTGACTAAACTGATCGAGGATCAACGCCGGTGAGGAGAGGTTGGACCGAATAGAAAAGAACTGGCCGAATAGAAAGGAACTGGCCGGGGCTGGAAGGTGGGGCTGGAAGGTTGGAGTGATGAGTGATGACATTATAGAAAGATTCTCCATGCAGGAAGATGATCAGACACGCTGTGTTGCCGGAGAGGAGAAAAATTAAGAGAGCAGTAGGCACAGAGCGCCAGAGGAAAGGGGTGAGGGGCCTACGCACGAACCGATTATTATTTTAACTTTTCTTTGTTTTACTTAAATTGAATATACTTGTGTTGTTGTGAGTGTTTTTAACTAACGAAGTTCCTATCGTTGTAACTTTCAACCATTTGATTGTTATTTGAAAAAAAAATATTTAAAATTTCGAACGTTCTTCCATTTCAACTAAAAAAAAGGTATCTCCGAAATCGTTCAAAATCTTGGTAATTTTGATGAACGAAGTTAATTTCGGTGTAACTTTCTTCCATTTCAACTAAAAACAAAGTATCTCAGAATATTTCAAATTTTATCGGGATGTTCGTATTTAATTATTGTGAATGAATATATAAATTTTAAAGTAAAAAACATAATTTTAACTATTCATAAGTTATGATTACTAAATACGAAACATAAATTTTTAGCCATCCGGGTTGCAGCTGTTTCTGTTTTCGAGGGGGCTAAAAGGCTAAAATAGCCTTAAAACCTCCAATTTTTGTCCCTCGGGTTGTGGTTAGCCTAATGGGAGGCAAAAGCAACATTGTCAAATAGGGGAGGCAAAAGCAGAACGCGTAGGTTAGTTGTTGTTTCATTATAATTGTTTCAGCATGTTAGTTGTTGTTTCATTGTAATTAATTAATATTAGGGAGGAAGCCCGTGCTTCGTGCCTAGAGTCACAAGACATAATCATTAGTAATAGAACAGAGATATTGATCACATATATTCTCAACTAGCTTTTTACCCGGCCCGTTGGCCGGTGAGTTTCATTTTATCATTTATATTAATCAATTTATCTATATGTTTAAACTATTTTGGATCTTCTACATTTTTTACATTTGCATTCATGCGTGAGTATGCAGTGCGTCTGTAAATTAAAAATTCTCAATGCTTAGCACATTCACTTATGATGTTTCAATTCTCTGATCATAAATCATGTCACAAAGATATATCACGATACTCAAATGCGTGAGTATGTGGTGCGTCTATAAATTAAAACAACTAAATTAAAACAACGATACTCAAAATTTTTTATCTTATACAATATATGCCATTCAATGAATCTCGAGTTTAAACAAACTCTCAACCAATGATGTTGCTCAGATGACGACAACTTAGTTAGAATGTTTTTATAAAGGTACTTCAATATTAGGTAAATTTGGTCATCCCAATTGAAAGTTTATTGTCTTATTGTAAGATCATATTTGTCGATCAAGACACTCAATATAATATCTTATACAATATGTACCAACTGTTAATTCCTGAAGTTTAATTTAGACTCACCCTCAACTAATGATCGTTGTTTAGATGTTGGTTTAGAATCTCAGTCCAAGATACTCACACACTGTCGAGGGTTCTAATCTTAACATGGTCCATTGGTGTATAATTTTCTAACTTATCAAATATGCATATGCTTAAACTTATACTAATACCTTCATTTTGTTGGTGTAATGCCACATATATTGTCAATATCTAAGCATGATACTATACCCTAATTCTTGATGAGTGAACCCTAGGTCTTAGTTATCTAAATCATAGAGCTTAACCCCTAAGATTGTGCATGTAATTTGTTGCATATATTTTGACGAAGCATGACCGTTGATTTTTGTTTAGAATTAAATTGATCTTAGGGTATGAGATTTATAAATTTAAGACCTAGATTTTAATCTTGAAGGGTTTGAGAATAATACCATATGCCAAACTCCAGCCAATTCAAGGTCTAGATATCATTTTCTTACTCAAAGTATGTCATAATATACATATATAAATATAAAGAGTTTAATGTATTTTTAAGTGTAATTAACACCTTTGTTTGACCGAAATAGGTAAACTATTAAGAAAAATAAGGGAAAATATGAACAAATGTAAGAGAAAATAAGGTATGGAAGCATGCATTATAAGAGAGAAGAAAAGTTGTTTTTCTTTATCGCCTTCATTTGTACAATCAGGTACTATATTATGACTTCGTCAAGTTTCTATCTAAATGAAAAACAACTTTTGAAGCATTTTGCTATTTAATACTTGTTTTCATTAATAGATACAAACATTAGAAAAAGATAGTGTTTGATAACCAAAACATAAAATTATATAGTTGGTTTTTCAAATTCAATTGATTATTAAATGTTGATTATCTAAACTTCACTGTATTAAGTTCTAATAAAAATAAAAATTAATTGATCAGATTTAATCAAATATATTTATTAAAAGATTACAATATATGTCACTCTCCAAACATACGTATACTGTTGCTATACATATATATTGCAAAAAACAATTATTGAATAAAAAAAATATTAAAAGAAGATATACATAGCTACATAAATGATCATTAAAATAAAAAGAAAATATTAAAAGAAGATAGATATAGCTACATTAATTGATCATTAACTAACTTTTTTTGTTGTAAAAAAAGTGTACACCATGGCACCTTGTAAATTCTCCAAATGCTTATGTGGCAACAAACTACTTTTGAATTGCCATAATATTATGTATAGATAGATAGATAGATAGATAGATAGATGTGTTCTTATGGCGACATAAGGCTAAGTCTGTATCCAACATTTAAAAGCAGGTAACAATAAAGATACATTTCAATAACTCCCACCTACATGTAGATAAAAAAGAGTTAAGTAGCTATTCATGTTTTGTTTTACAGGGAAGGAGAAAAGAGTTGCCTGGCAGACAAAGACATGTAAAGTTTCACAAAAGCATCACCTCACACTATGGTCGGGTCTGGTACATTTGGTGGCTGGCCTCTATAAGGCTGTCCACAATCCTAGGGCTAAAATGTCCTTTTAGTCCCAATAAAGCATCTTTAATCATGGGGCAAATTTGAGGGGTAAAAGGCTATAAGGGATTTTAGGGGGCTATTTTAGCTCTTATTTGGGAGGGTTTTAAGAGGGGGGCTAAAATGGTGAGAGCTCAAATGGTGGAGATTATTTTAACTTTTCTTTGTTTTACTTAAATTGAATATACTTGTGTTGTTGTGAGTGTTTTTAACTAACGAAGTTCCTATCGTTGTAACTTTCAACAATTTGATTGTTATTTGAAAAAAAAAATTTGAAATTTGGAACGTTCTTCCATTTCAACTAAAAAAAGGTATCTCCGAAATCGTTCAAAATCTTGGTAATTTTGATGAACGAAGTTTATTTCGGCGTAACTTTCTTCCATTTCAACTAAAATCAAAGTATCTCATAATATTCCAAATTTTATCGGAATGTTCGTATTTAATTATTGTGAATGAATATATAAATTTTAAAGTAAAAACATAATTTTAACTATTCATAAGTTATGATTACCAAATACGAAACGTAAATTTTTAGCCATCCGGGTTGCAGTTGTTTCTGTTTTCGAGGTGGCTAAATGGCTAAAATAGCCTTAAAACCATGGATTACGAAACCGTACCGGACATCAAATCGGAATCGTTTTTGGCATGGTAAATCGTGGTACAACCATGGTTCAACCGTTTCCTACCGGCAAATACCGTTTTTGGAATAAAAAAATTATTTTTTTGTTAAAAAACCGTACCGACAAAATTAGGGTACCATACCGGGAAAATACCGGAATAAAACCGGATTATACCGCCTAAGAAACTGTAAAAGAGTAAATAAGCTTAGGTAACATTCAACAAAGTGCGAGATTTCAATACCTAATAAACCTCATAATCATCCAAATACATTTTTAGAACGAAACAAAAGCAAATAACTTGCATTAGCAACCACGGCGAGAAGAATATATACTCACCAAAAAAAAAAAAACAAAGAACCTAGCCTTTCCAGAAATTGAACTTTCCCCAATGAATCGATTGCATAGTCCTACAAAACCTCTAACTTTTCAAACAGCTAACCTCAACCACGAAGACACTAACCAACCACGAACCTCAAATTCCCAAACCAAATAGCACACCAGCAACAACAACACAAAACGCTCAAGGAATCTGTCCAGTAAAAGGAAATCAAGCTTGCCTTCCCCTCAATCACACACATTACAAAAGACCAAGAGTCGGTCCAAACTCAATCCAAAACCCACCATACAAATAGAAGGAAAAAAAACAAGCAAACCAGGAAGAGAAAGAGAACACCCAAAAAAAAAAAAACTGCAGGCACTACGAGAACTTCGAATCGACCAGGAGAAACCTAATTCAGTAACCAATTTGCAGCTCTAAACTGGAACGATCGACAGAATTAGCTGAATCATCATTCATTGACTGGAAAATGACTAAGAAATTCCCCCTAGCTATCAGATGGATCGATCAATATACCAAAACCGCTCCACTCCCAGCATGAATTGATTGGAAGGGCAGATAAAACTTTCCATATGCAAAATCAGAAGAAGAAGGAATGAAGGAGAAGATGGAAGCCCAAAGCCAAGCTACTAACCTTGAAACGGCGAGCTGGATAAAGCCAAGCGTTACTATTTCCCCCCCCCCCCTTCCTTCCTCTGTAATAATATCAATTTATTGTGGCGGCCACGATCTCTGATTGGAGCGATGAAGGGCACGGTCAAGGGCGCGGTCGCCGGTGGTGTTGATCGCCGGTTGCTGGGGATAAAGAGCGGCGCGACGCGGGAATACCTGAGAGGCGTGACGCGGGGAGACCTGAGCGGCGCGACGCGGGGAGACCAGAGCGGCGCTGCTGAGTGCTGGGAGAGAGAGACGAGAGGCAGGTAGGGTTTTTGCGCTGCTTCCCTTCCCTTCCGTTTTTTTTTTCATCAAACGGCGCCGTTTGTGTAAAATGAAGGGACCGCCGGGTTGGTTTTAAACCGGCCGAAATTTCGGCCCATTGCGGTCCAACCGCAAATACCGCCCGGCAGGTTATTGAAGGGTACAAAGCCCTATTGCACCGGTTTACCTCCGGTTTCCGGTTTTTCCGGTTCGACCGACCGGTCCGGTAGGGTATCCTGGTCCTTGCTTAAAACCTCCAATTTTTGTCCCTCGGGTTGTGGTTAGCCTAATGGGAGGGAAAAACAACATTGTCAAATAGGGGAGGCAAAAGCAGAACGCGTAGGTTAGTTGTTGTTTCATAATAATTGTTTCAGCATGTTAGTTATTGTTTCATTGTAATTAATTAATACTAGGGAGGAAGCCAGTGCTTCGTGACCAGAGTCACAAGACATAATCATTAGTAATAGAATAGAACAGAGATATTGATCACATATATTCTCAATTTGTTCTTATGGCGACATAAGGCTAAGTCTGTATCCAACATTTAAAAGCATGTAACAATAAAGATCCATTTCAATAAGTCCCACCTACATGTAGATAAAAAAGAATTAAGTAGCTATTCATGTTTTGTTTTACAGGGAAGGAGAAAAGAGTTGCCTGGCAGACAAAGACATGTAAAGTTTCACAAAAGCATCACCTCACGTATATGGTCGGGTCGGGTACATTTGGTGGCTGGCCTCTATAAGGCTGTCCACAACCCTAGGGCTAAAAAGCTAAAATGTCCTTTTAGTCCCAATAAAGCATCTTTAATCATGGGGCAAATTTGAGGGGTAAAAGGCTATAAGGGATTTTAGGGGGCTATTTTAGCTCTTATTTGGGAAGGTTTTAAGAGGAGGGCTAAAATGGTGAGAGCTCAAATGGTGGGGATTATTTTAACTTTTCTTTGTTTTACTTAAATTGAATATACTTGTGTTTTTGTGAGTGTTTTTAACTAACGAAGTTCCTATCGTTGTAACTTTCAACCATTTGATTGTTATTTGAAATTTTTTTTTTAAATTTGGAACGTTCTTCTATTTCAAATAAAAAAAAGGTATCTCCGAAATCGTTCAAAATCTTGGTAATTTTGATGTACGAAGTTAATTTCGGTGTAACTTTCTTCCATTTCAACTAAAAACAAAGTATCTCAGAATATTTCAAATTTTATCGGAATGTTCGTATTTAATTATTGTGAATGAATATATAAATTTTAAAGTAAAAAACATAATTTTAAGTATTCATAAGTTATGATTACTAAATACGAAACATAAATTTTTAGCCATCCAGGTTGCAGCTGTTGCTGTTTTCGAGGGGGCTAAAAGGCCAAAATAGTCTTAAAACCTCCAATTTTTGTCCCACGGGTTGTGGTTAGCCTAAGGGGAGGGAAAAGCAACATTTTCAAATAGGGGAGGCAAAAGCAGAACGCGTAGGGTATGCAAAGTTCAAGGCAAGAGCAATTGCTGCTTTGCAAGTTTCCTATAACATTATTGGCGTGGATGCTGCAGACACCTTGGTTGTTGTTACTAAATGGTTCACAAGTAGGGCTGCAAATAAGCCGAGCTGCTCACGAGCGGCTCGGCGTTCGACTCGAGAAAATCTCGTTCGAAACTCTTGTTAATAAACGAGCCGAACACGAGCTCACCTTTGTTGAGCTCGTGAAACTCGCAAGCTAGCTCGACTCGGTGGCTTGTTGAGCTAAACTCGTGAGCTGGCTCGTTTAGAGCTCATGATATGTCTTAACATGTGGTTAGAGAGCCAACTCGATTACCAACTTATGGACGAATCAATCTATATCTTATGATTTTAATTCATATGGTTGTTAATTTATATATCTCACCATATATAAAGTTTTGCACGTTGAGTATGTGAGCAAATATACTTATTTTCTACTTTAAAAAGAAATTATGCATCATAGATTGCTTCGCTACAATGAAATAACATGATTTGGAGTAGTTAAAATTTATTAACTAAACGATATATGATACCAACAAAGTATAAAGTATAAGATGAGATTAACTAACAAAATAAATCATATGTATCATGATATACAAAATGAAGTACCAAATAAAAGTTAAGATTTTAATAAACAAGCTAGCTCGAGCTCGACTCGACTCGACTCGTTAATAAACAAGCTGAGCTCGAGCTCGACTCGTTTATTAACGAGCCGAGCTCAAGGCTGGGTAAAACTCGACTCGCCTCATTTGCAGCCCTGTTCACAAGATAAGAAAGACAAATTTGTTCCACACATAACTATTACTAGCTAATTAGCCCGTGCTCTGCGTCGGGTCAACTTTTTATAACAAAATTTAATTAATTTACGTCAAACCAAATAGTTAGAAATGAAGAATTAACTTGCTCTATAATTTGTGTAAGGAGGTGGCACAAAACACTATGAATTTATATATATAAAAATTCAAAGCAAGCTTACACCCTTATATATTCTTTACAATTTAATGATTATTGAGAAAATAACACCACTATGAAAGATATCGAAGAATATCATACTAAAGCATTAAAAGTTCAATTTATTGTCAAAACAAACACCTTAAGCCGACTTGAAGTGAACACCAATGGAAGCACACTTGGTGCTTAAACAGTACTTTCGTTACTTGAAATTTGAAAGAACAGTTTACAACCCACTAAAGTTCATGTCTTACCTGTGTTCGACGGTGTCACTATGGAAAGGTAACCGAACTCATAATCAGTGACTAACTAATCGTGGGTTTGAGTACTTATATCTACATTTTTCTTCTTCCTCTGCATCATACAACAACCCGCAAAACTCTTGTTTTACAATGAAATTGAAAGCTAAAAGAACTTGCAAAGGATTACAAAAGGAAAACGCCTACTTGTTAACTACTTTTATGTTGAGGGACACTCTCAACGCAGCGATGTCATATTCATATCGCTCTATTCCGTGCAACCACGAATATATAAATGGTCTCATACTCGGTAACAACCTACGCAAGGAAGAGTGATAAGCAACAACAATACCTGGTATTAAACATGTAACATTAGTTCACATTGAAATACTCATAATTATTACCACATGGGCATCCTCTCCTCTCCTCTTCTCTCCACAAAGCGGGAACTAAATAGCACTCCAAAACAAATAAAAATGCAGGAGAAGTTCAACCCATTTAGGACGACGGAAGAAAGATATACAATCACAAAATTCACCTACCGAAATAATCCTCTGACTTCTTTAAACCATACCTAAAATAAACTGAAGCAAACAATTGCAAACTCTGACATTGCTTCCTATGTTGCTTCTGCTTTCATTGCGACCACTACCCCCTCTGCGTCGTGTTTTACCTGGTCAGGAGGATGAGGAATTCTGATGATGTGATAGAACATTGGGAGCTTGAAATTGGCTAGAGAGAGTTCGCGTTGTTGGAAATAAAATAATATTTATTTCCTATTACACTTGGTAGGCAAGTTGGCAAATAGTGGGAGACTTTTGGTTTTATGTTTGGAAATGTTGATGGGCAGGTTTTGGGAGGAATGAAAATGGCAGAGAGTGGATAGACTATAGGGAAAGGGATGTTTTCTTTTATTTGCTTTTCTTCTTTCTTTTGCTTTCTCTTAGCTCTGCATTACAACCCATGCACCATGGCAGCCTTTTATAGGCTTGAAACTACACAAAAATCTGCAACACATTTAATTTGGGTAGTTAGAACCGCCATGCAATTGTGGTTCTCATTTTTTTCTTTTGTTTAATCATACCACTTAATTCATTCTACACCATTCCACACACTGATTTTTTTCTTGACACACCACACGTTACCTACTTCTCTAGACCTTTCTGATTTTTATTTTTAATAATTAAACTTTATTAATTTCAACACTCCCCCTTAAAGTTTAATTTGTCGTAACTCCGAGTAGCGTCCTCATCTTGACGAACACATCTTGCTTCAGTGGCTTCGTGAAAATGTCTGCAATCTGGTCTTCAGTCTTCACATACTTCAACGCCACTTCTTTCTGCTCCACGCATTCTCTCAAGAAATGATACCTTGTATCAATGTGCTTACTGCGATCATGAAACACCGGATTCTTTGCTAACGCTAGGGCAGACTTGTTATCCACAAAAATTTCAGTTGACTCTTCCTGTGTCATGTTCAACTCCTTCAGCAACTTTCTCAGCCATATCGCATGACACGCACACGATGTCGCAGCAACATACTCAGCTTCACAAGTTGACAGTGTCACGATAGCTTGCTTCTTTGAACTCCATGTGAAAGCTGTATCTCCCAGAAAAAATACAAATCCTGTAGTGCTCTTGCGATCATCGAAGTCTCCTGCCCAATCACTATCGCAGTATCCAACCAATTTGAAATTTTCCGACTTAGTATAAAGTAGACCATGATCGATTGTACCTTTGATATAGCGCAGTATCCTCTTAGCAGCATTCCATTGTGACATTGTCGGTGCCTCCATGTATCTGCTCACTAAGCCAACTGCGTAGAGAATATCTGGTCTGATACAAGTCAGGTATCTCAGACTTCCCACCAGGCTTCTAAATTCTGTTGAGTTGACCTTCTCTCCTTTGTCATCCTTGGATAATTTCAGTCCACACTCTGCTGGTGTGCTCACAGGATTACAGTTCTCCAACTTAAACTTCTTCAAGACCTCTTTGGCAAAACCACTCTGTGAGATGAAAATTCCTTGCTCTTTTTGACTTACTTCAATTCCAAGATAGTATGACATTAGTCCGATGTCTGTAATCTCGAACTCACGAACCATCGTCTTCTTGAACTCTTCAAACATTTGAGGATCGTTGCCTGTGAAGACAAGATCATCTACATATAGACAAACCATCAATATTGCTCCCCCTTGCACCTTGCAGTATAGTGCATGCTCATGTGGGCATTTGCTGAATCCATTCTGCTGAAAATACTTGTCAATCCTGCTATTCCAAGCTCTCGGTGCTTGTTTCAGACCATACAATGCCTTCTTCAGCTTCAACACCTTATCTTCTTGACCTTCAACGATATATCCAGGGGGTTGCTCAATATAGATATCTTCCTCGAGATATCCATTCAGAAAAGCTCACTTCACATCCATCTGATGTATCTTCCATCCATTTTGAGCAGCGAGAGATATCACCATCCTAATACTCTCCATTCTCGCCACGGGAGCAAAAACTTCATTATAGTCAATGCCTGGTCTCTGACTATATCCTTTAGCCACCAATCTTGCTTTGTGCCTGACGACTTCTCCTTTTGCGTTCTTCTTCGCTTTAAATACCCACTTCACACCGATGGGCTTCTGGTTCTCAGGGAGTGACACAAGCTCCCAAGTCTTGTTCTTCTCAATTGCTCCAATTTCTTCATCCATAGCTCTCTTCCATTTTTCATCCTTCATGGCTTCTTCGACATCAACTGGTTCACTATCAATGAAATGACAATAGAGTGTCAATTCATCACCTTCAATGGTTGTCGTTTCCTCATAAATTTCTTCAAGTCTCCTATACTTCTGTGGCCTTTCTCGGGGACTTTCACTAGATTCTCCTTCTGGGCTGGCAGGCTCTCTGTGACTGGGTGGACTTGTCACAGGTGTAGATGTATCTGGTTCATCATCACTTTCATCCATATTGAATGGATAAAAAGTGTAATTCTTCTTTTCTTCAGCAGTCCAATCCCATGTTGCTTCTTCATCAACTACAACGTCTCTGCTGATGATCAGCTTCTCTTCCACGGGATCAAACATTTTGTAACCTTTTGAGTGTTCTGAGTATCCCAGGAATATGTACTTCTTGCTTTTGTCATCCAACTTCTTCCTTTCTTGATCCGGTACATGCACATATCCAACACTTCCGAAGACCCGGAGGTGAGAGATTGTGGGTTTCCTTCCGCTCCATGCTTCTTGGGGTGTTTGATTCCAAACACTCTTTGTTGGTGACCTGTTCAGCAGGTAGATTGCACAATCAATAGCTTCAGCCCATAGCTCCTTTGGCAGGTTCTTGCTTTTCATCATGCTTCTCGCCATGTTGAGGACAGTTCTGTTCTTCCTCTCAACGACTCCATTCTGCTGTGGGGATCTTGGGACTATGAGAAACCTGCGAATTCCTTGATATTCACAGAACCTTCTGAACTTCTTGAGCATAAATTATCCACCTCTATCTGATCTCATTGCTTTGATGTAGCGGCCACTTTCATTCTCCACCATCATCTTGAATTTCTTGAAAGCTTCAAATGTATCTGACTTTTGCTTCAAGAAGTAAACTCATGTCTTTCTACTGTAATCATCAATGAACAATAGGAAGTATTTGTTCTTCCCGAACGATGTTGGGGTGATCGGTCCACAGAGATCTGCATGGACGAGCTCAAGTGGTGCTTTAGCTCGTGACAGGGACTCCTTCGGGAAACTTGCCCTGAATTGCTTTCCAACTAAGCATCCTTCACACAATTGGTCTGGATGATTGATCACTGGTAGACCATGCACCATCTTCTTCTGACCGAGCAACTTCAGGCCTCCAAAATTTAGATGGCCATACCTCAGATGCCATAGCCATGTATTGTCCTTCACACATGCTTTCAAACACTTCGCCATTTCAGTCTGAATGTTCAAGGTGAACATTCTATTTCTCGACATTGGGACTCTGGCCAACAACTGCTTTTTCTCATTTAGCAGCTCCAGTTGACGATTCACCATGTGGACTTCATAATTTTTCTCCATCAGCTGACCCAAGCTCAGGATGTTACTAGTCATGTCTGGGACATAGTACACATCACTGATAGATTGCTGTGAGCCATTCTTGAGCCGGATGAGTATAGTTCCTCTGCCTTTGATAGGAACCTTCGAGGAATCTCCAAATACGACATTTCCTTTCACTGACTCATCCATATCCACGAACATGTTTCTTTTTCCACACATGTGGTTGCTTGCTGCATTATCCAGATACCACATGTTGTCTCTCGGTTTTTCATCTCCTTGATGTAACAGCATCAATGTGCCTTTGACTTCTTCTTGCACGTTGTTTGCCGTCTCCTCTACTTCTTTAGGCGGACTCCAACACTCCGATGAATAATGTCCGTACTTCGAGCAATTATAGCACTGGACGTTGGATTTATCACGACCTTCATTTGATCTCCAACTTCCTCTTCCACGTCCACGACCACGACCTCTGCCTCTGGTGGACGTTTCATAATTGTTCGTGGTGAAATTTCCTCCGTCTCTGCTTTGATATGCTCCTCGAGCTCTTCCTCTTCCTCTACCTCTGTAGCTGCCTCTGCCTCGACCTCTGTACTGACCTCCTCCTCGGGCACCTTCTTTCTCCTCAGTGGTAGCTTTTGTAGCTAACACTTGTTCTGACGATTCTTCATTTCTTTTATTTAGTCTTTCTTCTCTGGCTTGTAATGAACCGATGACTTCATCAACCGTCATTTTTGACACGTCCTTAGCTTCCTCCATGGCCACCACCACATAGTCAAACTTTGGTAATAATGACCGTAGAATTTTCTCCACCACTTTGGTCTCTTCAATTTTCTCCCCATACTGCTTCAGTTTGCTGACGACTGACTTCACACGGGCGGTGTAATCTGAAACAGATTCACCTTCCTTCATTCTAATAGCTTCAAAATCTCCCCTTAGTATCTGAAGTCGAACCTTCTTTACTGGTTCTACGCCTTGCATTTCTTTTTGCAAAATCTCCCATGCTTCCTTTGCTGTGGTAGCATCTGCTATTTGATCGAACATCGATTCATCAAGACACTGATGAATGAGAGTGAGTGCTTTCTGATCACTCTTTCTATTTTTTCTCAATACCTCCTTTTCAGCAGGAGATAACCGAGAATCCTCTACGGGAATCTCGTAGCCTTTTTCGACAATATCCCAAGTGTCTTGGGATCCAAGCAAGGCTTTCATACGAATGCACCCATTTTTGTAATTGGTTTTGGTAAGGTGGGGAAATTGAATGGGGAAAGTGGATTTTTCGGCCATGGGACAATCGTGATAACAAAAACACGAGAAATTCTTTTCTGATGTGGAAGTTCAGACTACGCTGCAACCACAGAGCATACTTAAGAATAACTCGGGCTCTGATACCACTTTGTTGGAAATAAAATAATATTTATTTCCTATTACACTTGGTAGGCACGTTGGCAAATAGTGGGAGACTTTTGGTTTTATGTTTGGAAATGTTGACGGGCAGGTTTTGGGAGGAATGAAAATGGCAGAGAGTGGATAGGCTATAGGGAAAGGGATGTTTTCTTTTATTGCTTTTCTTCTTTCTTTTGCTTTCTCTTAGCTCTGCATTACAACCCATGCACCATGGCAGCCTTTTATAGGCTTGAAACTACACAAAAATCTGCAACACATTTAATTTGGGTAGTTAGAACCGCCATGCAATTGTGGTTCTCATTTTTTCTTTTGTTTAATCATACCACTTAATTCATTCTACACCATTCCACACACTGATTTTTTTCTTGACACACCACACGTTACCTACTTCTCTAGACCTTTCTGATTTTTATTTTTAATAATTAAACTTTATTAATTTCAACACGCGTTTGGTAGCTGCAATCCACTTCTCTAGACAGAACTTCCTAAATCCTACTAAGTAGCACTTCTAATTATATTTTTAATAGAAATTATTTAACTATCCCTTAATAGAAAGACGTTGAACATGGAGATTTGAAAGTTATGTAGTATAATTGATCTTCCCTGAAAATGAGAACTTAATTGATTTAAGGTACGAAGAAGGTAAAAGACGCTAAACACACATTTTGTGATCATAAAGGGAAGTGATAATAATCCAATGAGATGACAAAGGTACTTGCACTTTGAGTTCCAAACAGTAAAGGGATGACCACAATCAAAGCTCAAGGAAGGTTATTAAAAAAACATAATGTGTTAATTCCAGAACTCAAGTAATGCTTAACTATGCCCAGAAAGATCTTTTTGTTTTGGGAGATGAAGACAGGGTTGTCGAGAAGAAGGTTTGTGATCTTGGAGAAAAATTCATGCCATACTAAGAAATTGGAACCACTAATCCGATTGGTCATGTACTTGTGATCAAAACCTTGGAGAAAAACTCATGGCATACTAAGGAATTGGTACCACTAATCCAATTGTGTATCTTGAAAAGTAAACAAACAGATTGGTTCATAATCAAGCTCACACATACTAAATTTTTAATCGGGATAAATCACCATGCATGCTCAATCCCACCAAGTGACAAAACTTTCTAATGAGATTTGTGAAAGGTCAACACAATGAGAACTGTTCGAGACAATGCAGCAAAATCACCACTAAACCCACAGCAGAATCCCATAAGGAACCAAAAGACTTACAGAGAATGAGGAACCTATAAAGGACCAAACGTAGTCGTGCTTGAACAAAAAATAGCAAGGTCAAACTGCAAAGCATCCGACATCACATAAGGTTGTAAATTTCATTCTATCTAAATACCTAGCTGCATTTCTTTCAATACTTTCTTTACCTTGAATCCTTGATAAGAAGGGGAGAGTTTACCAATTGTTTACTAACATAACCAACCATGTTGTATATACTAAATTAAAAACTTCGTTAGGAAGGCATCACCAACTGCATAAACCCAACTCCAGAACCAGAACTGGCTTGTATTTGTATGTTTTCTTATGTTTTAGGTGTGGATGTAGAGAGATTTCATCGTGATTTACTACTGGATAGACGCGCGCATTCTTTTCCATTCACTTCCATAAAATATATCAGCATGCATTCACATATAGAAAAGAAACTATAGCAACATAATCAACTAACACAATTACTTCCTCTTGATAATTTGATGGTAATTCTGGATAATTTTCATCCTCTTTTCTTCCACTTCTGTGAAACTCATTTAAGCCCAAGAACACAAATATATCTCTCTATGAGCAGTTACTACTGCAGTAGATAATCATCTCAAACCCCAACCCATTCTAAAAGAGATTTTCCAAATTCCGTATATTTGTTAAGAACACCAAATTGTCGAAGCTAAACCAAGTTCTCATCAAACTTATGAAGCAAAAAGAATTAACCTAGCAAGTACTGAGAAATCATGAGCAACACACAAATTGAATCCAATCTTCAGTTACTGAGAATACCCACATAAATAAGCATGTTGCTAACAATAGAATGAAATTAACCTTTACTAAGTGAAGCAATCATGAAGATAGGATGGAAGTGGAAAAATACCAGCAAATCCTATGGAGCTTGGTAGAGATCGAATCTGATTCCACTTAGTTGTAGCCGTCAATGGCGGATATGATGATAGGCACCAGCAAGAGAATTTGGTGAGTACTCGGCATATTCAGGGTAGGCAGAGAGGTGGGTTAGGGCTCTATCATGCCTTCGATTTAACGGAGAATAGAGGCCATGGTTTCAGTGTCGTCGGAAAGAGGAAAAGGGATTTCGCGTGGAAGAATAACAGTTGCCCAAGGCTTCGATTTTGCTGGGAGAAGAATAAATCGGGGGATGCAGAGGGACAATCTAATCACATGGAGCGGTCTTAATTAAGCTCACGCATCCACGATTGTACTTGGACAGCCCAACAAAAATAAACACGGACCTACGTGAATTTGCACACAGACGATTTTTAATTCCCTTCGTGAACAGTGGAATCCGAAAATTTCTTAATGAACAGTTCCTCCGCTTTTTTAGGAACTTGGGACTTAATAAATCTAATAATAACTAATAATAATAACTAATGTCAGACCACTGCATTCCAATAGAGAAGCGAATTTGGAAACAAAAAAACAACACATGAAGTAAAGTGACGTGAAGCTACACCTGAGAGTCATATTGAATTATTTGAGAAGCACAATGATAGTCATTTTCAATTTTCCACAGGCAAAATGATATGAAACTACACCTAAGAGTGACCTGTCAAAGCAAATACATAACGATAGACATTAAAGTACACAACATGGCAAACATGCTTCCCCTTAGAGTTTCCTGGAACTACAGAGAAACTTTCACCCTCAGAAAATCCTTTATACGAAAGCACACTAGCAGGCAACTGGGTTTGTTGTACCCGTAGTTAACAAGGTATCGGCGATCGGTTATCCCATTGCAGAAAAGTGAAACATTTAGAAATTCATAAAACCATTTATGCAGAGAAAGAGAGTGACGCAAAATTTGGGTATGGCTCCTGCTCATTGAGGATAATCGTTTGGTTACAGTCAGGATCAGCAGGTTAAGAGAGGAAAGAAGTCAAAACAAAGAACTTGCTATGAAACAAAATGAATCGATTTTAAGATGAAGATCCATTTGGTGCTGCGAGTCCTCCAAGGGCATCTCCCAAGTTAAATGTTCCTCTCATGGTCCTCCTCCCAACTCCCCCGTTTCCCATTCTCATCATTGCAGCAAATTCTCCATAGTCTATCTGTCCATCCTGCAAAGCCAACACAGAAACACAAGGATTTATCAGGCACATGAGGGAAACTTAAAAATGCAAGATCAGAACACGACCCAGTGTCTAGGTAAAAATACTCACATTATCTTGATCAATCTCCTTAATCATTTCATCAAGATGGAGCTCACTCAGCCCAAACTCCTTGCATGCTTGCTGAAGCTCATCAATGGTTATGTACCCGCTACCATCTTTGTCAAAGAAAGAGAACGCCGACACTAAGTTTTCTTCTCTCTCCAGTTTATTCAAGTGCACCGTAGCAGCTAGGAATTCTCCATAATCAATCGACCCGCTGTTGTCAATATCAGCCTGCATGCAACAATGAATATTGCCATCACTTCCAGATACTCTAATTGGACTCAACATGTTAGAGAAAATAGGGTTTATCTTACCGCATTCATCAAATCCATTATCTCAGACTCCATAAGTTCAGATCCAACTCTCTTCAACCCATCTTTTAGTTCCTCAAATGTTATTGTTCCACTGTTGTCTGTGTCTATCATTCTGAACAACTCCTTTAGACCACCAATCTCTTCTTCTGATAGCCTCTCTGCTATGACCTGTAAATGTTAAAACGTTGGAGAAAATACAATGAACTGACTGCTGTGGGATAGGTTTAATGAACCAAGAATCAGAATCTGTAGGGTCACAACCTGAGACAGATGCAGACGAATTCTTTCAAGAGACAGAGGATCATGTGGCAACGTCTCATTAAGACAAAACCACATGTGGAGATGCATGTGTGAGATATTATTTCATAACACAGGATATGCTTTGCAACTTGCGTGGTGCAGAATTTAGAAGCAAATGCAGTTTTGGCAGGTATTCCACGGCAGGGAACAGATTGATTGGCTCAAAGGCTAATGATTTGAGTGAATCAAGCATAAGTTTGTAATGTATGAATGTCTCTAAAAATAATGAGCCATGATGGTCCAGAAGAAGAGCTATTCTTGCTAACGACCATGCCTTTTCCATAGTTTACAACTTACCTTATCAACCGATGGAGGTTAAGTCCTACGAATATGAAAAGAAATATCACAATCTAGAGCAACTTACACGTAGTGCCATCTTCTTCAGTTTATTCATCGCAGAGAATTGCTTCAGACGTGATAAAACAGCAGAATCGAGAGGTTTATCAGGGGCCATTGTGTCATCCAAAATCCAGGGATGACCTGAAGCAGAAAAGAAAAGTTTGGCACCCTTAGCTCGTATGTCTCCCAGCATTAATGATAACAAGTGCATGAAATTATTATCCCTGAGACGAATAAGACCACAACTTACAGAGGACTTCATGAGCAGATAACCTCTTCCTCGGGTTCCGCTCAAGCATCTTTGTTATCAAATCCTTCGCACTGTCCGAAATACTAGGCCACGGTTCAGATACAAAATCCAATTTCGCTTGTAGAATCTGCCGAAAGATTCCTACTTCAGTTTCTGGAGATAAACAAAAATGGACACAAACATCATCACGATATGAGATAGAGCGACGACCATAACACCTTAATGTAAACCAGAACATGGCTACCTGCCCAGAAGGGTGGCACCCCGCTTAGCAAGATGTATAAAATGATTCCTGCACTCCATACATCAGATTCAGGTCCATAATATTTCCGCAAGACCTCCGGTGCAACGTAGTAAGGGCTACCAACAACATCCGACAATGTTTCACCTACAAACCCACCAAAAAACTAGTCATCATCCATTGGCACCAAACCGAATATCTTGTAACAGAGAAGACTTCAGCTGAATTCTAGGAATTCTTCAATGGACAATCTGGAGGTCTAACTTGTTCAACATGTTCAGTTCCAATTCTTTCCTCAAGCTAAACACAAATTGTCAAAGACTAGAGCTTTCCACTCCAAATCCAGAATGTCTTCCCAAATACCAGATTCCACCAACTATTATATCCGTACTAGTGGGCAACCACAACTTTTAGCCAATGAAATCGTAGACCTATACCATTAATAACTGCCTTTAAGGCGGTCCGCCATTGAAGTTGTGTAATGTAAGAATCCAAAGGCATACATTCTTGATTGAAATAACTCGAGAAAGAGCAAGCTTCATCATTAGTCAGTCCGGATAAACAAATGAAACCATCAGGAAAGCAATGCAATACTAGAGCTTCTATTCACTAATTGTCCGCAAGAAATGGCAAGCAAGATCAGCAGAGATAATCAATCTACTACAGCCGGGAAAAATCCAATAGCCATGAATTCACAAACAACTGTAAGGGAGGAGAACAAACTAACAATAAAAAGATAAAAGCGCGTGGAGACTCTTGAAAGTTGAAAAGGATTGCGATCTCGAGCATCGGAGCAAGAACGACTTAATCAAGAAAGATCAAGAGAAACCAAAGATGAGGAATCTTCGCAAAGATGAGATTTCATCAATCCCCGTCAAATCGAAATACAGAACAGTGACAAAGGCAAAGCGTGAATGATTGGAGGAGGAGAAGGAAGAAGAGTGAAAACCTGGCTTGAAAAACACAGAGAGACCGAAATCAGTGGCTTTAAGAGCAGCATCCTCAGCATCGGTATCGAACAAGAAGTTCTCAGGCTTAAGATCTCTGTGCATAACCCCAAGAGAATGGCAAGACTCCACAACACCAACGATGACCTTGATGAGCTTAGCAGCTTCCCGCTCGCTGAAATGGCCCTTCTTGACAATCCGATCAAAGAGCTCCCCACCTTCGCATAGCTCCATCACCAAATGGACGGCAAGAGCATCCTCGAAGGCACCCCTGATCCTGACGACATTGGGATGCTCGGAGAGATGGTGCATTATTTGGATTTCCCTCCACACGTCTTCGTAGTCCTCCTTGCAGAAGAGCTTGCGCTTGGGGATGGATTTGCAGGCGTAGCGATGCCCCGTTGAGGTGTGGGTGCAGAGGTAAGTGGTGCCGAACTGGCCTTGCCCCAGCTTCTTGCCAATGGAGTACTGATCTTTGAGGTTATCGGTCCGATAAGGGAGAACCCATTTGGTTTTGGATGAAGAAGAAGGCGGTGGAGGCGCAGGGGAAGGCGAGGTTGTGGGTGGGTTCTGATTCTCCATCGCTCTGCTACTGAAGCTGGAAGGAAAGAACGAAACAAAGAAAGAAAGGAGAAAGGGGAAGAAGGAAGGAAGAGAGGAAAGGCGGGGGAAAGGAATGGGGTGATTTGGGGAAGGGGACTACTTGACTGGTCTATTCTGGGTTGGTGGGTCAGCCTCAGCCAGCCATGGTTGCCGTCATGCCCACCACCACTCTTGCTGACTGTGAATGTGATTTGTCATTTACATTTTTTCCTATTTTACCTTTTGGGATAGAAAAATCGTGAATCTCACTTTCCACACACAAAAGGAGGGAAAATACAAGGGGGGGAAATGTAAGAGAAATTATTGGAATCAAGAAATTTTCATTTGTTCATGTCTTTGTTATAGACTTATAGTATAGGGATGATTATTTTGGGTGAAAATTACTGTAGTAATTGTTCCCTAATTCGGAGTGAAAACTTCTCTTCTGCTTATTGTATTTTTTTTTCCCTCCACATTTCTCCCTTCAAATATGAACATAATTTTCTCCTACTCATTTCACCGTTATCAAATTTTCATCCCCTCTCAATTTTCCCTCCAATCCTAAATATGAACACCATTTGTACTCCCAACCAATGTCATAAAATTCACTAATTTATCACTCTCGAGTCTTGTTTCGTCTTTCCTCGTCGCAACTCTATTTAAATCAACTTGACATAAATGAATTGGAGCGTGGACAAGAGTAATGGAGTCGATATTAATTTGTTAAAATTTTGTTACCGAATGGTGCCTCATAACTAAAATTTTATAAGTAGAATAAAAAATAATCCACTAAACCACAAGTTCAAAATTGAATACATTGCTCATTGATTTGGTGTATGATAGGTTTAAATTTAATCTGGTAGATACCAAAACTATCAAAATTGCATTCCCACAACCCGTTTCAATTCCCACTACTTTGAAATGATCATTGTGTTCTCTGAAAAACAATTTGAGGTTGAGATTCGAATTTGTCAAGTTAAACAATGCATAAAGAGCACGAAACTAAAACTACTAAAAAACGCACGAATTTGTCAAGTTACCTCGATTCCCATGCCCGCCACACGCTACTACGGGTCGGGTTGGGTAAAACCCGCGCGGGTACGGGGCGGAGCGGGTCGACCCACTCTTACATGTTGTTAAAAAAATACAAATAAATTTTACTTTTTAAAATAAAACGTAGGGAAAAACACTTTAAGAATGAAAAATATTGATAATAGAATGGATAATTGAGTCTAACAAGTTGAAAGATTGACTCTAACTAGTTGAATAAAAGTCAAAATAGGAGAAATATGTATAGATATTGTAAGAAATTGAGATAAATGAGTCTAGAACGGGGCGGGTCGGAAGTAGATATCCATGCCCCGCCCCACGCTACTGCGGATCGGGTAATACCCGCACCATCGCGGGTCAGGTCGGGTAATACCCGCGGGGCGGGTTGAAATTGCCATCACTAGTTCTTATTGAAACCAAATCGTCATATCACAATATTTGAAACTTTTAGGGTCCACAAATCTAAATAATTATTTGAACTAGCCACTCATAGGTAAAGGTGTCAATCGGGCGGGTTCGGGTTGGGTTCAATCGGGTTGTGAGTTAGTCGGGTTGCGGGTTCATCGGGTTGCGGGTTCGTCGGTTCGGGTTCAATCGGGTTCGGGTTTAATCGGGTTGCGGGTTAGTCAGGTTGCGGGTTGATCGGGTTCGGGTTCAATCGGGTTACGGGCAAATCGGGTTCGGGTTCATCGGGTTTCGGACCGATCGGGTTGCTGGCGGATTGGGTTGCGGGTTGTTCGGGTCAACGCATCGAGTTACTTACTCGTTACCAATTTACACATTTTATTACACTAATTTAAAATATTTTTCACAGTTTTTAATCAATTCTTTCTACCTTGTATATATACTTAATTAAGAAAAACTAGTCAAAATCACTACAATCGAAATTTGAAATCTCGCCTTCCCACCACAACTAAAATTGGGCCGCCCAAAATTTCATCGTCACCCGCCCACTACAATTACACCAAAAACATAAAACCCTTCCCTCTGCTTGCAAAAAATTGGGTGCCCAAAATTTCATCACACCCGCCCAAAACCAAAATTTCATCACACCCGCCCAAAATTACTTCTTAGTTCTTACCCTGTCATCTTCTTCAATAATAAAGTTTATTATTATAGACAAAAGGTCTTAGTTATTATTTATTATAATTATTAGTATTGTACTGATTTTATATTTACTTTTTTTGTAATTTGGTTAAAGAAATTCATGTCATAACTTTTGTAATTAAAAACCATAATTTTAAGTGAATTTCAGATTTTGAACACTCTTAACTAAATATGAATGATTTTACTTAGGTTGGGAATGAAAAACTTTATTTGAAAATAATTTAGTTATTTTAACCAATTTATTTCTACCTCGTACATATATACTTAATTTTTTGAAAAAAATAAGTCAAAATGTTAAATCAATTTGTATGACTTGCAAACTTGTTATGTAATTAATCGTAATTGGTAAAGTACACTAGCTAATAGTAATGGTGATATCAATTTTTACAACCAAAAGATACCATTAATTATTTATTTGATATTTTAGTATTATTTCAGTAGTGTAATTGGATTAAAGTATCTCATTTAGTATAACCATGCAAATGTGGTATTTGGCGTGTGGTATTAGGCAAAAGCAGAGTGATAAAAGGAGTTATTTCGAAATAACTTATTGCCCAAATAACTTCAGTAAACTGTTGCCAAACGAGTTATTTGTAAAATTGTTCGAATTATCCTGAAAATTGAACCATTAAAGATTAACTATCAAATCTAGTTAAATTATTGGGACTTCAATCATAACTTACTCAATAACATATATCCTATACACTTAGCCTTACCCTCAATCGACAATATTAAGTTAGTATATGTTGTTGATTGTATACCCTAAACCATCAATACATTATACACTAACCACATACCCTATACCCTAACCATATGTCCTTATGAGTTGTGATTTTGCTAGTATAGTTAATTTAAAACTGAAATTCATACTTTGATTTTCAAAACATAGATAAAAAGTGATATTTGCTAATTGCTATACCCTAACCATATACTCTCTAAACAAACTCTACCTTATACCATTTACCCTAACCAATATACTTTATACCCTAAACAACGAACCGTCAAAGATTACTTATCAAGTTTAGTATAATTGTTGTAACTAATGGTTAATTTATTTATTAGCCCATAAACAATTACATATATATATATATATATATATATATATATATATTAGCCTTCAAAGCATATAAGAATAAATTTAACTAGTCATGCCCTCCATATAAAAATTAAAGATTCATATTTCAAAGGCTAAAATTTTGAAAAACCAAAAAGTTGAAAACATCAAATTTGTTTCATTCTTTCATTTCACAAAAAAAAATACTAAAATTTCCCTCCTTCTTTTTCTTTCCATAAATTAGAAACACTCAATTACCCTCCTCTTTCTCTTCCATAAAATTGAAAGAACCAGATTTCCCTCTTCCTTCCTTCCACAAAAAGTTGAAAACTCAAAATTTCCCTCCTTATTTCTCTTTCATAATAAAAAAAACCAAACTTTCCCACTTCTTTCTATTCCCACAAATCAAAACCACCAAAATTTCCACTTATTTCTTTTCTAAAAAATTCAAATAACCAAATTTTCCTCTTCTTTCTCTTCCCAAAAAGTTGAATACACCAAAATTTTCCTCTTCTTTTAAAAAATACCAAATTACCAAATACATTACTTTATTTTATTTATATTTAATTGATAATTTTATTGAATAGTTGAATTAACCAAAATTTTAATTTATATATTATATTAATATTGTCCATGATCTCAATTATTAATTCTTCATTATTAATATTGACATTATGTTAATTTATATTTAATTTTTTAATTTTTTTAAAGAACTTAGTGTTCAAGTGACCTTCATGTTTCAATTTTTGTAATTTTCTTAAAATACATAATATCAAGTGAGTTTCATATTTTTTAAATTCTCTATACGAAATGAAAAAATAATTTTACCTAAGTTTAGAATGAAAAACTTTATTTTGAAAAACTATGTATTGTATATTATAATAATTATTTAAGTGGACTAAGTGAGGTTCGGGTTGAGTCGGTCGGGTTACGGGTTAGTCGGGTTCGGGTCAATCGGGTTCGGGTTAATTGGGTTGCGGGTCAATCGGGTTGCGGGTCAGTCGGGTTGCGAGTTAGTCGGGTTGCGGGTCAATCGGGTTGCGGGTTACGGGTTGTTGACTTTTAGTCAATTCAGGTTGCGGTCGGGTTGCGGGTCGGGTTGATCGGACGGATTAATCGGGTCGGGCTATGTTTTGACACCTATACTCATAAGTACTGAAAACATAAAAAAATATCACATTGCGATAAGAAAAACATATCATCAAACCAATTTGGCAATTTTGGCGTCACTCTATGCCACCATTTTCTGCCTATGAGTTTTTGGGTGATTTTTTTTAGTTTTGGAGTTCATCTAAAATCAGAGTAACTTCTCTGTGGAAGTTCTTTTTCATTTAGAGGACACATTGCATAAACAAGTGATAAATTCGAGGATGCTCTAGGGTTGTATTCCACATGGTCTTCTAATGTTCAACTATTCACACCATATCATCTATGCCACACAAAATAGACAAGCAACTTTATAGGTTTTAATTAATTAACAAGCAAAGGAAAGGGAAGCAAGGAAAAGCAAAGTTGTTTAGGGTGTTTCAATTTATAGATGCATAAAAGTAAGGATACATTATTGTATAAGAAGGTAAATCTTGACTAGCATCATGCATACTAAGGCTCACTCATATCATGCATCAATGACTCATTTATAGCATCAGTCTATCCCTTCCCCTAAGGTCACTCTCTACTCGTGCATGTGTCTCTTGCAATAGATATTTAACTAGCTAATCTGTGCTTTCGCTTCATGTCATTACCTAATTAATGAAGTACAAGGAAGTTAAGATATCACATGATTAAGTGTGAGCATCTGTGAGCCATAATTGATGGTCTATAGCATTAATGATCTAACAATCAAGCATTGAAATTACTCAAAGTATAAATGGTTTATCGTTCCCTCTATACTCGTGTAGCATCAATGGGGTATCACTAGAGGGTAATATCTTGGAAACCTAAACTATACTAAGCACAGTGCATATAGTAGCAAAATATATAGTCATAAGCATCGATGACATAGGCATCAAAATCAAGCATCCTTGCATACATCAAAAGCATCAAAATTCACAAGCATAAATACAAGCATCATATGAAATCATAGCATCAATGCACACATAGATAAACGAGTTCACATCCTCATACAATCAATTCGAACTAGCTATACATTGAAGAGAAGGAGGGTACCACCATCGATGATGAAAGCACCTTCCTAGCTGCACCCTCTCATGTGAATGATAAGCTCTCACTCAAGTGGAGTGTTTACAAAAGTTTAGTGAACTTGTGCAGGCTACTGTACTTATGAATCTAGCCATCGATTTATAGGGGTAAAACTCGGCCAAAGCCTTGATAAGTCCAAAGTCATGGCACAAAGATCTTATTTTGGGCATGGACCTCTTGGTTTCTGCTAGACGACAATTGGGACCACCGCTCCTTTTCTTCTTAGGCTGGTTTTCTTGACCCATGAAAAAACTCTCCTACAAATTTAGGCACGATTTATCCAAGTTTTCATGACCGACGGTTGGACCCGATGTTGGGTCATCGCTAGTTCTTGCTTCAGTTTGGGCCGAGTCTTCCTCCGTTAGGCTTCTCTTGGGCTCTAGTTGTGGTTACTAGTAGGCTTCTCCGTAATTGGACCTCATCTCTACGACGAAAATTCCATCTTTATAGCACCTTTGGTCCTCCATAGTGTTCTCATGCTTGATGCAAATTCTCCTAGGTCGTATTATACCTTGAAACCCATGAAAAAAAACATACCAAGAAGGCATCAAAAAGTACAAAACATATTCTAGGTCGATTTTTTGGGGTGGTTGCATTAGGGGGTTCATTTGTAAGGGGTTTCTGGGTAGTTTTGTTTGTATAACTCTTGTCTCCTCTTGATATCACTCGGAAATAATAATAAAATAGTGTATAAAATACCATATTATACGTGTCATGACTCATAAACAAAGATGAGTACTAAAGGTCTAAAACCCAAACTCCAAATAATAACATTCAAAAAAATAACAGCAACAACTTGATTATTAATAAAAAAAACTTTCATACTTTAACTATATATTGGTCCTTTTTGAAAATAAGAAACATTTTGAACAACAAGGTTGATACAAAGGAGCACTAACATAATATCGTCCATCGACAATTTTTTTTGCAGTTCACACTTAACCAAGATTCTCTCAATAAGCACAACATCTGATCTCTTCCGAACTATCTTATTGATAACACTTCATTTATTATGTTTATCACTCCATACTTAATACATTTCCCTCTACTATCAATGCACCTTTCGTGTTTTCTATTATATTTCATATGAAAATCCTAACTATTTGAATAATGAGATTATTATAAACGTTGAGTGCATTTTTGTACAATTTCATACTTTATGATGTTGTTTTGTCCATTTCAAGGATATAATGCGCTCAAATCGAATATGGATTACAAGGATATAAGAAATTTGACAATTTCTTATAAAACCAGTGCATTTTGATAACCTTTTTTTTAGCAACTTGTGTACTTTGAAAGCAAAAAAATTCCTCTGTCCATCAAGAGACTTGGTTAGAAGTAACGTCCCCAAAAACAACCAAGGACGAGCTGCACATCCAATTAGCATATCTAAATGATAGGGTCCAGTGACCAGTGTGTAAGAACACCAGCAAGGTAGGCGGTTGAGATAGAAGCCAGAAATATATTTTACTCCTCGTCATATCCCAACAGTGTACATTCATTCTTTCATCTAAGAACACAAGAAACAGAGAACACAAGCTATGTCTCACATGATCAGCCTTTAGTTTCTGTTTACCTCACAAGCTCATTGCAACTTTCTCGTACAGCTCACGAGGCCAGTTCGTATTCGTGTTGTTCGCAAGGAACTGTGCAATCTGCAGATTAAAGACAGCATGAAAATCAGCTCACGAGTAGGATACAAATACACAGATTATAACCATACTTTCGATCCTAGCACAAGGGTCAATTCAACTCAAACACCAGTTGAGTTCTCAGTGTGCAGGTTGCAAACAGAGCGCTAGTGTTGCCAGATCAGCTATAACGTGTATCAAGAGTAAAGAATTAGGAGCAGAAATTAGTAGCTAGCTACCTTAGCCCTCATGGCACGAAGTGATCCATCAGTATCCGTCAAATTGTCGAGACATGTTAGAGCCACCTTCAAAACGTCAGGAATGCAGTTTTTTACATGGGGAGATAAATTCTGGAACTCCCTGATATTCACATCTGGTGCCCGAGGATCTAAAGGAAGAAACGGAAGTGCAGCAATCCCTCTCAAAGCTTCCAGGTAATTTCCGAGTCTCGCCGACTGGTGAACAGACAAGATTGCCTCAAGCTGTCTCAACACCGTTTCTTGTTCCATGACATGCTCTCTCTCTTTAGGGCTGAAAGAAACAGCATACAGTAAAATAGCAGTTAAAGACACACACCGGGCGCCGGCTTGTACAAGATGGTCACCTCTAAGGAAACTTTGACCAGAAAAAAAGTTAATTTCAAGACAAAAAGAATTCATGCAAATAAATTCCCGTTATAACATTCTGTTCTCGTCCAGCATGTAATAGGTGTGTTGAAAATCACTTGGCGAGTTAGCGATTCGCTCAATCCCACAATTTTCATTCACAATTAGCATGTTGCAACAATCTTGACCGTTTCAGTAGCAATTTTTATATTAATAACCAAAATCAAGTGTCAGATTAATATGTTAATGTAGTTCAAGCAGTGTGGACTATAATCTCTCATTTGGACTAGAACTCTTCATGCAAAGATGACAAGGAAAATCTAAGCAGTATTTGCACTAACCTGATTTCAGGATAATACTTGTAAGCTTCTAAAATTTCATTTCCACAATGAATGAGACCACATGTCCTGCTATCTCCATCCAATCTACCACGAGCCAGGGCACAAATTGCCTCAGAAAGACACTTATTGATTGTGTCTAAGGCCATGCCAAAAGCTCCAACTCTCTTGTGAATTTCTATTGACTGCTCAGATAAAAAAAGATGCCATAACAAATTGAATGTAAGACAGAACTCAGTGTGACTACCCCAAAAGAATTACCAATAGGAAAGAAAATCATCAACACACGAAGATGATAAAAAGAGATCATTTAACAGAACATAAAGAGCAGAAGGAAGCCAGGAACAACTATGCAAGGAAGATGGAAGTTGAAAGAAAACTATTTTGAAAAAAAAGTCTTGGAGCCACCGCAAATAGAGACAATTATATTGTTAATGAAGAACTTTGACAAGCAGGAAACGAGAGTAGACCTTCTCTCGGTAACACATGTCAACTAGGTACCACACCGAACGATTGTCAACCACCACTATAACGAATAATGATTCCCCACATTCAATTACAATACTGAGGGAAGAGACTTTACTTGATCCTGCAGGCCAGCTTCCAGGCATTGGCAAGCAGCTTCAAGAAGAAATTGCTGCCTCGATCTATTATCGCTTAAAAATCGTCCTAATTCACCTTCCTCTCCAGCACCCCTTGGACCAAGTAAGAAAATAATTCCACCATCTCGTAGTAGTAGCTCAGTGAGTAGCTGCTTCAACATCAAGTTTCTCTGCCTTTGCTGATCCACATTACCTCCACCAGTCCACGAAAGAGCTCCACCACCCACTGCAGCAGCAGCTTGTGCATAATATTCCAATGCCAATGTAAGGTTCCCATTACGCAAATATGCAGATCCATGCTGTCTGATTATGCTAGCTGCCTCTGCATCAGCATCCATCACTCCTAGTTTTCTTCCAGTACTAGTACCCTCAGAAGAAAGAAGTCCATGGTCTGCCAGCACAACTGATAAGTGAACAGCATCAATATCATATCCTTCACCTGCAGCCTCCTTATACAGGTATAATACAGCTGGTAGCAATTGGATGGTTAACAGCAGCACGTAAGGGAACACTAGCAAATCCTTCCCATTCTTGGTATAATAAGATGGCTCATATTTGTTCAGATAAGCCTGCAAATCTTCCAAAGTATATGGCATCGAGCCTTCATGCAAGAGTATCGATGAAGTCCCAGCAGGGACATCACGTACAGCTGATAATGTGAACCACAAGAAATCCTCAATAGTACCAAAAAGAATGGGTAGATCTCTCAGCAGACGGTCAATGTGCCTGCGAGAACCAGAGACCATAGCATAGAGCAGCAGTTTCTTCTTATCATATGCAGCTCGACCTGCCCGGTCACCCAATCTTAACATCTTTTCACATTCTTCTGAAGCAGTGGCTGCAGTGCTTGCAGGCACCATGCCTCCAGTGTTAATCCACTCTGTAAGCTGTCAACAACAAACTAACGAGTTATTCATTAAAAAAGGCACAAACTAATGAGTTAGTATTGAAAAAAGTGCCTTTCTATTCTTCAAGCGAAAATATATTATTAGTACCAGAGGTGCAAATTGGTGAGATGAACGCGAAGATAGAGCAACATTTCTGGCTTCGTCATAATATCCGGTCCTCAAACAATAATAGATCTGCAAACCATAAGGAAAAGGATGGGGTAATTACAAAATAAAGTATTGAGGTCAGGTCTGGATAAGAGGATTCACATTATAGCTGCAATTTTATGTAGTGAACGTCTGTACTTTTAGAGATGCACATGTTGAGAATATACATCTGAGTACTATTTATATTCTGGCAGAAATATCAAGGTTTGCAGAACATTTTTTCCCATCTGAAATCATGGTTTTCTCGCCAAATATTACTTGCAGATTAGAAGCAGTCTGTACTACTTAACTAAAGATAAAGAAGGCATTTACATACTTTTCATATTATTTGAAGCAAGCTAAACAAATACAACCTGTTGCCAATACTACTCTTTCCCTTCTTCTTTTTTTTTTTTTTCTTTTTGGTACAGTTATACTGCCCCAGTCACCACTCTCTGGAAGGCCCAATTGGAAAGCTTGCTTATACTACATCTAGATCTCCCTTTTACAAGAAACAGCCATTAAGTTTTCATTTTTCAAATATTTGCGCAACAGCTCCAGGAAGCTCTTTATGGCAACTACTGAAGACAATCAGTTAAAAATTAAAAATAAGGCTACACTTTATATCCAATAGCTATAAAGAGCTACGATAACAGAATTCAAAAGAACATGATAAAAAATTAAAAATAATTGAAACAGAAATTCTAGTAAATAACCGCGACTTTTTTTTTATAAATTCCCCTGCATGCTTAGGTGGCAAGCGATTTTGCCTTTGTAACTGCAATAATTCGCTTTTCTTCTGAAGCCAGAAACAGAGCCAGCTACGTTGTAGGCAGAAAAGCACAACTAAACGAGAATTTGAAACAGGAGTCTAATTCTGACCTGCTGCCAAGTGGTATCCACTGGAGGCTGCCTACGGCTATCATCTGAATCAAAATCTAGAATTCCATAATCCCTCAAACGAATCTGACCAAGAGAAATGAAAAAATTAACAAGTATATAATTGAAACCAATCAAAAAGTATTACAAATTCTAGTAAGTGATTGACTAGATCGTTAAACCAACCCGAAGAAATCCACGAACTTTCTGCATGTTTCCAACAACTCCACCAAGAGAAGCCTGGAACAAGGAATAAGATAGAGGTCATTGTGTACTAAAACATTTTCAAATGAAGCTCAAGGAAAGCAGCAAATAAAGGAGGTAGCAACAGCAACCAGCTTGTCTAGCTACATAATGCTACCACCCAAATTCCTGATTCTACCCTAAGATGCCTGTGTCAGACAAAAACTAGAACATTAACTAAAACACATGAGCCAGCATACAAGCACGAGAACAGCACTAGATAAGTACTCCAGTGCCAACTGTTCATTTATTTACAGTCTGTAAAAAAAGAGGGAACACTTTGGATAGATGTTACTTTTTACAAGAAAATTTCTACAAATTCACAATTCATCATTACCTGTGCTGGATGACTATGAATAATATCCATCATATATTTTTCATGTCCCCATTCCAGATGACGCCTCGCACCTATAACTAGCGATATTGTTTTTGAGAAATTCCGTTGGATGGTGGAATTCTCACCTGTTAAAGACTGTTAAGCATATCAGAAACCAACTCAATTGGTACAAACTAGCTATTTAAAGGCAATCTAAAAAAAAACTACCTGAATCAGGTGCCATATCTTCTGCATGTTAACTGATTTGCAACCAGATCCTTCTAAACTTATACTTTCATAAGAATCCTTGAAAGAAGCTGCCGGCTGAAAAAAGCAGCTGCTCATTTACAACCTTCTAGTATGAAGATAAAGACACCCATGAAACAGACAAAATAATTCAGAAACATAAAGGAAAGGAGATTGAAGCTGTTGGTCATCAAGATATCATCTCCCTGAAAATTTATTTTTGAGAAAACGTCCAAGATATGTCAATATTCATCGTGTTATATTTAGAAATAATAAATTGAGGCATCAAACAGACAAAATAATTCAGAAACATAAATGAAAGGTGATTGAAGCTGTTGGTGATCAAGATATCATCTCCCTGAAAATTTATTTTTGAGAAAACGTCCAACATATGTCAATATTGATCTTGTTATCTTTAGAAATAATAAATTGAGGGTTTGTTCACAATTTTTTCAAAACGATGCTAACTGAAAAAATATGAAAGGAGATTGTTAGGGTGTCCTATCCAAAATACTGTTAGGATCATATCCAAATTCTATGCATTGACCATATAGATAGAGATCTATACACTCAGCAGTAGCATCTCTGCTATATTGGGACTGTCTGTAGGGATTGTTCAGCCAATTATTAGTTGAGCTAAATGCCTCTCAACATGGTGCAAAGCTAATGTTAGGAAAATATAATATATTTATAGGTATATTCATATAAACCATACAAAGCCTTACTTTAAATGGCAATCCACGTTCTCTGGCACTGTTCAGATTCTTCACAACTTCAGAATATGCCAATGCTTTTCTCTCCGCGATCGGTTTGTTAGCAAATGGTACAATGTTCATTGTAGCGGAACCAGAAGACGTCAATGGGCTCCTTGAAACGAGAGCTAACGTTTTCCCTGGATGAGTACTATGTGTGTTTATATCAACTACATCAGTCCTCGGTAGTGTTGAAAGCCGACTCAAGCTATGAAGCAAATCACGTTTTTCTTTTTGCCAATCATCCTGCAATTTGTTAAGTGCATACATCAAGCCAAAAACTTCAACATAAATTTTGCCACAGAAACTCCCTTTTGTCAATAAAACATAAACGGCTACTCTTAATATGACTCCTTTACTAGAACACAAGGTTGAGAAACATTACGTATCAGCACATCCCTCTCTAAATCAGCATGCTAACTTCAAATGCCTCTGCCTCCAAGCAAATCAACAATGACAACAAAATTTCGGAAGGGCAATCACACTAACCTCCAGAACCTTCATCATATAATCATTGAAGCTCCTCACATTGTCCTTCTGAGCTTCTTGGATGGAGGAAACCATGGCCATTTCATGAACCTACAGTCAAAAGGATTCAGCAAATCCAAAATTATGTTAGAAAATAAAATAATATCCTGAATTAGAAATTACCAAGTGGCTGAGAGAGGGGCAACCAGCATAAGTTTATACACCAGATTGTCCGAGGGTGCCTAGAGATATAGTAGTAATATTTAAACCTCTCATATTAGACACTGGAATGACATGCAGCAGAAGCTTGTCATCGAGCAAAGCAATTAAATTTGCAATGTACATATAAGCAGTAATCACAATGGAACAAAAGGCCTTGAAAATGGGATGCTCTGTGGACGAAAACTGAGAGCTATATTTCCAATAGAAGGGGTTTAGTTGCCAACAGGAGTGAGAGAGGAGTCACAGACCATACCTGCTGCAAATACTCCTCAACACTTGTAGCTTCAGTAGGGAACACATCCTCAAAGGATGTCTGCAAAGAAGAAACAGAACGAATAGATGGGGAAAATGAATACTAGAGAATAAGAAACTCGAATATACAGTTCTCCAGCCTAAGATGAAATTTATAGCAACTTCAGTATGATTCCAAGGGATGCTAGTAAGCACTGCACAAAATACTAGACACTTCGGATTTCAATCAACTAGATATCAATAGATTGATTTACAAATCATTCATTTTGACCAACTAAATCATTCGATATTTGCCTCTTATCATCTCAGAAGAAACAGTAGTTGCATGGAGAAATGTATGAGGGAAGTAAGATAAATAAGCTCATAATCCACCGAACCAAGGCGGCCTGAGGCTACAGGCACAAGTTTACCTTCAGCTCAAAAGATTTCAAATCACGGGCGAGTTGCTCGGCGTTTATTCCTTCCCGTGCAAGTAGCCTACAAAATTGATTTGAGATCAAGTAAGCTGTTATAAGTTTCGATACCAGAAACTCCAATAGGTTACTAGGGATTGAATATATCCAGTTACAAGGTAGCACCCGAATGGAATTAGGGGGAACCATATACCACCTAACAGGGTTTCGAGTGCTTCCACTCATTTTGTTTCAAATTGAAAAATCAAAGCAGAAAACGAACCAAAAAGTTGCAGGAGGAAATTGAGAGAGTAACGAGGAGACCCACCTTGTAGCAGCAATTGACTGGGAAGGGGCCTCGGTTCGAACAGTTTTAGCTTTGAGCTTCTTGGATAAAGCTTCCAACTGATCCAAATTCCTCTAAAACCCTCAAAAAGAAACAAGTCACTGTAAGTAACAATAAGATACCAGTTGCTAGACGTAAAAAAGAAGTGAGCGAATTTCACCCAAAAAAAAGGGAACGAAGAAGAAGAAAATTCGAATTATCCGCGCACAGAAACAAACAGCTATAGAAGGACCATTGAAATCGAAAAGGAAGCCGAAGTTTTCATTTAGGGGAAGAGAGGAACGAGAGAGGGGAGGAGTAGACCTGAAGAGGAGGGAACTGGGCAGAAGGAGCGGCCTGCTCGAGAAGTCTGGTGGATGAATGAAGCAAATCGCTCCAGCCACTCATGTCTTGGTCGCCTGCCATTCGGCTCTGTCAAAATCTTTCTCCCTCTAAAACAATCCTCTGCAAACTTTGCACCTTTCGACAATGGCGGAATGGGGTTTATGGAGGTTTTACTCCCGCTCCGTGCAATTCTGTGCTAGGGAAGGTTTTCAAACCAGTTTATACCCTTGCATTAGTAGCATACCTTGATACATGGTACAACTGATTTGTATTGATCATGTCGTCTTCCAATAAGATATATAAAAAAAAAATGAAATATTATTAACATTAAATAAATTAAAGAATACGAAAAACATATTTGAAAATAATTTACTTGTCATCTACATTCATATTTAAGTAAAATACAACATTCCAAATAAAATGATAAGTACTCATATTTAAATACAATATTTAATGTCAACACACAAACTTTTGTACTTGAACGACAATCATTTTGTGATAGATCGAAAATCGATCATACTGATAGTATTCACGCCGGTTTCGTTAACAACACCGGTTCAGCATGGCATTCCACCGGCGTGACAACGCTGGTGTTGGGAATGGCGGTCTCAACGTAATTTAGTCTTCATTAGATTATATCGAGATCTCTAGCAACTCTTCAGTTTCTAGGAATCTAATTATCAAATCCAAGATCTCCATCTCTTCAGCGGCGTTTTCCTTCACCTTTAGCCTTGATGGAAAGACTTCCTTCCTCTCCACAGATTCCTAAATCAGTGACATCCGCCTGGAGCCCAAACCCGACCAACAATAGCAGGTTTCTTCCCCTTTGATTGCAACTCCATTGGCGGTGTCAAGACGAAAGAAGGAAAGCGAAGTAGAACACCTGGAAGATCCTATTCCACTTGTGTTCTAGGAGACCTGAAGCAAATGTATGTGTTCCTGATCGAGATGGCGACGTCAACGAGCATGTTGGTGAGGAAGATGGTGACTAGGCTTCTGAGGATTGCACTGAAGTGTGAAAAGAAGTCAACATTACTACTTCTCTGCTCTTAAAGAGTAACTAGGGTTTTTTTTCCTTCCTTTTTTTACTTCTTAATTGATTTTTTTTAATCAGGTTAAGATTGGGTGATTACTGATTAGACATTTCTGTTAGCTTTATCATCAAAAAACTGATGTCATTAATAAAGACTGACGGAAGGTAACAGTCAATAACAAAACTTATACTATCGAACTAATTTCAGTGACCACAAATAGAATAAAAAATTTTAAATGAAAAAAGTGAAACAAATTAGTTATCTCAGTGACCAGACTGACAATTTCCCCTATTTTAATCATGAGACCTTTTGTTGTCAGCAAAATAACAAATGAAATTTGACTAATTTACACTAGCTTTGGACTGGACAGATAATTTTTTTTAATTTCATGTGAATCATTTCCTTTATTTGTCTTGTTATAATGTTAAGATCATATGATGTAACAATGATAAGATGACAACAAGAACATGTTTAGTGAATAATTATTTTATTGTTAAAAACATAAAATTAGTTGATATCATTGTGTAGATCTTGTTCGGGAACATGGAATGTTGGATGAGCTATGGTATGGGGGGACTGCAACCTCTCGCTATTTTTGCGATCGTCCAAGGGAAGGGGTACATATCATTGCGGGACCAGCCCGCGATGAAGAACTCAAGGGTGACCTTATCCATTTAGCAGATTGAACACTGGTCACATCAAAAGAGAATGAAAGGTGTTCTATCTAATGCTAATAACTCCATTAAGAACATGAGGGCGCTTGCCTGCACCAACTTTTCTTTTCCCATCCTCTGACCCATGAATCTCTGTTTCATATCTTACCACTGAACTCACCATTCCCCGCTCTTCAAAACCTTTTTCCAATTCGACTACATGGTAGTTTTCCTTATCGTTTAAGTATGTGAGAAGTATCAGACTTTCACCCGATTTCTAGATATAGAAAAAGCGAAAGACCCCCTAACGTAATTTGAATGGGGTCCGACCGCTGAGCCCACTCTGGTCTCGCAGGGCGGGCCCCTTTGGTTGCAAGTTGGAGCTGCCTAGCTTATGGTGTCAGCAAGAGAGGGAGCCCCATCTGAAAAAACAGTAAGGATAAGGAGCGTGGAGCTCAGCAACCGATCTTGTGCGCTGACTCCAATCGGTCTCCGATGATTTCTGTCCTACCGAGGCACGACACGCCCCCTTATCTCATTGGGTAAAAAGCACGTGCTTCTTCATTTGAAAATCTTTTCTTTTCATAGGTTGGATGGTCAACTTTACTCTCAATGTAAGACAGAGAGAGGTGCCATTTTATGAACATACTATAAGGAGGAGAGTGAAACCCTTAAAAATAATTCATTACTTCAGCTGAAATATTGATTTTTTTCCAGAATTCGCAGGAAAAATACTAAAATGAAACAAAAAAGATTATCTACTTTTCATTTTCAATTATATCTAATTTTAATATCAAATGGTGTACATACTCATGATTTAATGGATTAGGTCAACTTACTTTTTATTTGGTTAATAAAAAATTGAATTTATTGAATAGATTTAATTGGAATAATGTAAAATAGACAAAGTTGACAATTTAAGAGCCATTATTATTAATTAATACTTATATAAAATCTAAATTTCAACTTTCTAACTATATATAATATGCGATACTATAAATCATTATAATATAAATTGTAGAACTAATCTATATTTTCTTACTTTATATTTAAAATATTACAAATATTCAAAATATCTCTATTCTCCCTGCAAATAGAAATACTATCACCGTATTTCTATGAAAATAAAAAAAAGATTTCACACGTGTGTATTCAGGAAATAGTCGTTTTAAAGCAAATTTTACCTGAATAATATTTATTTAATTAATTAATAATATTTATTTAATTAATTTTTTTTTCTATTTCACAAATATATGGAGTTCTCTAATAATTAATTTTTTTAGATAATGGTGAAAATAGATTAAAAGAAGAGAAACAGAGTCATGGTCAAAGCAGCCGGATACAGAAACAAGAGACTGAAAAACAAAACAAAAAGAAAGAGACCTGTCACAAGGTGTGAAAGGACCCAAAAAACCGAAAACCAAAAAACCAACAAAGCCACCTGAAAACAACAAAGATGGACTCCAACACAACAAAAAGGGAAGAAGAAGTACACAAGAATGCCGCTTCAACAGTAGCAGAGGGCAGGAGCACAAGGAAGAAACTGCAATTCGAAATCATCTAACCAAAGTGATCTGCTCTCTCACGCTTGTCATGAGCAATCAACCAATCCCCAACATGCCGAATAATCTTGCGCGATACATACACAGGCCACTCATCTTTGAACACTCTGTCATTTCTTTCGTTCCAAATCAACCAACATGCAGCGTAAAGTGCACAATAGACATCTATTTAGAAGAAAAAAAATATGAAAATGAATATAAAAGTCTTTGGCAAATCAATTGTGAAATGCTTTTCTAGTTAAAAAAATATCCTATACATGTTTTACATCGTCTAGACAAAAATGCTCAATTTTCATAAGTTCTTCTTGACTGTTATTCAAAAGGTCCGATGAAGAGCAAAGGAGAGGAGGAAAGGTCAGCGACCAAGCGCTCCCGCCCACAAAAGTAGAGACAAAATCAAGGTTATTCAAAGGTTTATCATATGTAAGCCCTAAAGGTGAAGGGAGAAGGTTTATAATATATTCAACTGTAACATACCGTTTGGTATAAATGAATTCCATAAGTTTTTGAGGAATTTATTTTGAAATGAAACATTTTTGTGTATGGTATTTAAAAGAATTCATTTCCAATTCTAACTTTTGAATTCTATGGAATTGGTACTACTTATAGCAATTCCGAGGAATTGAGATGGAGCCCTAAAGGTGAAGGGAGAAGGTTTATAATATATTCAACTGTAACATACCGTTTGGTATAAATGAATTCCATAAGTTTTGAGGAATTTATTTTGAAATGAAACATTTTTGTGTATGGTATTTAAAAGAATTCATTTCCAATTCTAACTTTTGAATTCTATGGAATTGGTACTACTTATAGCAATTCCGGGGAATTGAGATGGAATTTCCAAATGAATTCCCCAAATATTTACTAATTATAATAGAATGACATAATTATCCTCTTTATTGACTAAATTACTTATATATGACATACCAATTCATTTTATTTCTAAAGATTTGAATTTGACATGCCAAACACATGAATTCATTTGACAATGAATTCTACATGACAATTCATTTTATTTCTAAAGATTTGAATATGACATGCCAAACACAAGATTTCATTTGACAATGAATTCTACACAGTAATTCATTTTACAATGAAATGAATTCTCGATTCATTTGGTACCAAACGGTCTGTAAGAAATGAAGTTGTTTGGCTGAAATAAAAGGGGGAAAATATATGAGCTGGAATGCGAAAGGAGAAGATGTTTTTTTTTTAAGAAAAATTTTACCACCCTACCCACTTATGGATGTGGCCGGGATAAGGAGGCACTAACTTCTATATATCGTCCTAGTTTTTAGTACAAGTAGCTAAAGGGGCTGGGAGGTACAACTTGTGTCAAGTGAAGGCAAGCGCAACTATCTATTTCATATTCTCCCTGTCAGCAAAGCAGGTCCGCTATCAAGCCTACCGGCCATAAAGTCTTCAAGAACGGGAAAGCCGACCAAAAGACTATTTCCATAATCGACTCTTGTTGCCAATCGAAGGGGCTTGGCTTGTACCACCTTGCTCTAAAAGACTTTTCTTCGAGCGAGCAGTCTTTCTATCTTTTTGGGTTGCGTGCCCAAGGTAATGTTTTTTGTAGATTGAGATGAATTGATCTTCGCTATCGTGCCTCTTCCTTGTACCATTAATGCTGCGGCAGTGCCTAATATGAGTTTGCTCCTACCCTAGACAGTAATGCATGGTCTTCCTTTATCATTCCATGAAACTTAAAAATTAATTGTTTTACTACACTAAAACCCCATCCTTTAAAGGGGCACTCAAGCTTGAATATACGCTTTTCAACGGCATCTTCGTTGTCTGCTTCTACATATGTGTTAGTGGTTGCTTTTCCAGAACGAGACACCCAAAGGGCGGGCCATATGTGCCAGGGGAGACCCGACCCATTCAAATAAAAATAGAACGAGCACCTACTAGCTACTACTAAGGGGAATGGAATGTCGACCACAAGGCAAGATGATCTTCTAATACGAGGGCGAGTGACTGGTCAAGTCATGAAACTTAGTCATTTTTATTTGCATGGCTGCAAGCCTGCAAGTAGATTGGATTTATGTGTTTGAACTAACTACGACCAAAGTCGTGGCTGCTTCAATAAAAAAAAAAGAGCGACCCCTATTCAAACCGAAAGAAGTACCCCACCTCACTTACAAAAAAGTAGTTGGATATATTGAAGAGAAGTAGGAATTAGTGAACATGGCAAAGGATAGTGATATATTGAGCTTACAGGAATCTACACGAAGGAATACAAAATTCCTAGTGAAAGACATGAATAAAGAGAAGAAAACGATCCATAATCTTTCTCCATATGTTGCATCAAAGGACAGTACCTCATTGTCCAAATTGTCCTCATGAGCTATGTACCTCATTGACATGGTCTAGTTCTCTAAGTGTGAGGGTTGACCTTGTAAGCTACTCATGTTAAAAATTTAACTGTCATCCTAGAGGTCGAATGAGCTGTATGGTTTCAAGTGTTTTTACTTGGGGACAAGAAAAGTTTAATTGTGTGGTTATTTGATGACACATAGAATATCCAAACTCATTCAAATCCGAATAAAACCACCCACTGCTCACCACTAAATTTCAGCAAGACGAAAGATGAAGCGAGTGACGAGAAAATACAGACAAAAGAGTAACACTTTCACTAACCATTATAAGTTGTTGCACTTACAAGGGAATCTGGGACAGCTACTGATCCTATAGAAGGTATAGATGGAGATGATTTGTAAAAAATGAACAAAAAACCTATCATATATGTAAGAATGTACTCCTCAAAAATAAATAAATAAAACCGATATAACCATCAACATTTTCACTTGTTGAAAAACAGTCCCCTCTTCTTTCCTTTCCTTTTTTCCCCAGCCTGCATGCATTCAATCAAACAACGTACCTTTTTTTAGACCCAACCCTCATATTCATAAGCTTATACGTTCGTCCAACCAAACAGAAAAGGAAGAAAGCAACCTTTTTTACCTTTATGATGAACAGTCTCATGGTAAGCACAATGATATCTCTTGAGCTGCACAAACCAAAAACAGAAACCCAGCAATACTAAGTGCTTAACTTGGATATACTGAGAATTATGTCCTGTCAGCTATAATCATTAACTGAGAGGGGAAAGATAAACAGATACTAAATATTACCAGCTAACATCTGCTGCATCATTATCTGTTCGTAACAGATGCTGACCTCCAGTAGCACAAACTATAACGAATTCTACGGGGTGCCCATAAGGGATTGTGACCTGCAGCAAAACAGGTGGAGGATATATTAGGAGAAACCCCAAGTGGATTCCTAATGAGAGGGAATAAACAATATTCGAGGGTGATCAGTATCAATGTAAAAGCAAACACACAGAAGTAGGGGCAGCCCAACAGCAAAGCACAGAGCTCTACCATTTTTTAATTTTTGTTTAGATAAGACTTTCTGAGTAGGAAAATGCATAAAGGAATGAAAGGTAATCAGCTTCAACTAGAATCAAGATAGCTACATGGCCAATGAAAGAAGGGACAAGAGCAATGGAACAGAATTTCATACTTGGTGCGTCTAGCCCCCTTCTTATCAAGCAGTTTACACTTCGTAATACAAAAGAGAGAGCAATGTAATATTGTATCCAAACCTTCCACATAACTCATCAGAATATCGAGTTCATGGCTCTTTTATTTGTAAAAATGTGACCTGCAATTTACTTCTGAATCATGAAGTATTATGAGCTGCTATTTCGTAAGATCCAAATAAATACACACAACCGATACCCACCGAGGGGCCATTTGGTAACCAAGGATTGTTCCCTATTGATCCTGTGTTTCCAAGAACACGTGGGTTTCTTTTTCTGAATCTGGTACAAAAACCATGTATTCCAGGCCCCGTGAATTTCCATAAATACATACACTCTTCCAATTCCATCTACAAAATACATGGCTACCGAAAAACCCCTAAGTGAAAAGCAGATAGCCCAGTTTTCTCAACTATGAATCAAAAGTGGCTTATACGACGCACTCACAAAAATGACAAGCATAATGATCTACCCAACTTTAAGAGTAGCCTTAACACATCGATTTTGAATTTAAATTGGTAGCATTGGTATAATACGATGATATAACATAGGATCACAACTAATTAGTACATTACCCTAAACCTTTAATCTTCAACCCTAACCCCCAAATTGTAACCCCTAAATGTTTCATATTAAAGTAAACTTTGAATAACTTTTGTACAAATTCATGTATTTTCTTGTCCATCGTATCACAAGTGATAATTGACATTGTTTTGACACCAATCACCTACTCGGAATGAATTTTATGAGGCAGGTGCACAACATGCACCCAAAAAAGTGAGTGCACCGAAGACAACCTGAAATAAGTTATGAAATATTCCCTAACCAACCGGAGAAATTTGTGAAATGAAAGGGCAGGTTCCTGCAAAAAGTAGTTAATCCACATAACAACAGCGGGTCCAGGAAAAGAAATAGAACTCCTACAGTAAGCTTGGAGATCCCAACAACCTTATCAATTATCATAACCTAAGCTCAACAAAGTTCATAATAAAATGGCGCAGCAATATGCATGAAGAATGGAAAGGATATCATATCGAAGTGAGGAACTCCTACACTTGTCTTTGACGAAAACTTCTCACTGACCACAGCTCCATTAGGCCCGCCACTCTTGATAGTGTAACTGTCCCTCTTGATGACTAAAGTAGCTGGCTCCCATATATCAAGATACCCAGTCTGAAATATCATTGACAAATGCCATGTCAGCGCTAATATCAGAAGTCTGAACAAGGGACAAGGAATTCCTACTGTTACAACCCATGCTAATTAGAACACATACCGACAAAGAAATCTTGTATGCAACATGACCATTAGAAAAATTCCTCTCTATATGGTTCAGCATTTCAACATCTGCAAAGAAGGTAAAGCTTGAGAAAAGTGGCTAGCCGAAATATACTTAACCAAACAATTGGAGCATGTCTAGTTGAGACAAGTCACAATAGCTCTTACTCCCAAGCACTCAAGGGACCTGGTTTCTAAAGAACATGTGGCAGGTCATCTTTACCTTTTATAACACATTTTTGGTTAGTAGCTTTCACTGAAAATGAGTTTGAAAAGAAATAGCAGTACTGCAAACAGCTGCCAGAGAACAGAACATAACAGGGAACAAGATTCCAACTAAGGACTGAACTTGAGGAAACCTACAATGTTTTTTCATCACCAATGACCACTAGGCCAACCCTTAGGTGCTTGCAGTTACAAAATTTCCAGTTGTAATAGTCTACTGATTCAGTCAATAAACAAGGATGCCTAACTCTAAAAACAGAACAAGCAAAACAGGTGGAATCGATATTCAAATAGTATACTATTTCTTACCACAAGTAATCTTTCTGTTCTCATTTGCGAAGACCCTGACCAGTTCTCCCTGAGGATGGAAGAAAAGAGAAGGAATTTTACAAGGTCAAAAAGTAAATCTGAAATTAAGAACAATCAATTCAGACGACCCAATAATCAAAAAAGAGATTTCTGAATGACTGTGAAAAGGAAAGGCTGCTAAGGAGATTTCCGGATGAACATAGAAGCCATAAGGCAGGTCTTGAGGAAAAACACAATTCCCCCTGGATTTAGAAGTATCTTGGGGAATATAACCTATCATCAATTGCAGTAGCATAGCAATAGGCATGTTTGCCAAGGGAATTGTTGAGAAGGTGACCAAGGAAAATGGTGAAGCATAAGACTCTATGGGTTAGATGGATGTTGTCTGTAAGATACAGGTCCTCTTTTAAGTGCTAGAACAAAAGAAGAAAACTGAGGATCAACGAAGAGCAACAGGTAGGTCTTGAGGTCTTGGAAGTGTGTCTAATGGGCAAAACAACATTCCTCCTGTTGTTGTACTTGAAAAATACAGTGCTGAATATAACGTAATTAAAGTCCAAGTTGCAGCAGACTACTCTGTTGTGGATTCTGGAGAAGGTAACAAGAAAAGTGGCTAAATCATAGTGTTACATGATTAGACATTGAGAACTGAAGTCCTGAAACTAATATCAGTAAGGAAAATGCAATTACTGGTTGTTAACTCGTTATAAAATAAGATACGAGAGAGAGTAGAGCGTTCGTCTGGCATATATACTCCACTACAACCGAAAGTTGAAACTAGAATCACACCTTGCGCTTCCGGTCATCTAGGGGCTGGACTTCTATAGCTAGATATGTATCAACATCATCAGCAGTCACAAGATAATTCGGTTGTTTTGCTCCTGTAATGACACAAAAAATTACTTGGGTAGGGAAATCAATGTAATATAAGATAAATTCAAAATACATCATGAAATGGAATACCATCAATATAATCAACAGATCCATCTTCAAAATGACGCACCCACTGCCAGTATCACAAACAATTCGGTCAGCATTTACAGGTAAGAAAGAAACCATTTCTGGTTTCCACAAGAGTCCACAATAATCCAAATGCCAACTGAACCGAGGACCATAAAATCAGGAAAGTCACCTTAAAATTACAACTAGTTGTTCCGTTAGTAGAGTATCCACATGCCTGGAGCTCTCGGCCAGGAAATGCATCACCTGAAATTTGAAGGCCTTCGATGGCTGGTAAAGGATCATCATCGGCAGCTGCACATATGAATTTATCCGATCAACAGGAGTGTCTAAAACAAGAATGATTCCAAAAGACTTGATAAACAAGCTACCAAATAGAAGAAAAATCACACCCTCAGAAAATGAAGAAGAAGGTTCTTCAAGAACAGGAGGCAGATAAGGGGAATACGAAGAAGTAGGGTCATCAATCGTAGTTGTGTAAGGAGTTCCTGACCCCCAATTCGATTGAGCTTCTCTGTCGTTCAGTTGAACTTCAGCTTCAAGGTCATCCATCTCGCTATTGCTCACAGAATCACGAAATGTTACTTGTTTAGTGTTGTCTCCATTGTACTGCATCGCTGGAGAATCTCCCCTGGTAACTGCAAATTGTTCTGGCAAATCTCGGGCAGCAGTATTTCTGATTGGTGAAAATGCATCAGAGCAACACACTATATTAACCAATATTATGGTTTACCAGTAAAAGACTAGATCTATGACTGCTCACTACAATTAGAAACACAAGATCCTCAAAGAAAACAGAAGAGAAAAAACTACAATGGAAAAGAAATTGCAGAAAAAGATAGGAGCAAAGTCACAGACATCTGAATGATCAAGAAACAGTAGAATCAAAAAGTGAAGACAGGGAGTTTGAAAGAGAGGATGCCTAAGTCAAGCTGCTTTTAAAATATTTCGAGGCAGCCTTTCCAGAAACGCTCCTGCTACATTTTGCAGAAATCATGTACCCATAGAAGAAAGCCCTTCCAAATATCAAGTTCAGTGGGCTGAAAGACAGTTGAAAGTCCAAGACCCAAGAGAATAAATAACGCAACATGTGAGAAAGATTACGTCAAAACAATCAGCAAGGAGACTCCCATTTAATATTATTAACCTCTACCTTCACAAGTTCCAATTCTATATACAGAGACATTGTTCGCAAAAAAGCAGCAAATGCTGTTAACACAAGGATTTCTTTTCAGTCCACAAAGCCACAGGCAAGCTCACATAAATAGCAAAGCTGAGTTGGGTAAGTAAGTGACGCTTACATTATATAACTACGAGCATGTAATACACCAGCCAGCAGTACAAGTAGATGCATGTTCCAAGCTATATACAAAAAAAAAAAAAAAAAAATTATATATATATATATGGTGGCGTCTTCGGTGCACTCATTTTTTTGGGTGCATCCAGTGCACTCACTTCATAACCGTCATTCTAAACATGCAATTTATGTCAAAATGATGTTAATCATCACTTATGATGTGATGAACAATAACGCACATGAATTTGCACAAAAACCATTAAAGATTTACTTTAATTTGAAGAATTTATAGTTTAGAGATTTAGGGTTAGGGTTTACAATTTGGGGTTTAGGGATAGATTTCAAAATTGAATGTCTAGGGCTTAGGGTAATCGGCTAATTAGTTGTTGTCATATGTTATATCATCATATTACACTAATTCTACAAATTAAAATTCAAATCCGACACCTTAAGTCTAGTTTTTGAGTTGGGTGCATTGAACGCACTCATTTTTTTTAGTGCACCGAAGTAGTCATAATATATGGTGGCGTATTCGGCGCACCCACTTTTTTGGGTACACTCAGCGCACCCGCCTCATAATCATCATTCTGAGCTTGCGATTCATGTCAAAATGGTATCAATTGTTGCTTATGATATTATGAACAATAAGCCCATGAATTTAAAAAAAAAATCATTTAAGATTTACTTTAATTTGAAGAATTTAGTATTTAGGGGTTTAGGGTTAGGGTTTAGGTTTACAGTTTGAGATTTTGCATTGGGATTCAAAATTGAAGGTTAAGGGGTTAGGGTAATAGATTGATTTGTTATGATTCTATGTCATATCATCATGTAAAATTGAGAGTACTAATTAAAGTTCAAAATTTAATGTATTATGGACACTTTTTCAGTGCACCCAAAAAAGTGAGTGCACAGAAGTAGCCAATATATATATACCATAAGAATGAGAAAAGAAAAATACATCACACCCCAAGTAGCATGTAGTAACAATATGCAATGAGCCTAGGCTTGACATCCTAAATCATACTTGTTAAAAACATATCTTTTAAAAAATAAGAAAAGGATTTAAAGTGGCTAATGTCCAAGTCGTGGATAATTTGGGTATAATCACTTAGAATACTCAATCAAGCTCATACGTCCATAACACGGCACAAACAAGTTTCATGGCATTCCTCTTAAGCTTGTCGTCTCATCGAGGCAGATTATAATGAGAAGAACAGAACTCAGGAACAACCAATTTCATTGCTCAAAGGGAATATAGAGACCTGGTAACTATGTCCTGGCTTAAACTAGCATGCACAAGTATGAAGAGAATCAGACATAAATGACCAACCAGTATAAACCTCAATGAAAACTGAACCCACCAAAAGTAAGATGGTTGTAATTTGTACATTCAGTTCACAACAGCAGTCTCCATCTGACCAAGCTCACCTGCTTGCAAGAGGTGAATATCTTCCACCATCATTGATTTCCTGATTTTTGGGAATACCACCTCCAAATCCACTCTGGTTATGACTGGGAATATCCCAATCTGCTGCTGCCTGAACATCAGAGGAGGCCATTGCCGCATTTGCACAAGCATATGTAGGCTGAGGAACCAACTCGAGCCTATTCTTGTTCTGCACACCAAAGATGAGGAACATCGAGAGTAAGTTGGCATACATTAGCAAAAGACGAAAGGTGTACATGAGCCAGCTGTAGTCACCAATTCTGCGCCCATTGAATGAGCTGGGGACTGCAATGTAACACTGGAATGGCTCACTTCTGAACGCCATGGTGTCAATTGATACTGGGATTCTTTGAGCTTTGACTGGGATTCACGAAAGCAATTATCAGCGCTCATTCATGTTGGAAGAAGGAGATTAAGGATCCTCTCTGAGTAACCAACTAGACGAGGACCATTGAATTAGAAACACGCACAACTACCACCACGTACCTCAGTGAGTATGAGCTTCTCCTGCAGATGTCTGAATAGAACCTGTAAAAGAAAGAAACTACAGTGACCAAAAACACTCTGTGTTTGACAAAGCCTCAGTAGCTGATATTGAGGGCGCATAGCTTCAGAATCACGGGCCAAATATAGGAGTAAGCCAGTAAAACTAACGAGTGAAACAAATAGCAGCTATAGCATGTTGTGGTTTTTCAGTAACATAGGTATTTGAAACTATACAAATAACTCTTGAAGTAGATAATTCAGCGGTTATATTGAGGATTATCACAAACAGACTCATGACTCCTAGACTCATTACCGTGTCCGATGGGTGAAAAAAGAATTAAGGGGAAAATGCATTGATAAGGAACTAAAAAAAATGCTAAATCTCATAAGCTGTATTTGTCTTCACTTAATGTAAATAAAAAACTTGAACTAGAAGGAAGCTATCCATAAAGTCAATGGAAGAGTCCTGCATTTATTTCGTATCAACATTCATTGAACTGGTGGTCTCCCTATTTGTTAAATCAATAAATCTTCACCCTTAAAGGCTTGAAGAATAATTGCCCATTCATTTCTCCAACTGAAATGAAGAAAGTCGAATGCAAAACTAATCTCGTACACGAATTAGCTACATTTGTGTCCGAAGTCTGAGCAATCTTCCCTTTTGAACCAACTTTGTCTTATTTGCCTTCAACCATGGTAACACCAAAGCCAAGATATCAAAATCACAGCTTCCGTTCTAGTCTATTTATGTCTTATTACGAGGTAGTTCTAACACAAGAAGAAACAATGTTGGATCTCTTTGGTCTGAACAGCACAGACCTGTGCCACCCATATTTAAGTCTACCAACATCTTAAAGCATTAAGCAAAAGTAATTCAAAGTTCAAACTAAACTTCTACCTTTCCATGGATCTTTTAATCCAAAAACCATTAAACATTTAGTACAAGAGGAAACTACCACTGCATACCCTGACATTGCTAATAATTGACTGAGCATCTGGGACTGGTGGTTGCAAGGAATAATCGGCAAGTAGTGGCATTAAAGAAGTCACAAATGTCGATCTTTCTTGTTGAGCAGCCTAAAGGTAAACAAAAGAAAGTAAAAGGAGAAAAAAGGAAGAAAGTCAATCACCAACTCCGTTGCAGTGTATACATTCACAGATATTATGGTCCACGTGACCCTTGGTGCATCAAGAATCATTAAGTTGCAGTCGGAGAGAGTAGAGAGCATTTATGAAAGTATAATCAGATACACTGTATCAAGCTTTTATTAAGGAAACCATCAGCGCTACTTTTAGAAAAGGACAAACATATTATCAACAACGTCAGACTCCAGCGCACAGAAGTTTTTTCCAGCCTTACACATGAGGCAGACTCTAAACGTGACTCCTCTCAACTGTTGCAGAAAAGCAATTTCACAAATCCTCCTACCTGGCAGAAGTCCATTTTGACATGTAGCTAACCAAGGGAGTAGAGAGCATATATGAAAGTATAATCAGATACACTGTATCAAGCTTTTATTAAGGCAACCATCAGCGCTACTTTTAGAAAAGGACAAACATATTATCAACAGCGTCAGACTCCAGCGCACAGAAGTTTTTTCCAGCCTTACGCATGAGGCAGACTCTAAGCGTGATTCCTCTCAACTGTTGCAGAAAAGCAATTTCACAAAGCCTCCTACCTGGCAGAAGTCCATTTTGACAGGCAGGTAACCAAGGGACACAAGCTTTCATAGCACACAAGCTGCTTAACACTGACCAATATATGTTCGCCGACCAGACAGAATAAACACTTTCAATCAAGTGATAAACTGAAAAACGACCTAATCCCTTATCAGACAATTTCAAACAACAGAGCAGAAGCAAGATATCCATTTAAGTGACATCCATATAGAAAAGTCAAATGATAATAACATGCCTGCAATTCATATGTTAAGCGTATATTTTCCTCGATAATGTCTTGTCTATACGAAAGAGTTTTAGAAGCAGCATCAACAAGGTCTTGTTGCTGTTGATCAAAGGCCTGAGATAGACAAATCATGTAATGTCAGACACCCAAAAAAACAGACAGGGAGAATACAGCAAGCTACCAGAGGAGGGAGGTCTTGATGAAAGACCAATGAACATAAATGAGTCCCAGCTCACCAGACGCATGTAAGCAATACGCTTCTCCAAAACATACTTTTCATTCCGAATTTGTGTTTCCTATCAATAATCAGTAATGAGTATACATGCCATTTAAACCATCTTAAAACATGTGATGGAAAGAAAGCTTGCTATTCTGACTTTACCTTAACAGAATAATCTGCTAGACGTTTCCTTAATTGCACTATTTCTTCTTCATGCTCATGAACCTTGAGAACAAAATCCTGCAGAAATGCTTCAATTCTTAACATTTCAAAACAAGAAAGCAAGCATCGGTTAAATTGAGAATACCTGTTTCAAGAGTCTGTTAGAATTATTCACTTCAGCCATTTGCATGGTGCCATGGCCAGGCACATTAAGTTGTGGTTCATAGTCTCCTTCAATTTGATACCTAAAAGAAATTGTGATCCAAATTACTCCAAAAAATCCACATTATGCACATAATTAGGTTATGGTCAAATACCTCCCAGGAGAAACAGATGCCCGGGATGGTGAAGAAAACTGAGAGAGATTGGAACTTTCCGGTGCATGCCTATCAGGAGAAGCCTTCAATCTCCCATTGCTGTTGCTTCTATCAGAGTGGTTTTCAACATGAACTTGACTTGTATCTTCAGTATTGGGCTTCAAACCTTGGTGAGCAACCATCAAACTAGACGGATCCACTGCAGAGTTGCTGTTCATGCTCCTAGCTTTATCCTCAGGATTACCGATCAAGTCTGACTGATAAACTTCATAACGACTATGGATCCGTTCATTCCATGGATGGGCAGAATGTGATCCTAGTGCCACAGGCTCACCTATTTTCTGGGGGAAAATAATCGTCTCATAAGTCATAACCCACAGGAAGAAGAGAATGTCCCAAAAAAAAAAAAATTGGAATTACAAAGGAGATCAATGAACTTAAGAATCCCAATAAAGTTCTTATAGACATACAGTTCATAAATATGGTAACAATATCCTAGTTAGTACTTATGCAACATGCTTAGCCAAAGGCCTCCCCATTGAGTGGAAGAAAGAATTGACCACCTATTCCAACGAATATATGTCCATAACTGAAATTGCATAATAGTCAGACTATGACAATACACGTAGTAAGATGCTCATGTGTCCAATAACCTTCTTCTTCTAGCAACAAGGATCGATCAACTAATACTTGCGCGCACAAAGGAATAATAGCCTTAGAATTATAAACTTTGTAAGATTTACCTACGGACAAGTTAGAGCTTAGGCATTTCTTAGACAAGTTATCTCAGTGTGAAACACAGGACTGCTACAGACGTAGCAGAACAGATGGCCCACTATCCCCACTAGCCGTCTGTAGTTTTAGGTTGAGCCACATCGATTTTCTGTGGCACGTGCGAATTAATACCAAACTTATTTTCTCCAACGCAATCAAAATGCCCGTTCAATCAAACTAAAAATTGGGGAAAGGCGCAATATAAAATCTAAGAGTCAGACAATAAATTTCAAGCTTACAAGTATGTATTCTCAATTCCTAGACTAGTTGCAATAAGCATCAAAATATATTCCATATGCGGAATTCCCACTGGTATCTAGATCAGACACATAACAAGGAGAATTTTATCGATAGAAAGCATTATACACTCACAACTTTCTCTAGTTCCTGCATTGTCCTCTGCAGTTCAGTCCTCAAACGAGTATTTTCTTCTACCTGAGAAGGTGAAGAAATGAAACCACATTAGACACGTATCAAATGGCACAATAATGCACAGCTTCCGGCTTAACAATCAGGAAAACTCTGCCTTCTGTCTTTGGTAATGAACAACCCAGTGAACAAAGCACTTCAAGCCAACACGGTGAGAAGGAGAGGAGAGAAGAGAGAGCTCATTCAGCAAAATGTACTATCATTAGAGGTGCCCACCTGTTGCTTGATTGTGGCTTCAGCAGCTTCAACTGCTTTCATGACCTGACACAAACTATCGTTGCTGTGGTGGTCGTTGTGGCTGTTGGGCATATTCGAATTGGATGAAGCTGAAACGGGGTTTTCATTGTTGCGAGTATTGAGCCCCGAGCCCGTCATTTTGCGAGCCAATTTCACTTCCGCGTTTTCCTCGTCATGACCGTTCTCCATGAAGAAAAATCGGAATGGCGAGCTGCAGAACAGTCCTCAGTCCTCCACTCCCAGACAAAAGTACCAACGTGTCGTGTAATTTAGAGTAGGGAATACAAATGGAAAAGGAAGGAGTGGACGAGATCGAAAGGTGGGCAAGTGAGAAGAAAAACCCTAATCAAACAATAAAATGAGAAAATTGGACTGGGGAAGAAGTAAGAGAGGACTTGAGAGAATGAAATGGTACGGACAAAGCGAGCCCCTGTCCTGAATCATCAATCAGAAACCTTAAATTGAATTCAACAGCGAGTATTTGAATTTTGAACAAAGGAGAAGATTCAAGACTGAGGATTGAATACTCCTATCCTTCTTCTCTTCTTCAGCTTCTTCAAGAACAATACTGGGCTTTCGGGCAATCTGTTCCATGTCTGCGTGTTTATTATTTTCCTGGTAATTATTGTTTGTACTAGATAATTAGCCGCGTTCTGCGGCGGGTATTGGTGAATATCCAATAGAGCTGCAGCCTGCAGTGGATTTAATAAAACTAAGTGTCGTTTGGAGAATATGAGTTTAAATTTATAGATTGTCAATTGTCGTTTGGAGAATATGAGTTTAAATCTATAGATTGTCAACTGTGATTGTTAACATTTAATGAAAATAAAAATAAAAATTCTTCGGATTGTTGAAAATAGATTTTAAAATGTTTATTGTTTGGTAACTGTGATTGTGATTGTTAACATTTAATGAAAATAAAAATAAAAATTTTATATTAAATAACATGTTTATCCTTAATAAAAAAATTAGAGTAGTTTGAGAAATATTAAAAAAATTGTTAGTAAATATATTTAATGCGATAAATAAATAAAAGAAAGTGAAAAGGTAGGAAAAAAAATCTCACGAATCAAGATATAGAATCTCTTTGATTATGAGAGATTTGATGTCCATAGATTTTAGAGATTTAAAATCTCTAAAGCTAAAATCCACAATACAAAAAGCAACAAAAAAAAAACATAATTTTCTACAAAATCTACAGATTCAATAAATCCACGCCCTAAATCCCATTCTCCAAACGACCCCTAAGTTGTTTTTTTATCGTATGTTTGATTTTGAATGTCAAAGGTAGTATCTTTTATTTTAATTTTATAAATGTTCTTTTAAAAAAAATCATTCTTGTTTTTGCCGAAGGCTTTGGGTTTTCTTAAGAATTTACCATCCATTCATATATAGAAAATGAAAACTCTTAAAAAGAGTCATAAAAACAAAAATAAAATTATCAAAATGGTCTGCCTATATTCTCTTATCCTCTATTTAATCCTATGTATTTTTATTTTATTCTATGCATTTTTATATTTATTGAAGTGAAATACTTAGATCTTATGAAAAATATGGTCATGGTCACCTTACCATGATGATGGTAAAGAGATTTACCACTATGACTAAGTGCCCAGCAGCTTTCTTGATAAATATTCTATATTACACTGGTGAGAACTCTTATTACTTATTAATTATCATCTTTACCAGTTTATTAATTTTAAGTATTAGTTGGAATAAAAAATTATAATCGTCTAGAAATTATAGCATATATGGTGTGCAATTCAATAAAATTAAAACCTCGAAATACACTTAAGAGAACTTAATTAAAAAATGCAATGGGAATATTAATTGTTACAGCATGTCTGGGTCTTTTGAAGAGAAGAAACCCATCAGTGCTACAGGTGGCAGTTCTTTCATTTTGGGTGCTAACAGGTGTCACTCATGCAAATATGTGGAATGCAAAAAGGAAATGGGTCTCATAGATTAATAAGTGATAGGGAAAGATGAAATTCACCGTAAAAGATCTCTTTGTTCGGATAAAAAGAAGTTCGATAGAGAGTGGAGAATAGTCGTGAGAAAAGAGAAGGATCTGGGACAGGGATCTAATAAAACAATCCATAGAGTAATCAAATCAATGCACCTGACCGGAGCGCCCCAACTTGCCTCGCCGCTACGATCTCAGGCTGTTAAATTGGGGAAGAATATATATATGCCCACAGAGCATAGCAGAGCAGAGACTGGGTCAGATCGGGGAGAAGAAGAACATCACTATCCAATTGTGCACCCCAATTGCATCTCCGGGAAGTCAAGAACTTCCCAGGTACAGACGGTGATGGTGGGTCAATCAAATTGACAACTTCCTATCCTCTCTCCCACAAACCGATTTCAGGCCTCTAGACAATTCCACCGCGCTCCTGCCATATCAGAGAGAAGAGAAGTCGAAGGGCCATAACCCAGAACCTCTTGTCCATCTTCAAATCGGTGTTGCGGGTAGAAGAAATGGCGGATCAGAGCTAGCCTGAAATACCCCAAACTCCAACAGCCGCAAGCAGAACGTCGGGTAAGCCGGAAAAATGGCAGTGGGTAATAAAACGGGTAATAAAATACTACTATGAACCTTCGCGCACATAACCAACGGCGAAGCGGCAGACCGGCGTTGATAGAATGGTGCGGAGAGGAAGACAGTGATCGATATCTTTTCTGGGAGACGAAACGTCGGGGTAGGAGAGGAAAGGGAGAAAGTTCGGCGACCGTCTTCTCAGGAAGATTGGGAAGAGAGTAGTTCGGCGATTTGGTTATGGGAAATCGATGGTCGAGATTGAAAATCAGAATGCATCGGAAGGTAATACGCGTGGGATGCAAGGAATTTATAGGGAGAAGGTTCAGCGACTTGGCTCGCCGCCATCCTGTCTTGGCAGAGAGATTGAAAAGAGAGAAGTTCGGCGATTTGGGTTATAGGAAATCGATGGTCGAGATTGAAAATCAGAATACTATGAACCCTCATGCAGACGGCGAAGTGGCAGATGAAATCGGAGTTGAAAAAATGATGAGGAGAGGAAGATAGTGCGCGATTCATCTATTTTATTTTCTGGGAGACTAGACGTCGGTGAAGGAGAGGAAAGGGAGAAGGTCTGGCGATTAGGGAGAAGGGAAATCAATGATCGAGATAAAAGTCAGAATGCATCGGACGGTAATCCGTGTAGGCTGAACAGAATTTGCAATAGACCTGCTCGAAGCCCACTGGACCCCTTAAATCAATTAGGCGCTATTTATTATCTAATAATATTTCGCTTTGCCTGCATTTTACCCAAGACTGGTGGAAAATTCTTTTTTTGAGCAAATTTTTGTCAACGTATGAGCAAATCTTATTTAGTAATTAATTTAGTTCCACTAATTTAAAACTAAATAAGTCATCACTAAGAATCAAAATTGCAGCCTATGAGTCCAAATCATTGTTATGACTTACACATTTAACCAATAAGCTAAGTTCTAGTTGATTATACTATATATACACAATAAGATTAGTAGTCTTGCTATGAAATGAGTTTAAAATCTAACATCTTACTATGAGTTTAAAGTTTTTGATAACACCCAAATTGGTGTTATTTACCCTTTATATTTAGATTAGTTTCGTGCTAATTCATGTGCATAATCGGAAGAATATTATCGATTGCATCCTAGTTTCGTTCTTATTTGATTATGTTATAATTTTAGGGTGCTTTAGACGATACATGTAAATTAGGTGCGAAAAGGGCACAAGTATAGTGAAATGGGCAGGAAGCTGATGATCACCTGAGAGAAGACAGAAATTTTCGACGGTCGGATCACGATTACCATCTTCCTTGACCACGTGGAAGTTCGCGACCGTGACTCATGGATCGCGACCATGAAGTCAGCCCGCGAACTCCCCGAAGATGAAGACCAAAACGGCAAAGCCTGAAGATCGCGTGCTCGAAGGAATTGATCACGACCGCGAATTTCCCCTGCTCGACCGTGAACTTGTCTGCCCTCCTCAATTCTATAAATAGGGGACTCCTCCCCCTTTAGAAGATGGCTTTTGGCAGATTTCTGATTCTAGAGAGATATTAGAGAGAGAAGCTGAAGGAAGGAGAAGAAGTGGAGGAGGACTTTGTTTCGTTGGCGAAACTCGCGCGTTCAATGCGCTCTGATTTCAAGGAAACAAAAACCCAAAGTCAGCAAAAACCGACAAATATCCGCCACCGAATGTCGGCGCCGTTGATTTGATCGATTAAACAGAAACCAAGATGACTGTCAAATATCCACCGCCGGCGTCGGCGATGTTGATTCGATCAATACACCTTTGACTTCTAATCAAACAACCGTTACTCGGTTCACCACCTCTCCAAACTACGTTCGAACGAGGGTGTTCAACGAATAACCAGAAAATCGAACCAGGAGTTCTAAGTTACGTTACCTCTACTCCTATGGAGGTTCCTCTGGAGAGCTCCGCAACTACGACTACAACTACTACGACTCTGCAAAGGAGGTCTTTGACAGAGCGGTTCTACAAAGCTACGGAGAAAAACTGATAGATCTGCGACGGTGCAGTTTGAGATTTGATTTTTGCCGTCACGAGCTTCTCTCTCTTCCCAATCTTTATACTTCGCGCTTCTCCCCGTCGTAGTAACTGCCTTGGCGCCTTTGTCTCCCACGTCTTCATTCCTGTCAACCGTGCAGGTAACTTCCTCCTTGTTGCGTGATAATCACGTGCCCTCGAAACCGCTCTTGCTTTGCAGATGCTTGGCGAAACGAATTACAACCTTGTCCATGTAACGATGACGTTTCACCAATACCACGACATCGCCTTTCACCAACCGATGTCGTTTTATAATCCAACTCAACTTCCCCGACTCGGTTTAACCAACGACATTGTTAGTCCATCAAACAACGTCGTTCTATACTCTTGCGCCGTCGTTGGGCTTGGCGGGCTGCCTTTGGCCGAACTCTTACCACTACCGCGGTGTCGTTTAACTTTTCCGCGGCATCGCTTTTCATTAAACGACACCGTCTAAAATAATCATAAAATACTAATTAATTAAACCAGCCCTCATTGTTAACTCGCCGTCGAACTTTCACCCCTCGGCGTCGTTCTTAGTTAAACAACATCGTTTCCTTGTCCCGCGATGTCGTTGAACTTTTGAGCTTCGCGACACTGTTTTAATTTTAACACTGTCGTTTTAACTGTTGCGGCATCGTTTGGCCTACTCACGGTATCGTTTTTAAATCCGCGGTGTCGTTTCTTTCCTCTTGCGGCATCGTTTTCAACTAAACGACACCGTGCTAAATAATCATTAAAATATTAATTAATACGGCCATCATTAGCCCACTCGTGAGTTGGCCAACGACATCATTAGCGCCCAAAACGGCTCCGTATGCTTTTTCTTTCGCGACATCGTTTGTTATTTAAGCACTGTTGTTTGCTAATCCGCGGTACCGTTAGGCTTACTCGCGGTACCGTTTTTAATTAAACGACACCGCTGATATAGCCGAAAATATTCCATGGAACCGCCGCCAATCGGCGCTCGCATTGGACTAGGCGAATTTTGGTTTAATTAATCGCTACCGCTTACCAGGCTCTCGCGGCATCGTTTTTAAATTCGCGATACCGCTTATCTCCATGCGGTACCGATTTTCCCCTTCCAACAAGGAATAATGATAATAATTAATAATAATAATCAAACTCCTTTTCCAACACCAATACCAAACGCGCGGCCCATATCTTGCATCTCCGTAAACGGTGTCGTTTCTAGTGCCGCGGTTCCGCTGAGCCTCCTTGCGGTACCGTTTTAACTCTCCGCGGTGCCGCTTGTCTCCATGCGGTACCGATTTTTCCCTTCCGACAAGGGATAAAGATAATAATTAATAATAATAATAATCAAACTCCTTTTCCAACACCAATACCCAACGCGCGGCCCACATCTTGCTTCCCGGTAAACGGTGTCGTTTCCAGTGTCGCGGTACCGGTGAGCTTCCTTGCGGTACCGTTTTTCTGTTTCGCGGTACCGTTTCAACTCTCCGCGACGCCGCTCAACTCCAAACGACACCGTTTTTTACCCGCGGTATCGAATTAAATGCCGAGACTAATTAATGCGGCATTTAATTCAGGCCAAATTAATTTTAGGTGTCAACAGACTTCCATCACTTGAAGACCCATTTCTTCATGATTTCTTCCCCTCTTTGTATGTCTTTTCTCCCCCCCCCCCCCCTCATTGGGTGATCTTCCAAGGTATGGAAAAAATCTGAAAGTACACTAGTTCTTAAAAAAAATTCCCAAAATACATAAGTTATTAAAAAAAATTCCCAAAGTACACATGTTTCACATTCACCGTTTGTGACTAGCGCAGTGAATACAATCACCGCATTAGATTTAAATTAAAACGATGACGTATTCAACGTCTTTAACAAAAACGGTGAACAATTCACCGCGTTTAACCAAAACGGTGAAGACATCACTGTGTTATTTGAAAATAGTGAATACGTGACCGTTTTAGGGCAAGGCGGGGAACATCTTCATTGTCCTAGGTTACTGCGGTGATTGTTTCCCACATTTCCCACACCTGGTAGGTGAAAATTAGGTCACAACCACCTAATGTTCACCGTTTGAGACAAACGCGGTGATATTGTTCACCGTTTGAGACAAAGGCGGTGAATGCTGGCCGATTTTCCTATAAATACCACTCCCACCAGCAGTTGTAAAACGTAACCCCTCTCACTCTTCAAATTTCAGCAACCAAAACCGAGCAACATACATAGAACATGAATTTTCGGTATCCTTTAATTTTCGTATTGTAGCCTAATGATGTTTTTAGTAGTTATATTGTTATGTTATGAATTACTTATCATAGCAAATATGTTCTGTTATTTGGGGAATTTATGCTGTTGTTAGTTAGTTGAATTTATGTTAGTTATGAGATGGAGTAATATTAGTCGTACAATATGGTTTTTGTTAATTTTACTGGAATTAAGCTAATAGTTACTTATTGTAAATTGTAGATATGGGTAAATTCAAGAAGTTTCAGCTTATTATTTGGTGGAATGGAAGGGTGACAAACTCTGACATAGGGATTGATTATGAGGACGGTGAATCCACTATGCTGAAAATTGAGTCACGATTCAATTTTCAAGAACTCTGTGATATTTGTGCAGACAGGGTTTGTACGAGCGGACATACGAGACTTGGTAAAATTAGTTACCGGTATCCAGACATCAGTGCTGGCGGGGTTGTGTACCAAGAAGTTGTCATAAACGATGATGACGCGGTTACGATGATGTTACAGTTCCTAAGCGATAACGTGATGCGGCTTGCAAAGCCGTATGTTGAGACCGAGGTGGTCGGTGAAACTCATTCTCACCAGTATTCTTATGATGATGGTTTTGCAGGAGGGTACAGATGGGGTGGTAGTTCGAGCAACTACGAAGGAGGTGGTTATACAGGAGGTTACGGAGAGGGTGGTAGTTCAAGCAACTACGGTGGATGTAGTAGTGCAGGATGGGTCGTCCTAAGATTGAAAGGATTCACAATGAGATGGATCAAGTGCAACGCACGAGGTGGGGGCCGAAGCGATGCTCCAAGTGCAGACAACCTGGCCATGACAAGAGGCGTTGACCAGGATAACCTATCGGGCATGGTGAGGATATTAATCAGGACCAACCTTGAAAAAGTGATATATCTTAATTATCATTTAGTTGTAATGATGTTTAAATTGTAAGCTTGTTTAATGATTGGCATGAATTTGGAATAAATTTAAATGGGGTCCAATTAGAAAGTTGACTAACATATATCATTGATTACTAGAAGCCAAAACACAAGACATGGCTGGAGAAACACAACATGGATAGTTCAAAGACAATGCAAACTCAAATCACAAGACCGAAAAAAACAAATAAACGCCGATAGTTCACTACAATGATATAACACTAGAATAAACAAAGAAAGCATGAGAATTTCACTGGTTGGCTTCATATGGTTCCCCTCATTTTGGCCCCCATCTCTCCCTCTTCCTCCTCCTCGTCGTCCTCAACCCTTCTTCCCCCATCTCTCCCACTTGCTTCTTGGCGGGCTCGCTCAACGACTATTCGCGGATGTCTCTTAACCCGAGCCCCAACTGGAGTTACTATAGGCGGTGGAGGTGGCGGTGGCCGAGATGGACCGGTAGCTTGATGGTTGATCGGGGGTGAGGGGTTTGTTGCTGCGGGGTTGATACATCGGACTCTGTTGCTGATGGTGGAATTGAGGGAACCCTTGAGGGAAAATGTCCGGTGGCTGAGATGGACCGGAGCTTGATGACCCTCCAGCGACATCCGTTGTAGGTGCCCACTCGTACTCAAATGGTTCAGGGAGCTCGGTTGCTTGAGTTATACGCACCTCTTCAAACGTAGGCAGAGGCTTGCGTTTGTTCCTTCGCGGGGGCTCAACCGGGGGCACAATGGCTCACCATCACGGAATGATGGGCGTGCCGGGGCAGGAATGGGAGGATAGGCCACGACATCTCTCCTTTGCTCTCGGGTACAACTCAGGAGGTTGTTCACAAGCCTTCGCAACCAAGAAGTCTTGAGCTCATCCATGGTTGGAGCACTATCGAGGGTGTGTTTGGCGTGTTCCAAACCATTAACCTAAGCAATCCACGTAATAAATCAAAATTAATTAAACCTTAAAACATAATAATTAGACTACGAGGGAGATTAGGATGACTTACCAACGAACCCATCACAACACCTTGCTTTGACACCCATCTAAGCGTAAACTTCCGATACCACTGCATGTACCCATCGTGGTAACCCATAGGTCTCGTCTCCGGCATCCCCTGGACCACCCAATTCCCTATATTTTTCCAAATGTTGATGTAGAACTGATGCTTTAGAAGCCAATTCTTTGTCGCGTGTCGGAGGTCGATGGCATGGAGCTTCCTGAAACCTTGAGGCGGGGATTGTGGAATTGGTTGCTCCAATCGATATTGCCTCAAGGATCGATCGGGTAGGTGCCACTCCACGATGTGCCAGCAGATCAATGGCACCTTGCACAACCACGTCTCGTGATCCTAGGGGTGTCTCAGATGATGCAGCTCGACTACTTCACATGGATATGGGTCCCATGTAACATATACTCATTCATAATTTGAAATTAGCGATCATTTACATTGAAAAATTTTAAATTGTTAAAATATGATAAAGCATGATTACCTGGTTCCACCAAGGCTTATCTAACTCAGAACGATAAAACAGTAAAGAGTGCTCAGGTTGATGATCGTTTGTATTTGCTCCTATCCACCTTGTAAGTAAAAGCATTGAATAAATTTATATTTGGGCTAAGTATGGAATAAATGTAATTTAAATCTAGCCAAGAAGCATGGAATAAATTAGCAATTAGGCTAAGTACATAGTAGGTAGTAATTTCAATCTAGCTAAGCATGGAATAAATTTGCAATTAGGCTAAGTACAGAATAAATGTAATTTAAATCTACCTAAGCATTGAATAAATTTAAATATAGCTAAGTATGAAATAAACTTACTTGGCACCATAGGGGAGATTTTGCACAAAACGTAGCTCATCATCTGCTCTCCAGTATGGACGTGGGTCTTGAGGTGCGAACATTGGAAGATGCTCTCATACCCAGAGCTGGAGGATGAACATCGCCGCACCAGCTTGTCTTGCTCCCACCTTCGAGCAGGTACAGAGCTCCCTGTATATGCCAGCTAACACGGCCGATCCCCAACTCTTTTCCCCGATTGCGTCCCAGTCACTAGTGAGCAATGGCAACCATATGCCTTGAATCCACCTGTTTGACTTGTCGGGGAACAGAAATCCACCCACCAAACCAATGAGGTAGATGCGTGCATAGCGCTCCACTTGATCTTCCGGAGTCTCGTCATTGATTTCCACCTCATTTTGGATGTGAGTTACGAACCACAGGATCGACACTTGTCCCGCATTCAACTGTGGATGCCCCCGTCCTTGAATTGGTGTGGTGGTCGGCATGTCAAATCCCAATTCAGCAAGAATGAGTGGCCCCCAACCTCCTTCGATTTTGGTAGTGGTACCAATGATGGCCTCTCTAGAAATCGGCAGCCCGGTGAGGATCGCGACATCTTTGAGGGTGATCGTCATTTCCCCCTCCGGAAGGTGGAACGTATGGGTTTCGGGGCGCCATCGCTCCGACATTGTCGTAAGCAGATCGTTGTCGATTTCAATTCGCATGAAATGCCTCAGCATACCCAACCCGGTCCTCTCTATATACGGCCCCAACTGATCATGCCAAGTAGGAAGGTTTGTGGTCCCTTTATGAATGACGGGAATAAGTGATTCCTAAAAAAAATAGGAAAAACATCAATTTGTTAGTTAAAATAAAGCAAAATAAAACCTTATAAAATAAAGCAAAATAAATCATCAATTTACTGGATTGTTGTCCCAAATTGCACGGGAGCGATGTGCTTCTTGATCGGTTAAATACTTTGTATCTCTTGGCCCATAATGGATATACAATCGAGGATCATATATCTCGGCTCCCATCTATAAAAAAAAGTAATGAAATCAGATTGTTTTGATTAAAAAAAATCACAAAATCAAATTGTTTCGATTAAAATAAATCACAAAAGAAAAACCAAGAACCTACCCGAAGAGCCTCTTCGTCCATTTTTTGGCGGAAGCCGGACAAAGGTTCGACGGGTTTATAAGGTCGAGAGCTTTAGGGTATAACTCTAGTAATTCTTTCTAATGTGGAAGATCAGACTTAGCCGCACTCACAGAGCATACTTAGAACAAGACTATAGTGGATGGATGGAGGGAGAAATAAGTGTAAATGTGGTGGTGTGATTTGGAAAAAGGGGGGGGGGGGGGGGGGGGGGGATGGTTCTATTTATAGGGGAGGGAAGGTTGTGCGTTAAAACACAAAATGCGCCATCACCTCCTTTGACAAAGGCGGTGAATAGACCGCCTTTATCGAAGACGGTGAAGGGTGCGGATCGAGCTGACGTGGGACGCCGTGAGGCGTCGGATCTGGGAAGAAAACCAAAATCTGCGCCTCACCGCATCCAATGGCAACGGTGAGCAGCTACGCGACGCGGATCATTGACGTGGACAAACGCGGGGTATTCACCGCATTTGTCTAACACGGTGAATGCACCGCGTTTGTCCACCTCAGCGATCTGTGTTGCTTTCATCGTGGTTGATCGATACGGTGAATATTTCACCGCGTTTGATTAAAACGGTGATGTCTTCACCATTTTCGTTTAAGGCGGTGAATGGTAAGCTCGTTATTCACTGTTTTTCTTACCACGGGGAATACGTCATCATTTTAAATTAAAATGGTGAATTGTTCACCGTGTTTGTCTGACTGGTGATTATGTTCACTGCATTAGACAAAAACGGGGAATGTGAAACATGTGTATTTTGTGAATTTTTTTTTATAACTTATGTATTTTGGGAATTTTTTTTAATTACTAGTGTACTTTGGGATTTTCCCCCCAAGGTACTAGGGGTTTAAATATCCAAACCCTAGTTTTAGGGCTATTGTGTAGATGAATGAATATGTTAGGATTTTGAATGAATGTGTTTGTCTAGTTGATTTTAATGCTTCATCTAGCTTTAATTGTGCTTGGGTAAGTCGCCTTAATCTTCTCTACTAGCCTACTTTAGCTTCTACGTTGGGTATAGAGTTTTAGGGTTAGACGGGTATGCGCCATTTGGCAAATTAGGGTTAGATGAATCAATAGGGTCTAAAGTGGTGGACGAGGAGATCGAACTTCGCCACCAGAACATCTTCCTAGATGGAAACCGGGATGAAACCTCGGTGTGGATGGTGGGTAGTACCCATTGAAAAGAGATAAGTTCTTAAAGCCCCAGATACGTGAGCCTATACCGAGGTGACAATGGGGTAGCTAGGGGGTACTCGGAGGCGTGTGGATAATCACGAAGGCCCACGGAAAAGAGCTCCTCACCACATTCGCTTAACCCAACATGTTTAGACATTTGAATGATAGACCTAGGCAAGAGCGAGGGAGTTACCCCAAGTGCCTCTTCTTTCCTATCGACCTTCAGTTCAATAATGTCAACTGTCGTCTGCCCACCTGCTAAGTAGCAGGTTGACTAGATAACGATCGAGTCTAGGTTGCCTAGGATATTGTGACCCTTGGAACACGAGTGAACCACTTTACTACATCCCTAGCTTGGTTATACTTGGCCTTGTTAGGATTAACTAGTGAGTGTTCTTTGACTTTATAAATTTAAAGCTTGATCGAAGCAACAATCAATTTTTTAAGTGTTTTTCATTTTATAGATGCATAAAAGTAAAATTATGTTATTGCAGAAGAGAGCAAACTCAAGTACAATCATTCATAATAGGGATCAATCACAACATGCACCAATGATTCATCAATAACATCACTTTATCCCTTCCTCTAAAGCTATTCTCCACCTGTGCATGCGCCTCTTGTGATAGATATTTAACTAGCGAATGTATGCTTTCGCTTCATGCCATCACCTAATTAATGAAGAACAAGGAAGTTGTAACACACAAACCATAATCGATGGTCTATATCATCAATTATCTAACAATCAAGCACTGATACTACTCGAGGTATAGATGGTTGATCATTCCCTTTATACTCGTGTAACATCAATGAGGTATCACTAGAAAGTAATTTCTTATCAATCTAGGTAATACTAAGCACAATGCATATAGTAGCATACTATAGAATCATAAGCATCGATGATAAGAAGCATTCATACTAGATAAACAACAATGATCATCACATAGGCATCCAAACATAAGCATCCACGCATAGACAATGAGCATCAAAATTCACATAGATAAACACAAGCATGACATGAAATTATAATATTCATTCACATAAAGATAAATGAGTTCACATCTTCATACAATCAATTTAAAACTAGCTACACAGAAGAGAAGAAGGGTACCAACATTGATGATGGCATCATCTCCTTAGCTTCAAACTCTCCTATGAAATCTAAGCTCTTACTCGACGAGAGTACAAAAGTTTTTTGTGTGTTTGTGCAGTCTTACTGACCTAATGAGTCATGCTTGTACATGAGCGTTGGGTCGTGCTTGGGCCGACACGACAGGGGCACGCTTGGGGCCCATTTATTTCGTGTCGTGCTTGGCACGGCCTGTCAGTTTTCGTGTCGTGCCATGCAAGCCCATTTGTTAACTTTGCTAGGCCCGGCCCAGGCCCAAGCACGGTTCGAATCGTGTCGTGTCTGTTCGTGCTCGTGTCGTGCTCGTATTCATGTTTAATGAAAAGGACAAAAACAAAAGAGAGAATGAAAAAGAAATTGGACGCAGGAAGATAGTATAAACCGATAATGTTTGAGAAAAGTAACAAACAAGGGGGAGAAGAAAATTGGAAGTATAGCGAGTGTGATTTGACTTTGTTTAATTCTTTGTCCATTTTTACTTATGTTAGTAATTACGTATATATCTTTATGACACTTCTAACAACAACAAATAATTATTTTTCTACTTGCGTTTTGTAATATTTGAACCTATAATTCTTTTTATATTTATTTTTATCAAATAAATATTATTTTCGTGCCATGTCCGTTCTTATACTCAATAAAGTCTCAAAAATATTAGGCCCGACACGACCCACTTATAAACCGTGCTGTGCCCGTGCTGCGTGCCCGTGCCCATGAAGTTTAGGCCTGGCACGGTCCATAAATTATTCGTGCTCGTGCCGGGCTGGCCCATTTATTTCGTGCCCGTGCTCGTGCCGTGCTAGCCTATGGGCGGCACGGCCTGGTGCCCACGTACAGTCATGCCCTCTATTTAAAGGTGAGGAACTAGACTAAAAGCATCTCAAACCGACTAGAAAAGGGTCTCCTACTCCTTATGGGCTAAGTAAACTTCTTGAACAAGGCTAGGATTGTAGCGGCAGTTGGGACCGCCGCTCGTTTTGTTCGTGGGTTGGGATCCTTGAACCTTGGATGATCCTCCGTTGTAGTTTGGACACCTCTTAACCAAGCCTCCTTCAATGGTGGTTGGACCCGATGCTAGGTCGTCGTGGTTTCTTCATCAGCTTGGGGCGAGTCTTCTTCCTATGGGCTTGTCTTGAGATTATTAAACGACTTCTAGTTGACTTCTCCGTCACCGGAGCTCATCTTTCTCACAAAAGCTGCATATTCTTCTTTTTATAGCTCCTTTGGTCTTCTAGATTTATCCAATGCTTGCTCCAAATTTCCTTAGGTTGCTTTGTACTTTCAAAATTAACAAAACATACCTAGAAGGCATCAAAGAATATAAAAAACACATCCTAGGTTTTTGAAAGGTTCATTGATGAAATAATTGTGATTTAGATAGGAAATACTTTTGAAATGACAAAGTATGCTTTGATAGAAGGAGAAAATGTATCAAGAATGGAGTGACAAACATTATAAATAAATGTCATAAAAAATACCCCACACTTGTACTTTGCTTGTCCCCAAGCAAGTACTTGTCCGCAAGCAAACACTACTCATAAGCATACAACTTAAGGACTTCAAGAAGCCATCACCCAATTTTGATATGAGGTAGTGGATCATAAGCAACTTACAATGTCAAAAATAGAACTAGAGAATCCTAACCACTTCAATATGCAAGAACATCATACTACTTAACCCAAGCATCAACTACTAACCATGCATCAGAGTCTCAAAACGATACAGTGAAACTTTTGATAAACTTTTAAGCTTTGAATTCTTTCTACCATCAACTTGACATGTCTTTAAATTACTTTCCTTACTCAAACACATACTCTCTTTTTATGAATTTTGAATATTTCTTCTCTTACCCACAACTATTTTTTTTTTAATTTTTCTGATTTTTCTCCTAGTGGAGAGATCTTTTTGAACTTTACCCTTATTGGTCGACCAAGAGCTTAGAAGCTCCTATTCCTCAACTCATGCGGAGGGTCAATGAAATTAAGTGATGTCGAAAGCTTTTTATGTGCCCTCAAGAACACATTCTTTGGCAATTAATTCGACGGGTGAAAATTTTACTTGTATAGAGAGGAACTAGAATCACCTAGTAGTACTTTCCCACTAAAGCTCAACTAGTATCTCTTCCAAAACCCAATTTAGTACAATGAAAAGATGCCTCATACATTGGGCTTACCCCACTTTTTATTTTTCACATAGCATTTCAAATTTTTAATGATACAATGTCTTGTTTGGTTGAAAGTTTGAATTTTCCTAAAGATACAATTTACCCTTTGAAAACAGGAGACTATTTTTCATAATTATAAATCTTCGAATCGATCAAATAATATAGCATTCAAACGCATGAAATGGTCATTAAATCCAACTGAATATCACATCCTTCATAGTCACTACATTATCCTCCCTAGATCAAGTGATAATAACTAAATTCTATGATTCAAAGTAAGATGAGGAGTGATCATGCTTGTAGGGGATGACTAAAGTCATTAGATGGAAAAACATCTTTAGTTCTTTCAAAAACTTTTAAGCACATATCACAACTAATTTAGCATTGATTTTTTTTTTGGAATTTTAACAACTAAATATATAGCATGTAGTCAACATAACAAGGTAAAGCATATAAACCCTTCCCACCCCACACTTTAAAATGGACATTGCACTCAAATGAACTTAAACATAATGATTTGTGGTAAAGTTGGAAGTTGGAACAAATAACCTTGAATGTCGCTAAAATCCCAATTCATACTATATTGTAGCTAGTTATGTTTAATTGTTTTGAAGAGACACAAATTAGTCTAAACAAAAGAAGAGTACAAGTGGCTTCCCTAAATCTCCATCTCCTACAAGTTTGGTCCTCCTAGTGGCGATGAACTACTTGAGTAGAGGCCTCGGAATTATCTATTAAAGTCCTCCATCAATGAATGGCCCCATTATTGCGCCTATTCTTTTCTTACGCGCCAAGCTCGAGTATGCTCCAGCTCCATCTGTCTTTCCTGCTTCAGGGCATCCCAATGTTGCTAGTTCATGGTCTGGTAGTTGATTAGGCTCAGGTAGTCTCACTAAATGCTTTGTTGGTTTCCCTCATGTCATCCATGTAGAGTACGATGGGTAAGTGTTCCTGACGAGGTCTACTCCCTTGCTTTTCACCTTGTCAACACCAAAGTGAAATTTGGTTGACGATAGATAGGTCTTTCCCTCACCAATGTCTCCCAGAGAGCAAATCCATAATCCTCCCTATGCTCGTTGATGTGCTAAGCTATGGTGTAAACATAGCCTCTTCTTGGTAATCCTCATGGGAAAGCGACAAATGTATACCGCAAAAGTTTGTTAACCACCAAAAATGTTGGGTAAAGCCACCAGTTGTTCAACAAAACATAATACAAGATCATATCATTGGTGGTCACCTTTCCATCAACTCCCTTCTGCCTCATGTGAATAAGTGGTTCGACCAAAGTAGTACATGAACCTAATGAATGGCATCTCAATAATGGTCAGTGAAGAGTAACCATCAACAAACTTGGCTCCTTTGTCTCTCGTGATCGTCTGCCACACCTCCCGGAAGACAACCATCTACGTCGTGGGCTCCTGATAAGCTACAAGGATAGCATATGAGAGTGGCCTCTCCTATGGTATGAGGGGATCCCTACCATTATGGCCAAGCTATCTTAACTATTGTTGAAGTGTCATCCCGCCAATCTATAGGAGATTCACCTCTAGCTTGAGCTTCCTAATACTCCCTGATACTAGTCAAAATTCGACTAGTTCAGCTCTCCTTAGTGGTCCACCGATATGTCTCTCCATCTCCGCACCTTCTTGGAACTAGAATTAGCAATGGGGAACTGGAGGAAATTAAGGGTGCAGGGGTTCCTCCGGTGTGCCTTCTCGTATCTCCTTCTCGTTATTAGTCTCCCGCACCTTAGCATATGGTGGCAGCTGTCCACTATTGCTACTCGATCTCTCGCTATCCATTGATATCCTTCCACTATTGTTGTTTGTCATATTGTTGAATGAATCAGAATTGATAACCCAACTCCCTCGAACTCTCCTCCTCCTCTATCACGATCACTGACTCCCTCCTATTGAGTTGTGCAGACCGTCAGGGAGCTACATGCTCTGGCTCAGCTCATGGTGGACTAGGATCCCTTGGTCCTTTAAAGAAGCAGCAAGATATCCTTTCTTCTTGTGTCTGCCCATCCATTTGGGAAATGAATTCATTTTCCTGCTCAAAAGAAACCAAGTTAGAATATAAAATAGGGGATAACCTCACACTTTAAAAGGGATGCTATCTATAAGATAATCATATAACTTATCGAGTATGTATTAAGAAGACAATAATCCATACACTTCAGTTATAATTGAAGCTCATGTAAAGAATTATAATATTTATATGCAATCTCGTAGCATGACATGACCTCCTACGAGAGGCCCATGTCCCTTATTGAATCATGCCATGCTCATTAATGACATAGTGGGTTGGGCTTAAAATCAATATCCATAAGGCCCAACTTAAACAATAGTAATTGTTATAAGTATTGTGGTCTTATAAATTCATTGATTATCTTGTAACTCACTAATGTGGTACAAGACAAATTTTATGGTGTAAACAGAAAGAGTACAATGGCTGGCAGATGAAAAGAGACTCGAGTCTCTGTTTTCTTCGCTTCGTCTTCCTCGTTCGTTCATTTCACTTTCCCTTCTATTTGCCTTCCAAAATCCCTAGCTCCCCAAGCTTTGATCGAATTTTATACTAAAGATTACCTAGTGTGCACATCCGCTATTTTCCGTCACACTGAAGGTGCTAGGGAAGGCAATGGGAGGGTTTGGTGCGGGTTTTCCTAAACCATCTCTATCCTCACTTTCAAATATCCAAATCCATATTCGCCTCATATCCATACGGGGAAGGTTTTGCAAACCAATTCCCCATACCCGTGGGTTTCAGGTACTCATGAGTAATACCCGCCCCATACATCCAACATTATATGCATAAAATTTTCAATTATAACATTAAATACACCTACTATATCATGAAGTCAACAAAGAGACAATCATTCTCAATACAGTTCAAAGCATCTTATCCTAAAACATCCATTACCATAAGATAGAGTACAATGTCCTAATCATTATTCGCTAACTCTGATACATCTACTAAGTAATAACTAACTAACCTAATGTTGTTAACACTAGGGAAAAAGTTAAAGATTGAAGAGAGAATTGAGGAAAATGAATTAGGTTTTGATTTGGGTGACCACTCAATTGCATTTCTACTAATTATTTTCTTGAGTTACCCTCACTATCATTGATAGGTTACAATTTGATCAATGTATTTTTTATATGTGAAGAAATGCTCTTGGTGGGGCGGGTATGGATATGAAGAGGGAAGGCTAAAACCGTACCCGTCCCATAACCATAGAACATTTTGTAGGTTTTACCCATACTCGTCCATACGCAGTGAATGCAAGTATTCTCACATTAATTGGGTCGGAGGCAGTCGAATACCCACAATCATAGGTTTGATTGCCATTGCTAGTTTGCTACCTTGGGGTGTGATGAGGGATATATGAGAGCGAAGTATTTGGTATTGTAATTGTAATGTTATATATACAATACATACACTGAATGAGACAGTGACAAGACCGTTCATGTCACTTCTTCAATAACTGTGGACCAGTCCGATTCTCAAGAAAATGAAATTGATCAAATTCAAATTTTCACGGGACTGGCATGGCAGTCCTCACTCCTGGCCTGTTGTTCATCATGGCCAAGGCTAGGTCATATCGTTATGTTGTGCTAGAACAGTGGAAAAAGCTCCAGAAGAGATCAGTCGCAAAGGATTCGGATATTATTTTTCTTATCAGGCCGATATCGACTTACGGTACAACAGAAACCTTACATACTATAAATAGGCAAATAGCCATTGTCCTTGTCTGGAAGAACAAAGAACCAGTAGAAGTGTCCCAGAAGAAAATCAATCTGGCAAGGCAAACGAACATGACGCACCAGACTCTACATGATCTCAACAACCGCTCGACTAAGAATCTTCCCCTCGTTAAGATCTTGAAATGCTGTGCCTGCCTCCTCAAAGTTGTACTTCCGGGTAACCGCATCAGTGAGGTTGAATATGCCCGACTCCGCAAGCCTTACCAGCTTTGGAAGATCTTGCCTTGCCCTTCCTCCATATGAACCAATCACTTGGATCTTTTCCACAAATGGTTATGTTAGTTAGTTGCTTAGGTAAGACAGCAAGATTTTTTTGCTTCCCATGTTCTCTCTTAACTCTTTCCATGCAACCTTAAGCTTATATCTAACATGACTGTCTAGAAAAGGGCTATCGCTCATATGATTACCAAACGTAGATGTTAGGATCATTGAAAATGGTTTTTGTTACTTTGCTAGATTTGATTCCAGGAAAGAAAACTCTATGTAAGCAATATGCAGAGAACATTTTGCATACCTTTCGACGAACTAGATGATTGATGTCCATCTCCCCCACTGAGCCAGCTTTTGCAAGCCCAATCATCACAGCTTTCCCTCCATCTCTTACACTTCTGGTGCACTGTGAAAAAGTGAGCGGTTTGCCCAATGCTTCCACTGCAACATCCACACCTCTTCCTCCAGTTATTTCCTATCACAGAATATGATATCAGTACTCCAAGATCTGATTGATGACAGAAAAAACAAGGCATTAAAGCCTGAAAGTCCACTCAGAACATTTTTCCAGGTCTCATGTAAGAAAGGATCCACTCAATCCAGAGCATTTCCAATCCGACTCGTAAATCATAATCTATTAAGTTAAGACGGAGGGCAGGTATTTCATGGAGCATCCTCAGCTCAGACTCAGATTTGGCATAGATGACTTGTGGGCAAATCATGAAAGAATCATCACACAGAAATATAATAACAGATAATCAGAGCTCAAGATGGACCAGTGAAACAGTATAAAGGTTTCATTCAGAAATTGAAAATAGATATAGCACATACCCTGATCTTTTCAACCGGGTCCTCCTTCATTGCATTCACAGTATGTGTGGCACCAAAAACCTTAGCCTTCTCCAACTTATCATCCTGAACGTCAACAGCAATGATATCAGAGGCCCCAAATGCCCTTGCTATCTGCAAACAACTGGAGAACTACAACGGTTATAATTTTTCCACCATCGGTCTCAAGTTTTGAGTGTGTGACTGCCTCAGTTTATCTAAAGAAGAACAACACCAAGTTTCCTACATCCAGGGATGACGAGATAGCGATACAAGATATCAAGTCCTTAGCCCTCCACTTTATAACTAGTTATTACAATACTATGTGTTTGCTGAATTTGTACACGGACCAACAAAATCGGCATTGGAGTATGACTCAAATGAAGATGAGGGTACAGCTGTTTACCTTGAGCCAACACCTCCAACTCCAATAACAGCAACCGAATCCCCTGGACGAACCTCAGCAGCATGCGCCATAGCACCGTAAGCAGTAAACACAGCACATCCTAAGATGGCAGACTCTGTATAAGGCAATGTATCTGGTAAATTCGTCAATGCATTAGCTGGTACCACACAGTATTCAGCAAGACCTCCCATGCTGTACATGAATATTGGCTTCCCTGAGAAATCCAGGAACACGGGAAAGGAAGTTAAAATGACGTTGAGCAATAGAACCGTCCGAATTGTGTCACGGTGGGTAATCGAGATTGCCAATGGAGAGGGGAAAGAGTAGCTAGATACCACCGTTACGGAGGAAAAGGCGAGTTTCACCGTCATAGAGAGTTCCTTTAGCACGGTTATACGCAAAGAAGTCCTCGCATAAATCATCGTGGCCCTGCTTCCAATAACATGAGGCCGCCAAACCCATCAGTTCTTGGGACGTGGGTAATGACTACGGCCATTAAACTGGATGGGAGAAAAGAGTAACCTTTGAACAGTAGAAGCAGTTGCCGCAGGGCATGATGAAGGCTCCAATGACATGAGATCCGACAGGAAACCTGTAAAAAAAACGCAAGAAAGAGGAGGAATTCAGGCCACTTAGCCAGGACAAAACTGAGCAACTACTTTTGACTTTCGGTTTGGGGAGGAAATCCCAAACCAGGTAAAGGTTACAAGTAACCTGTGGGAAATCTTGGAGTCGGTTATGGGGCCGTGCTCGACCACTTCGCCGGTGATCTCGTGGCCAATCGCACACGGGCTTGGAAATGCGAGCTCACCCTTCAATACATGGAGATCAGAGTGGCAAACTCCACAGCCTTTGGAGGCGAAATTGGAAATCACTCGTCAAAAGCGGGACAGGGAAAACGAAACTTGTGGGAATAACAAAAAGTTCAATTTCTTGTCACAACCTTTGGTCTTGATGAGGAGTTCGCCGGCTTTGGGGCGGGGCATATGGAACTCTTCAATGGTAAGCGGTCTCGAAGGATCCCAGAAGACGGCTCCACGCATGAATCCACCGGAGCTGACATGGTAGGAGTTGTCGGAGGGGGCGGCGGCGGCGGCGAAGAAGCGGGGGTTCGATTTTGGAGAGAGGTAGGTGGGAGCGTTGGCGATCACGCTGCGGACCAAACGAGAGAATCTCATTTGCTGGATTGTTGATTGGGATTTTGAAATTATGGAGAGTTCAAAAGAAGAAGACGAACATCGGCTGAACTGAGCAGGTAGAGAATTGGGAGTACTGGGCGGCCGGTCAAACTATTGCCGAGGATGAGATGAGAGTGAGCGGAGGCGGAGGCGGAGAGAAAGAAACTGGATTTGAGGTGATTGACAATGACGTGGACTCGGCATTATCCCCGATATCAAGGTTGTCCCGGGTTAGCCCGGACCCGCTTCTGAAAACGGGCTAGAAGCCTAGAACAACTTAATTGTGAGTTAGCCCGGAATGGTCAAACCCGGGAAAAACCGGTTAAACCCAAAATTCAGGGCGGTTGGCCCATTCGAGCTGGTTAGCGGGCTCTCGTTTCGAAGTGTCGTTGAATTTTTACTATGTTGAATTTAAGTTGATGTTACTTAAGTGTGTTGGAGTTTAAGTAGTGTTGTATTTTTTCTATGTTGGAGTCAAGATAAGTAGAATATAATTACTCGTTTCATATTTTTGAGCTAAACCGGAGTAAATCAGATTAAAATGGGTGACCCGTTACTGCTGAGACGGTGGCAAGCCAACCAAATCTGCCACCGGCCAACAGTCTAAATCGCTGACTTCAACACGACACAAAATTGCAGGTGACGGGGCCAATTTACAAAGCTTGCACCCATGAGGCAAACACCAAAACCAAGCCAGGAAAACAAGCGAGAATGAAAAGGCAAACAAAAAAAATCCAATGGGTTTGAGAAAATAAATGGGGAAGATAGACCACATAATGAATAAATCAGAGAAAGAATGTCGAACTATCACCCGCTCACAAGAGAGCCAAATAAAAACAAAGAAATCGAGCATGAAGTAGGATTAATAACCAACAAATGACCACATCCCAGAAAAGGCTATCTTTTTCCACGAACGGTGGAGGCTGCTGGATCGACGAAGGCGGTGAAGATTTATTATCCATGTTCTTCCACGTCGGGTATTTTGCTGGAAATTTGGTCTGAGTCGGCTGGTTAAACCGATTCAAAGCATTTTGAATTGGGTTTGGATCAACCGACCAAACCATCTAATTCCTCAAGGTTGTTAAGTTTCATAGATTGGCAAAATTAAAGTTGGAAATATGGTTTTAATGAAGAACACTTTCCTTATTGTCATAGAAGGGAGCGGATACTATAACAACAGCTCCTTTATTGTTACGGTAACAACAAGATTCATTAAGAGTAATAGGGTAATTTAACATAAAAATAAAATAAAATCTATTTAATCCATCTTTAGAGGGATTCGATTGCATCTCCTTCACTCACCTCTTCCAGGACCCGCTTCACGACGGGGTTCTTCATATTGTACTTGTCATCCGCCATTCGATTGAATTGAGAAGATCTCAACCGCCGACCAACGATCCCTGAAACTAAAAAATAAGTGTAGATCTCGACAATCAATCACCTCGCCGGCGTAGATTAAAATACCGCCTGGATCGTAGTCTACAAATTCTTGGAGCTTCAAGCTTCTGATTCAACTTGTTACAGTAAACGACCGACCAAGAGGTATTTACTATATAGACGGGGACGGAAAGAAAGAGAAATAGGCAAAGAGCAGCACCTTCCTCCTGCATCTTAGTCGACGGAGGCAGCACGGGACCATCGAAAGTGAAGATGCCTTCGTCAGCTACGCCGTTAGCCATTGTCGTTGCCGTTCTCGGCGTGGATCGAGCCGAAGGGCTCCCACCGCAGCCGTTGCTGATCTGAACCCCACTGCTAATAGTGGACTTTCCATGATCCCCCCCCCCCCCCCCCCCCCCCCCCCCGGCATCTCAATTGCATTATTTGAGGAAGAAGGAGGAAAAATTGGACAGGTTGACTCGAGTTTGTCAATGGTTACCATTAGGGATGGCAATCAAACCCATGGCCGGGGGTATCCGACCGCCCCCGACCCAGTCAACGTGGGGAATCCCCGCTTTGACCGGGTATGGGTAAAACCCGCAAAAAGTTTGATGGGTATGGGGCGGGTATGGTTTTAGCCTCCCCGCCCCATACCAATCCCCATACCCGCCCCACCAAGATAATTTCTTCATATATATATATAAAACTTGAGAAAATAAATAGTAGAAATGCAATTGATTGACCACCTTAATCAAAATCTAATTCATTTCTCTCAATTCTCATTTCACTCTTTCACTTTCCCCCTTATCAACAAGATTATGTTAGTTAATTATTATTTAGTAGATGTATCAGAGTTAGAACATAATAATTTGAAAAATATTATACTCTATATTATGTATTAATGGATATTTTAGGATCATAATCTTTAAACCATATTAAAAAAATGACCGTGTTTTATTGACTTCATGATATAATATGTTCGTTTAGAATTATAATTAGAATTTTCTTGTAAGTTTTAGGTATAATAATGTTGGATGTACGGGTGTGGGTATTACCCATGGGTACCCGAAACCCACGAGTATGGGGATGGGTTTGCAAAACATTCCCCTGCATGGGTATGAGGCGGGTATGGGTTTGGGTATTTGAAGATGGGTATGGGGATGGTTTAAGCAAACCCGCCCCATTGCCATCCCTAGTTACCATGTGCACTCCCAACACTTTGGTCTCCTCGAAAATGCTTAGGCCTTTTTTCGTCCCCATTTTTGTCACTTTGTGTGGACGATTTCATTCCTATACTTACATAAGCAAATATGTGCAGAATCAATCTCCCACCAAAATTTCCCAGGATGTGGTATCCGGAGTTTCGTTAAGTAAGTGCAGAATCAATTCAGAAACACACAAACATCATGGATCAGTACCAAAACAAAACTCCCTGCTGCAGTTTTGATGGATTCTCTCTTCATTCGAACTTAAAAAGACATAATGACAAGACAATGGTCCAAGCACTACTATTTAACAGTTTAACATGAACAGATACTTGATCCAAATTTTACATGAACATGGAGTAAGGATTTGCAGAATTCCATCTCATATGTCGCGTTTCGTTGGGAGCATTTCGAAACTGAGTCCCTCGACATTTGGAGAAGAAGAAGAACATGGTGCGGAAAATAGGAACAGTGTGCCTTAGAATTTCCTGACATTCGTTTTTTAGTCTAACCTAATCACCAACAACAACAAGAAGCTAGGTAATTTATATTGGTGTTTAGTAATTCTAATCACAAATATTTCTAACACAAAAAACCCTCTAGTGCAAACCACAAACGCAATAAAACAACCCACAAAAAACATACAGTAAACCTCCTAATGCAAACCATAAATTCGTTAAAACATATCAGAAACCCCACAAAGCAAACCATAAATATTTTGAAAAGCACACCAGAAACCCCTAATGGAAACCACAAACACGGTAAAGCAAACCAAAAACGTCCTAATGCATACCACAAATATATTAAAACAAACCAGAAACCTCGCAAAGCAAACCGCAAAAGTTTCGAAAGCACACCAGAAACTTCTTAATGCAAACCAGAAACCTCCTAATGCATACCACAAATCTCCTAAAACAAAGTAGAAACCCCACAATGCAAACCACAACATTTGCGAAAGCACATCAGAAACCTCCTTATGCAAACCACAAACACAGTAAATCAAACCATAAACGTCCTAATGCAAATCACAAATAGATTAAAACAAACCAGAAACCTCACAATGCAAACCACAAAGTTTTTGAAAGCAAACCACAAACACGATAAAGCAAACCACAAAAGGCATAAAAAAATATGAGAAACCAAACCATAAATCTCACAATGTAGACCATACATCTGGTGGTCGTTGACCGGTCAGTCAGCAGATTCCGACGCCGATAGGCATATTCTGGCCCCGATGACTAGATTCTGACACCGGTAAGCATATTCCGACAGCGGTGAGCATATTCCGACAGCGGTGAGCATATTTCGATGACAAAATAGCATAATCCGGCGACAAAAAGCATATTCCGGTGACCGACGACCATTTTCCGGCTACCGGTGGCAGAATTCCGGCGACCAAAATTTTGGGCGGAAAATAAATAAAATTTATTTTTTTATTTTTTATTATTATTTAAACATATTTTTCATAATGACAATTATACCCCTGTTTTGATTTTACACTAGGTCAACTCATCTAATAAAAAGTCATCACAACCCTAACTTCCTATTGGTTGGAGACTAGTGTTGTTATAATAACAACACAAGGAGTGTTGTTATAATATCTAGCCCCGTCGTGCAACAATTTGTCCATTCCCTCTAGTAAAGATTTGCTCGTACACCCTCTAGGGAACAGCTACAACACTTGGTTTAGCATGAAAGGTTATCATGCCATGCAATCCACGTTTGTAAATTACAAGGGAAGTATGCCTTGTAATGGACGCATTGTTTTGACAACTTTTTTCTCTCTCTTTGTTTTTACATAATTAGGAGATAGAATCGAATTCATTGGAAATTCTTATGACCAATTTAATTAACCGATCCCATTTTTCTTATTTAAAAAATATAATCATGTATTAGTTTTCAAAGATAGAAAATTGAAAATGTCTATATAAGAAATATATGAATATAATAACAAAAAATTTATGATCAATGTACGCTATTATGATACAACAGGGGCGCTTGGATTAGGAATTTGGAGGCATAGTTTTGCCACAATCCCTATCCTTTCCTGATTTCAAAATACCTTAATGGCAGGTTTTCAAAATTCATTAAGGCCAAAATCATCCCTCATGGTTGACTTCCTCTTTCCTACGGATGGAGAATATTATCGGGTTCAGGAAACTAAGAAAATAATTCAACAGAGGAAAGATAGGTGATTTAGGCACAAGAATCAGAGGAAAAAAATAAAGGAAAGAACAGTGAAGTTGAGATTTGGAAGATTGGCTTTGAGATTCAATCTCCAGGAGTAGCCCTAGTTTCCTTCAGCGTCTCCACTCTCCACTCTCCAGCGCCAACGACTTTGTTCTTTTTGCTATTGGGTTGAGCGGGTCACCCGCACACCCGCCCACAACCCACCTGCCACCCGACGGATGCCTCACAACACAACCCGTCACCCACCCACAAACCCACCCACATAACGAAATTTTGGTCAAATGCGGACGGATCGACCCAAACCTGCTGGTGACCCGCCTGCATGCCCAACCCTAGGGTTTATAGGATTACAATACTAATGGGTTTTGTACCGTAACCCAAGCTTATTATTGTGTTGGTTAATCGTGCACTATAGTCATATCACTTCAATTATTCGATGAACTTTTAACAGTTTGAATTGATTATAGTTCATACAGAATTTAAGTTAAATCTCATAAATATTCCTAGTCTGCCCTCTTCTATACTAAATTATCAATCCCCATTAGACTTCCAATCACCAATTATGTCAAAATATCCTAGCTGGGACCAATCTTGGGAGGAAGAGTCACACATATTCATCAAGCAATGATGATGAGAGCAAATTACGGAAGCAATATGGTGGAATTGGGAGGCAACTAACTTGATGAAGGACATATTAACTAATTAAGAAGAGAAGAATGCAGGAGTGGGTAACATAACCAAGTCACCAAGTGCACTTAGTTAGTAGCATGCACAATTTTTTTTCTTATACACGTGGCATCTTATTTACATGGAACAAATACACCTCAACTTCTTTACTTTTCTTGTATTTCTCGACTCCTGCTCATTCGCCTGCTCTCTATCAGTCTAATAACCCCACCTACCCGTTCTTGCATTAGATACCCAGAAAGAGAATAATAAGGTGAATGATTGGGGCAGAGGGAATACAACTTAGTTATGTTGTTCACAACATAAACTGTGAGTAGATACTCATACGGTGGATCTATTGTCCACGATGGCGAGGCAGGATCTGGCGCCGGTTTGAGGAAGGTGAGCCGAGTGTATCGGCTGGCCCAATCCCACGACTGAAAGCGGGGCCCACCGGGCCCACAAATTCAAAAACCAAAAATCAAACCCGATTCTTCCCCAGGTCAGTTTCTCCGCCAGACCACTTTCCCCTCTCTCCCGCTTTTCCCCTCTCTCTCACTTTCCTCCTCTCACGAACACAGACGAAGAAGAAGCGAACCGGCGGCGACGGACCAGCGAAGCGGCGGCGAGGGTGCAGTGTAGCGGTGGCGGCGAGGCGATGTTGCAGACGAATCGGAGGTGACGAAGGGCGGGGTTTCACGGCGACGAAGCTTGTGTTGACGGCGCCGACTTTGCAGACGAATCGGCGGCGACGAAGGACAGGGTTTCACTGCGACGAAGTAGCGACGGTTGGTTTGACAGCGGTCGTTGAAGAAAGAACTACTTTGTGGACTAAGGTAACTGTCTTATTTATTCTTTGTTCAAAGATATTCATTTTCGCTTCGACAAATTTGAGTTAGGGTTTCATGGCTACGACTTGATCCGGGTTTTCCTTTTGTGGATTTGTCTTTTGGGTTTAATTATACTTTGTTCATGGATATTCATTTTCGTTTGGACAGATTTGAGTTAGGGTTTCATGGCTACGATCGGGTTTTCCTTTTGTGGATTTGTCTTTTGGGTTCGTGGGTGAAGTATTTATTTTGTGGTAACTTTTATGTCACTGGATATGAGTTCGTTCTTTTGTGGATGTTATTTCTGGGTTTTGTGGATTTGCTTTGTGCTCCTTCCGATATTAGTTCTGTTCGGCAGGATATGTGATAGACCAATAATTACACATGTTTCTACCCCTATTCTTGAGCCGTTTGAGATGTCGATTCCCGTATTTTAGGCCGATTTCACGCTAGGTTGTTCGTGTTTGTGATATTTCAGGTCCTAGCACATGAATGAAGGCCTGGGAACGAGTTCGGGGTCGATTGGACGAAGATTGGACGTTTGGCGAGAAGCTCGGAAGCCACACGCACACCATTGCACCTCACACGGCCGTGTAGGGGCTCATTTTTGACCGTGTGAAGGCTCGATAAAAGCCACACGGGCAGCCTGGGGAGCCACACGGCCGTGTGGCCTCTGCCCGTGCAGCTTGCCTGTTTGCCCACTAATCAAAACACCGCGTTTGGACACTCACACGGGAAGCTGGGAAAGTCACACGGCCGTGTGAGTCGGGAATTTCTGGTTTTAAGCCAATTTCGAGCCAAAGGAGAGAGAGAGCTGGGTTTTGGATCCCAAACACCCAAGGGACGAACCCTAGAGAGAGAGAGAGAGCGACTTGGGAACATTCTTGGAGCTATTTTGGAGGATTTCTTCGCCATTGGAGCTCGGGAATCAAGCTTGGAGATGGAGATTGAAGATCTAGATCAGATTTCTGCAGTCTCTCTCTTCTCTATGGAGTAACTTCCCTTCACTTAGGTTTTGAGGAACCCTAGTTCCATGTGTTAGGATCTTTCTTGTATGAAGTTTTGGATGTTATATTGTTTGATTATAATCGATTGAGGCATGACTTATTGAGTCAATTGAATCTTGATCAAATTCTCTTGATTTCTGCTTTAACCTATGATAGATAGAATCTGATTAGGTTAAGGGAGCTTCCTTGATTGATAGTGGTGAATTGGTTGTGCGAGAGTCAATCAATTCACTGCTTTGTACTGGAATTCATTCCAGTAGTGGAGATCTGTGTGAATCGCCTTAGCAGTATATCCCGGTGAAGGCTAGTCGCCTGCCGGGTACTCTGTCTAAGAGGGCTTGGTCAACTTAAGAGATTCCAAGCTAATTTAGGATCTTCCGCAGTTTAATCAACAGTAGATCAACCAAAAGTAATTGCCTTTGGACCTAATTGAGGAGCTAGGGGGAATCATACCTAAGTGAGTTCCCAACTTGTAATTAGTAGAGTAGTTAGTAGAATAGTTTAGTAAATCAATCCTTAATCTAGTTTGCTAGATAATGAACTGAAACTGAGTAATAGTAACTCTAGAGACCCGTGGATTCGATATTTATTACTTGTGTCACTATACTGCAGTCCCTTTCATTGGTTACACTTGGCCATTGTTAGGTGTTGTGTCGTAGCGAGTCAATATGCATTATGTTCCTTCTGGATATTCGTTGTTTATTGTCTGGGTTGTTGTTTGATGTATCTTGATATTGGTTTTGTTTGACCATGATATCAGTTATGACTTTCTTGGATAGTTGTTTGATAGGATCTGGGTATTTGTATGTGCAGTGATTTATCAATGGCAAGGACTAAAACAACGAAGAGGAAAAAGCGACCGACTCCACGACAACCATCACCACCGCCACAGCCAGAGGAAAATGAGGAAGAAGAAAATGCTGAAGTCGAAGCAGAAGGAGCTGCACAAGAAGATGCTAAAGTCGAAGCAGGTGGAGCTGCACAAGAAGATGCTGAAGCTGAAGCAGAAGGAGATGCACAAGGAGCAGCTCGAGGTCAAAGCAAGGCGAGGTACATATTTCGGTGCACTCTAAATCTCTGCTACAAGTTATAATCTGTTTTGTGTGCGTTCCGATATTATTTATTTTGATTCTGGATATCCATTGTGTTTTGCTTGGATTGTTTCTTCTGGATATTGATTTGGACCAGCATGATATCAGTTGTGATTTGCCTGGATAATTGTTTGATATATCTGAATATTGGTTTTTAATCAGCATGATATCAATTGTGACTTGCCTGGATAATTGTTTGATATATTTGGATATTAGTTTTTAATCAGCATGATATCAGTTGTGATTGCCTGGATAATTGTTTGACATATCTGGATATTGGTTTTTGATCAGCATGATATCAGTTGTGACTTGCCTGGATAATTGTTTGACATATCTGGATATTGGTGTTTGATCAGCATGATATCAGTTGTGACTTGCCTGGATAATTGTTTTATATATCTGGATATTGGTTTTTGATCAGCATGATATCAGTTATGACTTGCCTGGATAATTGTTTGATATATCTGGATATTGATTTTTTACCAGCATGATATCTGTTGTGACTTGCCTGGATAATTGTTTGATATATCTGGATATTTGTCCGTGCAGGGATAAAACGAACGTGAAGAGACAACGACGGAATCCACCGCCACAACCAGAGAAGGATGAGGAAGAAGAAGATTCTGAAGTCGCAGCGCAAGTACCTGCACAAGGAGTTCACATTCTAGGACAAGGCAAGCCATGGTACAGATTTCGGTGCCACACCAAATCTCTGCTAGATGTTATAAAATATTGGAAGGAAGAGCCAAGGTACTATGAAGCATGCAAGAAAGAGTTGGAGAGGGCTGGATTTGGAGGGCTATTGGAGCTTCGTCTGGAAAATGTTCCTAAGAAGTTGTTTGATTCCTTGATGGCACAGTTTGATGTGCACACCAATTCATTCATTTTCGGTAAAGGGGATAACAAGAAGGTGCTTACCATCGAAGATGAGGATGTTGCCCGTGTATATGGGCTGCCTATTGGTGGTGCTGAGATTGATGTCGTTAAGTCTAACGACAAGATGCTTGAGATGTTCAAGGAGGAGCTCAACATGGAGTGTACTCGTAGTCGAAATGTAGAAGTTATGGATCTTAGAGAGGCAGCCTGTGGTGGTCCGGATGATGCACTGAAAAGGAGACCACCTGTTGCAGCCACGGTGAAGAAATTTTTGTTGTTGGCTCTTGGTTTGATGCTCGCCCCAAAGATGTCACGACTTTGTGATCTCGATTATGCAGATTACATGGTTGGAAGGGTGGAGGACATTGCCTCTTTTAATTGGAGTGGTTTTGTTGCCCGTAATCTGAAGTTTGAGTTGTGTCAGGTTAAGGAAAACGAAGCTGAATCTAGGGCTGGTGGGAAACAACAATGGCCTCTTGGAGATATCCACTTCTTAATTGTAACTTCTCCTTTAACATTGTTGATATTTTTTGTTTGATGGTTGATATTAGTTAACATTCTAGGGATAATAGTTCATTGCATTCCTGATATCTTTTTTGTGTGTTTGTGATATTAATAACCATTCCAGGGATAGTACTTCGTTTCATTTCTGATATATGTTTTGAAGGCTTTTTTGTAGATCCATTTGCTAGACTTCCTTAATGTGAGAGGGTTTGCAACAAAAACCATTCCGACCTGCAGCTATTTGTTCGACCCAAGGGTGGATAATGTGTGCTCGAATATCCCCAAGGTAGCTGAAAAATATATCATGGGTCCCATGTTGTTGTCAAGGGAAGAAGTGGGAATCAGGGTCGAGCAGCTCGGCTCCTGCTACTGATTGGTGGGCGGATGTTGACTTGGAAACCCTTGAGGACGATGAGGTATGTAGATCTTCTCTTTGCATCTCAAAATCGTGGGTTAATAGACATGGGTGCATGTAGCGAACTAAATTTTTTTCAATATATGTGTAGCTTTAGGCATTGGAGTCATTGACAGAAAAAGTGATGGATGTATGGGAAACAAGGCGGGATAGTATATGGAGAGTCATCATTATGCGCCATCATGGAAACAATTGAACTTTGCAATTTTCTTCGTTTTAAGTGGTTGTAATGTTATGTTAGGATGTTATAATTGTCATGTTGGAATGGCAGAACAAAAGTTTGTTTACTTGTTAAGGATCTGTTACTTTTATGTATTGTTGGTTCTGGATACTATTTCTTTTAATGATTGCTTTGAACAAAAGTTTGTTTGCTGTATCGAATGATGAGATCCGAGTTTGCTTGCCGTCGATATTGAAATGAATGCATTGGATATTAGCTATTACAGGGTTGGATACTACTTTGTCCTGTGTGGATAGCAAGTGCTTAATGTTTGGATATTACTCTGTTCTGTCTGAATAACAGTTGCACAATGTTTGGATATTATTCTGTCATGTCTGGATAACATGCGCCTCTTGTCTGGATATTACTCTGTGTGGTCTGGATAACAGTTGCTATATGTTTGGATATTACTCTGTGTTGTCTGGATAACAGGCGTCTCTTGTCTAGATATTAGGATATTAGTCAATGATTAACTCACTAACTGTATTGTGTTTTAGATCTTCTTTCCAATGTATCGAGATGATCACTACCGAGTGTACGTCGCTGACATGAAGAATAGGAAGACTTTCCTACTCGACAGCCAAAAGCCCAATGCCCGAGTGGCTAAAGAGGATCATGGACCAGTGGGGAAAGTGATTTTTGAGTATGTGACAAAGTTCCTCAAAGATCAGGGGATCGATTGTACATTGGATGAGTGGGAAGTCAGCATTGCTGACGTTCCTCAGCAATTTGGCAACGATGATTGCGGTGTATTTGCTTGCCTTTACATGGAGCTATGGGCGTGTCACCTTCCGGTGGAATATAAAAACAATTGGCACAAGCAGCAACATGTGGAGGAACAACGAACACGGATTGCAGCTAACCTCCTGTTATGGAACTATAACGGCCACAAGGATGCAATAATTCAAGGAGCAAAAGATTGGAGTATGCAGAAAGAGAAGAGAAAGAGAAAAAGAAGAGAAATTGATTTTAGATTTGTTTAGGTGTGTTGGATAGTTTATAAAACTTAACTTAGGGTTGGTTCATATTTAGGAATTGATGATAGTTTGCATTAGGATGGAGGATATTTTGGTAGATATTGACATGTGATTTCAGGATACGTTTTTGTGGTGCAGTGGATAAGAGTCCACTTGTTAAGGATACTTGTCTTGGCAAACTTGATATGTACTGTAATATATACAGATATTAGTCTGGGCTTCCTAGATATCAGTATTAGCAGCAGCAAGTACAATAGTATCAATGATTACTTCTTTCACTATTCACATTGTGACCTCTTTTGTTACTGTACTCATTTGACCTTTTTTGCATTTGTCTATTTAAATAGATAAAATAGACAAATGCAGGAACTTAGTCTTAAATAGACAAATGCAAAAAATGTCACATGGGTACAGTAACAAAAGAGGTCTCATGTGAATAGTGAAAGAAGTAATCATTGATACTATTGTACTTGCTGCTGCTAATACTGATATCTAGGAAGCCCAGACTAATATCTGTACATATTACAGTACATATCAAGTTTGCCCAGACAAGTATCCTTAACAAGTGGACTCATATCCACTGCACCACAAAAACGTATCTTGAAATCACATGTCAATATCTACCAAAATATCCTCCATCCTAATGCAAACCATCATCCATTCCTAAATATGAACCAATCCTAAGTTAAGTTTTATAAACTATCCAGCACACCTAAACAAATCTAAAATCAATTTCTCTTCTTTTTCCCTTTCTCTTTCTCTTTCTGCAAACTCCAATCTTTTGCTCCTTGAATTATTGCATCCTTGTGGCCGTTATAGTTCCATAACAGGAGGTTAGCTGCAATCCGTATTCGTTGTTCCTCCACATGTTACTGCTTGTGCCAACTGTTTTTATATTCCACAGGAAGGTGACCCACCCATAGCTCCATGTAAAGGCAAGCAAATACATCGAAATCATCGTTTCCAAATTGCTGAGGAACGTTAGCAATGTTGAATTCCCACTCATCCAATGTACAATTGACCCCCTGCTCTTTGAGGAACTCTGTCACATACTCAAAAATCACTTTCCCCACTAGTCCATGATCCTCATTAGCCACTCGGGCATTGGGCTTTTGGCTGTCGAGTAGGAAAGTCTTCCTATTCTTCATGTCAGCGACGTACACTCGGTAGTGATCATCTCGATACATTGGAAAGAAGATCTGAAACACAATACAGTTAGTGGATTAATCATTGACTAATATCCTAACAACACAGATTAATATCTCCAACCTAGAATAATATCCGATAAATAAGAATAAAATATCCTATAAACCCAGACCAATATCAAGGAAAGTCAGAAAAATATCCAAACATTGAAGACACTTACGTAATCACATCTTTCCAAGTTTTCCCGTTTTAGCAATGGATTACTCTTGTGCATAGAAATATGCACCGAGACTCTCGCCTTGTCCATGGGTTGTTTTTTTATAGCATTAGCGACGACATGTTGCTATTTAGAAGAGACAACAATATCAAATTAGACATTTTCAACATAAATAGGATATTAGGATCTAAGTAGTGAAGATAATACTTACTACATAGGTCCATGGGAAGACAATTCCCTTCACCACCTCCTTACGTTCTTCTTGGTCATTTAGGAAGTGCCCGTATACTAAAATTACTTGGTTATGAACCCAACTTTTACGCTTCAATGACAATATTTGGCAACGGCTAAGCTTGCCCTTTGGAGTTTCCACGATAAAGTCGTGACTGTAAAACACAAATGAAAAACCAGGTTAGTAGCCATGAATTTGACAGATTGAAATTGGCGATTAAAGAAGGAAACATGACAACTTACTCATCTTTAGTTGTGGTACTGAAGATGAACTCAACCACTTGCAGTGCCATAACGTCGAGTTTCGTTGACAGAGTCTTAGGCAAAAAAACACACTGATGAGTCGAACGGGTGGTGTTTTGACCTCTCGAATGCAGGAGTTTTTAGAGTTGCCTTTCATGCTTCTGGTGTGATAGAGTGCATAAACTCTGCCTCCTTCTGAGTCATAGCCCTCTCACTTAAGAGAATATCATCATCGATATCCTCCATCATCCTCTGACATGCTGCTGTTATAAGCTCCCCCCTATGATGATGCTGCTTCTCCTTGCGTCGAAACCTCAGTAGAAGGATCGAACACAGTAGCAGTATCCTCGAAAGGTATCTGCAAAACAATGCCAAAGGTATGACCATCGTCCCAGGCTAGTATAGTATCCACAGAATAAGAAAAAAATATCTAGGAAGAACAGAGTAATATCCAAAGAATAAGAAAGAAATATCCAGGAATAACATACTAATATCCAAAGAAAAAGAAACAAATATCCAGGAAGAACAGATAATATCCAAAGAATAAGAAAGAAATATCCAGGCAGCCCAGCATAGTATCCATAGAAACCGAAACAAATATCATGGCTGCCCAGGCTAGTATCCAAAGAAAAAGAAACATATATCCAGGAAGCCCAAGCTAGTATCCAAAGAATCAGAAACAAATATCAAGAAATAACATACTAATATCCAAAGAAAACGAAACAAATATCCTGGAAGAACAGACTAATATCCAAAGAACAAGAGAGACATATCCAGGCAGCCCAGCATAGTATCCACAGAAAACGAAACAAATATCCTGGCTGCCCAGGCTAGTATCCAAAGAAAAAGAAACATATATCCAAGAAGCCCAAACTAGTATCCAAAGAATCACAAACAAATATCCAGGAAGAGCATACTAGTATCCATAGAAAACGAAACAAATATCTAGGAAGAACAGACACTACTGGTATCCTCCAAAATTTACCGTAGTCGGGGATGTCTCTATACTCTCTTCAGCAGCAGCAATGGTCTGGAGAGCAATCTGCATCACATTCACTTGATAAAAAATGGACTCTGTATGCTGAACCTCCGGATCAACAATAGGCACCTCCTGAACCTCCGGATCAACAACAGGCACACCCACATCAGTACTCAACTTAACAACAGACACCTCCACCTCATGCTCGACAATCGACTCTAGCTCCACCTCAGTAGCGACACCAGACTCCACCTCCACCTCAGCACTCGGCTTAACAACAGAGACCTCAACATCAAGCTCGACAACTGGCTCTGACTCCACCTCCACATCAGTAGTCGACTTAACAACAGGCAACTCCACCTCAGGCTCGACAACTGTATCTGGCTCCTGAACCACCTCAGGCTCCACCTCAACACTCGACTTAACAACAGACACCACACCCTCAGGCCTTACCAGCTTTGGAAGATCTTGCATTGCCCTTCCTCCATATGAACCAATCACTTGGATCTTTTCCACAAATGGTTATGTTAGTTAGTTGCTTAGGTAAGACAACAAGATTTTTTTGCTTCCCATGTTCTCTCTTAACTCTTTCCATGCAACCTTAAGCTTATATCTAACATGACTGTCTAGAAAAGGGCTATCGCTCATATGATTACCAAACGTAGATGTTAGGATCATTGAAAATGGTTTTTGTTACTTTGCTAGATTTGATTCCAGGAAAGAAAACTCTATGTAAGCAATATGCAGAGTACTTTTTGCATACCTTTCGACGAACTAGATGATTGATGTCCATCTCCCCCACTGAGCCAGCTTTTGCAAGCCCAATCATCACAGCTTTCCCTCCATCTCTTACACTTCTGGTGCACTGTGAAAAAGTGAGCGGTTTGCCCAATGCTTCCACTGCAACATCCACACCTCTTCCTCAAGTTATTTCCTATCACAGAATATGATATCAGCACTCCAAGATATGATTGATGACAGAAAAAAACAAGGCATTAAAAGGCTGAAAGTCCACTCAGAACATTTTTCCAGGTCTCATGAAGAAAGGATCCACTCAATCCAGAGCATTTCCATTCCGACTTGTAAATCATAATCTATTAAGTTAAGATGGAGGGCAGGTATTTCATGGAGCATCCTCCGCTCAGACTCAGATTTGGCATAGATGACTTGTGGGCAAATCATGAAAAAATCATCACACAGAAACATAATAACAGATAATCAGAGCTCAAGATGGACTGGTGAAACAGTATAAAGGTTTCATTCAGAAGTTGAAAGTAGATATAGCACATACCCTGATCTTTTCAACCGGGTCCTCCTTCATCGCATTCACAGTATGTGTGGCACCAAAAACCTTAGCCTTCTCCAACTTATCATCCTGAACGTCAACAGCAATGATATCAGAGGCCCCAAATGCCCTTGCTATCTGCAAACAAGTGGAGAACTACAACAGTTATAATTTTTCCACCATCGGTCTCAAGTTTTGAGCCCTCCACTTTATAACTAGTTATTCCTATACTAGGTGTTTGCTGAATTTGTACACGGAAAAACAAAATCGGCATTGGAGTATGACTCAAATGAAGATGAGGGTACAGCTGTTTACCTTGAGCCAACACCTCCAACTCCAATAACAGCAACCGAATCCCCTGGACGAACCTCAGCAGCATGCGCCATAGCACCGTAAGCAGTAAACACAGCACATCCTAAGATGGCAGACTCTGTATAAGGCAATGTATCTGGTAAATTCGTCAATGCATTAGCTGGTACCACACAGTATTCAGCAAGACCTCCCATACTGTACATGAATATTGGCTTCCCTGAGAAATCCAGGAACACGGGAAAGGAAGTTAAAATGACAGTGAGCAATAGAACCGTCCGAATTGTGTCACGGTGTGTAATCGAGATTGCCAATGGAGAGGGAAAGAGTAGCCAGATACCACTGTTACGGAGGAAAAGGCGAGTTTCACCGTCATAGAGAGTTCCTTTAGCACGGTTATACGCAAAGAAGTCCTCACATAAATCATCGTGGCCCTGCTTCCAATAACATGAGGCCAAACCCATCAGTTCTTGGGACGTGGGTAATGACTACGGCCATTAAACTGGAAGGGAGAAAAGAGTAACCTTTGAACAGTAGAAGCAGTTGCCGCAGGGCATGATGAAGGCTCCAATGACATGAGATCCGACAGGAAACCTGTAAAAAAAATGCAAGAAAGAGGAGGAATTCAGGCCACTTAGCCAGGACAAAACTGAGCAACCACTTTTGACTTTCAGTTTGGGGAGGAAATCCCAAACCAGGTCAAGGTTACAAGTAACCTGTGGGAAACCTTGGAGTCGGTCATGGGGCCGTGCTCGACCACTTCGCCGGTGATCTCGTGGCCAATCGCACACGGGCTTGGAAATGCGAGCTCACCCTTCAATACATGGAGATCAGAGTGGCAAACTCCACAGCCTTTGGAGGCGAAATTGGAAATCACTCGTCAAAAACGGGACAGGGAAAACGAAACTTGGGGAATAACAAAAAGATCAATTTCTTGTCACAACCTTTGGTCTTGATGAGGAGTTCGCACCGGTTGATCTCAATAACTCGAGTTGTTGGGAGAAGGTTATGTTGGATCTTATACAGGTCCGTGTGTGGTGCTTAACCACTTCTTTACACGCCCCCTCAAACGAAAGCCGACTCATGGGCTTGAAGTTTGCACAGGCCCGCCACGAAAAAGTTAGTCTCCTAACAGGCCATTTTGTTAGGAGATACTGATAGGGTCAGATTTTGGGCCACGTGTGCTTGGGCTTCATCCAACGGAGGAGAGTGTTGGCTCACTTAAATGAGCTGGAGATGGGCTTCCGTGTAGAAGCCGGCCCAACGTGCGGCGCAGAAGGCGAGCCGAGTTCGTGGCGTGGTGGGCCCGGCCTCAGTTTGGGCGGGATTTTGGGTTGGAGTAGAAAGCGTGGTGGGCCCGGCTTCAGTTTGGGTGGGATTTTGGGTTGGAGTGGAAAGAGAATGAAATTTTTGGGCCCCATGTGATATATATGTATGTTTGTTTGGATATTTATTTGTTTTCAGTGGATGTTATTATGTGTTGTGTTGATATTACTTTGAATCATTGTGTTGGATATTTATTTGTTTTCAGTAGCCATCATTAAATTAATATTTACCAAACCCCAAAATAACCCAACCACCCGAAACTGATTACACCAATTTAGAGTTTAAGTTTTAGGGTTTATGGTTTGGTTTTCAATTTGTGAAGGATTGGAATATTGTTTCTTACATCAAATTAAACACACTAGGAAATTAAACACACTAGAAAGTCCTAACACGTAAGGCTTGCAACCTTAGTTAGGGCTGCCCGCCGAGGGCCCATGGGCCGAAGGCCCATTAAATAATAATAGTTTATGGTTTATGGTTTGTGTTACGGTTTATGTTAAGGGTTTAGGGTCTAGCTTAGGTTTGAATTGAGCTTAGTTCATGTTTTCGAAATTTTCTTGGACTTTTCGATATTCTAATAGGGCTTTTTTGGAAAAGTGATTAGGGTGTTAGTGTTAGGGTTTAGGAATTTTTTTTAGGGTTAAAGGTTTAATTATTAGTTGTAATGGAGAACGGATATTAGTGCGACAGTCGGATATTAGTTTGAGTGGTTTGGATATTTGTTTTGTGGAGATGAGTTTTCGACGAGCAAATAATATTCCAGAATAAAAAACTCGAATTCTTAATAAAAAGAGTCGTTTTTTTATACCCAATAAAAAGAGTCGTTTGATAGATAAATCGCGATAAAACTAGTATTTAATGTCATTACAATAATCCGAGAATGTCAAATCCGAAAAAGCAGAACCATATAAGAAATGAGAAAGCAATAGTTCAACTATTGTCTTGCTGACGCTTGATAATTTTTTTGAGCGTGTCGTCCCGAGCCTTCCACATTTGGATCATGCTCTCAACCATTGTCTCCATTGCCGCAAGCTACATATGTTGTAAAATATTTAGTTTACTATATGCAACCATGTCACTTAAGAAGCAAAAACAACATCTATGTACCTTATTTAGGTCAAGGTTGTCAAAATCTTTGTTTTCCCAGCATGATGCGTCTGGATTGAGCCAATGATGTTTCTCCGCCTCCCCTTCTCTTGGAGGAGCTGGCATCGAACACCTTTTGGATTTTGTCATCTTGCACAATTCCTGAAAAGAACTAATATCATTGAACTAATAGCTAATATCAATGAAAATCTCAGATCCCGCAAATAGAAAGAAATCCAAATCCCCCAAATCAAAAGAATCCCAATAGCAACACAAACAGAACTAATATCGACACAAACAGAACAAATATCGACACAAAGACAACTAATATCGAGACAAACATAACTAATAACCACACAAATAGAACTAATATCGACACAAAAAGAATTAATATTGACTCAAACAGATCTAATATCAACTCAAACAGAATTAATATCGACACAAACAGAAAGCCATTCCACAAAACCAGAAATAAAATCAACAAAAGAACGAATCATGTAACCCTAACTCAAATCTATCCAAACGAAAACTAATATCCACGAAACTATGCTTGAAAACTTACTTGATGAAGAACCCGAGTTCCCTGCAAAGTGCCGCCGCCGAGATCGCTGCTTCGCCGCCGCCGCCGAGATCTCCGACTTCGCAGCAAGGTCGCCGCCGAGATCTCCGCCTTCGCTGCAAGGTCGCCGCCGCCGCCTAGTTCGTCGCCGCCGCCAGACTTTGCTGCCGCCGAGTTCGACGCCGCCGAGTTCCAATCACCGCGCGGCGCTTCGTCTGCGTTCGGGAGAGGAAGAAAGGCAGAGGAAAGGGAGAGATTTGGCAATTGGGGAAGAACGTTAAAAGGGGTAGGGTTTAGGGTTTTGTTTTTTGGTTTTTGAATTAGTGGGCCCGGCGGGCCCCGCAAGGCCGAGTGGGCTGAACGGATATTAGTTCGCGACGTTCGGATATTTAAGCTGGGTGGTTTGGATAGTTTTTTATTGAGACTGGATATTAGTCTGTCTTTTTTGGATATTTGTCTGTATCGTTTGGATATTTGTCTGTGTTGTTTGGATATTTGTGGAGATACTGACACGGCCCAGTGGAGTTTTGTGGGTTTTTTAGCCCAGCTGAGATGAAAGATGGAGCTGATGGTGGCGGCTTGGTAGGGTTTAGGTGGCAAGGGGGGAGAAATGGAAAGAAGGGGCCCAAGTGGGTCATTTATTTGGGGAAACAAAAATCAAAAATAGGAAATTCAAAGAAAGTGGAGGAATTTAATGCTCCCAACTACCCTACCCACCCAAACCCGAAAATTGCCTCTCTCTCTTCAATTTTTCTCTGTTTTTCTTCTCTTCCAAAGGAAGAGAGCCGCCGCCCAACTGTATTTTCCGGCGACCATTTTCTTTTCCGGCGACCATCTTTCCTTTCCGGCGACCTTCTACGATGCCGATCGACGACAATGGGGAGTTGGATGATCAAGGATCTTCTCCAATGAAGAAGGGTAAATCGATCGCACAAAATAGTGAAGAAGAAGAACTCTATCCTACATCATATGAGTTTGTTGATGAAGATTCAAGTGGTGCTCCTGCCCTCAACGAAGAAGAAGAAGAAGATAAAGGTTGATTGAGTTCTTTATATGTTTGTGTTGTTGTGAGATTGGTTGGTTGCATTGAATATTTGATGTTGAGATTGTTGTGAGAATAGCATTGAATGATGTTGATGTTGTTATGGGTGTTTGATGTTGAAATTGTTGTGAGAATGACATATCTGTTTGGATCTTTCGGATATTTGTCTGTTTCTTTGCAGATATGTGTTTAACTAAACATGGTATTTGTCTGGGCTGCAAGGATATTTGTATATTTGCTTGCCGATATTTGTTTAATGAAACATGATATTTGTCTGGGCTGTAAGGATATTTGTATATCTGCTTGCCGATATTTGTTTAACGAAACATGATATTTGTCTGGGCTGTAACGAAACATGATATTTGGTGTGTGACCCACTATTTAATGCATTGTTTGATACTAGTCTGGTAGTTATAGATATTATTTATTTGAATTCTGGATATTTGTTGAAGCCTATGTATTCTAACAGTTTGTGGTCAAGAATGGATAATAACATGCCTCATACCATTAACTCGCAGCTCATAAGACGTTGGATCTAGAAGACGAGGAAGCGAGGAAGAACATCTTTTATCGCACTAAGGATGAGTGTTTTGATTTCTATAAGCGCTACGCTCACAAAAAAGGGTTTGGTGTTCGAATAGATGGGGAACACATAAGAAAGATCAAGAATTCTAAAGGAGTGGTGGAGAAAAATTATGCATACCTTTATTACTTTTGTAATAAGGAAGGCTGGACTTCCACAAGCAAAGTCAATATGGATAATCAGATACAGTCGGAAGACAAGGTTGAGGAGAGAATGGTTTGCAAAAGAAAGAGGCCTCGAGTTAGGGATGGATGTCCCGCCCGTGTTCGTTTTGGATGGGATGCTGCTAGGGAGGGATTTGTGGTGTATGAATTCGTAGAAGCCCACAGTCATGGTTTGCACTCTACCGAGCATATGCACTTGCACAAGTCGAACAAGTGCATGAGTGATGCTCAGAAAAAGATGGCTCAAGCTAATAGCGATGCCGGGATGAGTCTTAGTGCATTGTATCTGTTATTGGCTGATTGTGCTGGTGGGTATCAAAATCTGAGATTTACCAAATCCGATCAGAAGAACCACTTGAACACTAAAAGGCAAAGGACAATGGCTCGTGGTGAAGCGACTTATTTGCTGGACTACTTTGAGGACCAAAAGGACAAGCATCCTGGATTCTTTTATGCTGTAGAGGTGGATTCCGAAGAGAAAGTTGCTAATATATTTTGGGCGGACAGTAGGATGCGTGAAGATTATGCACTTTTTGGAGATTCGGTCTCCTTTGATACCACCTTCCGAACCAATAAATACTTCCGTCCACTGGGTACGTTAATCCCCTAATTCCCTTGAGTTCTTTCGCATGGATGTTTTTAATTATATTGCAGAAATGGTTATGAATAGAATTGGTCCTTGGTGGTATGATATTGACATGTGATGCCCAGGATATTTGTTTGTAACACGACGGGTATTGGTAACCTTTCCTACGATATTAGTCTGGGCTTTACTGATATTGATTGGCATATACTGTGACACTATCAAGACCTAACACATAGGCTTGCAACCTTAGTTAGGGCTGCCCGCCGAGGGCACTAATAATAGTAGGAGAGGAATTAGGGTATGTTTTTATACCAGTACGAGTATTATATGTTGTTTACTATTCATCACCTAATTCATTTGAGTTTTTTCGACACTTGTTCGGTTATGCATTGTCATTAATAGTTGTCTCGTGCAGGGATGTTTGTAGGTTTCAATCACCACCGCCAAACTTGTGGTGTTTGGTGCTTGTTTGATGTATGACGAGACTACTCCGTCGTTTGAATGGTTGTTTGTTGCATTTAGTCGATGCATGAAGAATAAGCTTCCAATCACTATATTTACTAATCAGGATGCAGCCATGGCAGCTGCCCTTAGAAATTAGTGGCCTACTGTGTTTCATGCCCTCTGTACTTGGCACATCCTCATGAATGCCAAGAAGCATCTTCGCAAGGACAAGGCATTTTGGAAGAAGTTCCAACATCATATTTCTTTTATTTTCTATGACGTCGACAGCGAGGAAGAGTTCGACATGGCATGGAACACCATGGTTTCTGATTGTTTCCCAAATAGCGACATTGCGGATGGCCATCAATGGTTGTAACGTTTGAAGAAATTTCGTCATCGATGGTGTTCTTTATGGTTGAGAGATCAATTCACAGCCGGGATGTTGACTACGCAAGCTAGTGAGTCGTGCAATGCACAAGTGCGACTTTTCTTGAAGCCGAGGCATGATTTGGACTTGTTTTTCATTCACTTTAGCAGGTACACACGCGCAATATGACTTTTCCCTTCTTTGATATTAGTCTGTTAGGGTTGGATATTTTTATTGTCAGTTTGGATATTTCTCTGCTATGGTTAAATATTTGTTTATCTTTTCTGGGTATTAGTACGGGTCCGTGAGGATATTAGTCTGGGCACTGAAGTCTTTTCTCTTGCTTCCTAATTGTAGTTTGTTGGCTGACAAAAGACGCAAGGAGACAGAGTCAGACTACAATTCAAAATAATCGATTCCTTATATAATGTTGGAGAATAGCCCGATCCTCCAACATGCGGCAAAGATCTTTACTCCTAACATTTTCGAAAGGATACAGAAGCAGTATTTGGTGGCTGAATCCTATATAATAAAGAAGCTCTCAGATAATAGGGATGATGGCATGATTGGATACCTCATATATATGATGGAGGATGGTGAGCGTAGTGATGAGCGTGTCGTCCTCGTCGATATTTCTACGACGACCTTGGTATGCGAATGCAGAATGTTCAGAACTTTAGAATTGTTATGCCGCCACATGATTAAGGTGATGCGGCTTCTTGGAGATTTTGGGGAAGTAAGTATGAGAAGTATTCCGGATCATTACATACTCAAGCGATGGACGTTGGAGGCGAGAGAGAGAGAGGTTGTTGATGTCGATGGTTCTGTTGGTCCTTCAGCTCCCAGTGAGAATGATGCGGGAAAAGGTATAGCAATGCGGTACCGGGAAACCACTGCAATGTTGAATCAGCTAGCAATGAATATGTCGATGGCCGATGAGAAGGACTACAATAAGTGGATGGGAGTACTCAAGAAAGTGTGCAATGAGGCAAACAAGGCATTGTCAAAGACTATAACTTGCGAGGACAGTAAGTATATGCACTAATAACATTTGTAAATTGTTAGAGTTTAATATCATTGCATTTACTAAATTCTCTAACATTGTAGGACGATCTGTACCGATAACTAGGCTGACTTTGAAGGGGAAGAGTAATCCAAGGAGTCACGGTAAGGAACGTTACCAGTCTACGAATGAAAAGGAACGTCGTCGAAAGAAACGTGAATATCGGAAGAGAATGAAATCTATTGAAGTGGTCACGCCGGACGACACTGCTCACTCGGATGGCCATCTTAGTGATTTGGATGATAATATTGCTCAATGATTATGAATAGAATGTAGGGTGGTTCGAGAGTGGTCTATTGTGATATGATATTGACATGTGATTCCAGGATACGTTTTTGTTTTGTAGTGGATATTAATCCACTTGCTTAGGATACTTTTCTGGGCCAACAGGATATGTGTTGGAACATATACAGATATTATTCTGGGCTTTCTGGATATCAGTATTTTCGAAGCAAGTACAATAGTATCAATGATTACTTCTTTCACTATTCACATGTACAAATATAGATTTACTTTAAGTCTAGGCTCCAAGGATATTAGTCTACAAAAGAAGGATATCTGTCTGTATCTTTCGGATATTTGTCTGTCACTTTGCAGATATTTGTTTAACTAAACATGGTATTTGTCTGTGCTGTAAGGGTATTTGTTTATTCGCTTGCCGATATTTGTTTTAATAAACATGATATTTGTCTGGGCTGTAAGGATATTTGTCTGTCACTTTGCAGTTATTTGTTTAAATAAGCATGATACGACAATTAAATAAACATTGTAATTGTATCCAACAACTGGCAAAATATCCTCCATCCAAGCCTAAGTTCAGTTTTAGAAACTAAAATCTAAAATCACCTATCACCTTCTCTTCCTTCACCCTTTCTCCTTCTCCTTCTGCGCATGCCATTTTATTGCACCTTCAACTATTTCATCTTTGCGGCGGTTATACTCCCATAAAATGAGGTTGGCTGCAATCCGTGTTCGCTGTTCCTGCATATGTGGCTGCTTGTGCCAACTTGCTTTATATTCCACTGGAAGGTGACCCGCCCACAACTCCATGTAAAGGCATGCAAATACACCGCAATCATGGTTTCCTTCTTGCTGAGGAACGTCGGCAATGCTGAATGGCCACTCATCCATTGCACAATCGACCCCCTGCTGTTTGAGGAACGCCGCTGCACACCCAAAAATCATGCTCCCAACTGGTCCATGATCCTCCTTAGCCACTTGGGCATTGGGCTTTATGTTGTCAAGTAGGAAAGTCCTCCTATTCTTCATGTCAGCCACGTACACCCGGTAGTGATCATTTCGATACATTGGAAAAAATATCTGAAACACAAAGCAGTTTGTGAGTTTATCATTGACTAATATCCTAATAACCCAAATTAAAAAAATCCAAACTAGCAGAGTCGCTTACGTAATCACATCTTTCCAAGTTTTCCCGTTTCAGCATTGGATCGTCTTTGTGTAGAGAAATATATGCAGATAGTCTCGCCTTGTCCATGGGTTGGTTCGAATAAGCAGTAGTGACGGCATATTGCTATTTAGAGGAGACAACAATATGAAATTAGGTATTTTCAATATAAATAGGATCTAAGCAGTGAAGATAATACTTACTACATAACTCCATGGGAAGACAATTCTCTGCACCACCTCCTTGCCTACTTCTTTGTAATTTAGCAATTTCCCGTAGCATACAAGTACTTGGGTATGCAACCAACTTCTAACCTTCAATGAATGTAGCTGCTGACGGGTAAGGGTAGCGGTTGGAGTATCCACTACAAATTTCTCACTGTAAAACACAAATGAAAACCAATTTAGAAATGTGTGTTGGACAAACTGAAATTGGTGATTAAATAACTCCTCAATCAACTTACTCGGCTTTAGAAGTAGTACTGAATATGAAGTCAACCACTTGCATAGCTGTAACGTCGAGTTTCGTCGACATAGTCTTTGGCAAAACGTACATTGATTTGCCGAAGGGGTGGTGTTTTGACCTATCAAACTCTGGAGTTTTTAGGGTTGCTTTCCAGGCTTCCGGTGTGATAGAATACAAATACTCTGCCTCCTCCGCACTCTTAATGCACTCAGAGATGATAATATCATCGTCGCTATCCTCCTGGGCAGCAGTAGTTGACTCGACAGCAAACTGCAAAACATGGCCAGTATCTACTCATATAGAAACAAATATCCAGCAAGCCCAAGCTAGTATCCAAAACAAAAGAAACCATTATCATAAACGCCCAGGATAGTATCCACTCAATGCGAAAACAATATCCTGGCAGCCCATGGTATTACCATACAAAAAGAAACTAATATCCAGCAATCCCATACTAGAGGCTATTGGTAAGAGAAATATTACCGTAGTCAGAGATGTCTTAATACTCTCTTCAACGGTAGTAGTGGCTTGGAAACCAATCTGCATCACATTCGCGAATGTCGTATCCGGGTCTCTATCCTCCATCAGCTCACATGCTGCTGCTATAAGCTCATCCTCTGATGGTCCTGCTAATCCTTGAGTTAGAACCTCAGTCGGGACCATTGTGATACTCTCCTGGGCAGCAATAGTTGACTCGACAGGTATCTTCAAAAGAGAGAAAATATCTACTCATCAAGAAACAAATATCCAAAAAACCCATACTAGAGGCTAATGGTAAGAGAAATATTACCGTAGTCGGAGATGTCTTGATACTCTCTTCAGCGGTAGCAGTGGCTTGGAAACCAATCTGCATCACATTCGCGAATGTTGTATCCAGGTCTCTATCCTCCATCAGCTCACATGCTGCTGCTATAAGCTCATCCTCTGATGGTCCTGCTAATCCTTGAGTTAGAACCTCAGTCGGGACCATTGTGATACTCTCCTGGGCAGCAATAGTTGACTCGACAGGTATCTGCAAAAGAGAGAAAATATCTACTCATCAAGAAACAAATATCCAAAAAACCCATACTAGAGGCTAATGGTAAGAGAAATATTACCGTAGTCGGAGATGTACCCATACTCTGCTCGATTGGCTCCCCCTTCTCCTTAAGTGGATTAACAGTCGACTGCACGCCTGGCTCCCCCGACTGAACAACAGAGACCTCCACCTCAGACTCGAAACAAACAGAATTTGGCTCCTGAACCAGCTCAGTCCTAACAACTGACTCTGACTCCACCTCCATCTCAGTAGCGACAACTGACTCTGACTCCACCTCCATCTCAGTAGTGGACTTAACAACAGGCATGTCGACCTCAGGCTCGACAACTGACTCGGGCTCCCGAACCAGCTCAGTAGCGACAACTGACTCTACCTCCACCTCCATCTCAGTAACGGCAACTGACTCTGGCTCCACCTCCATCTCAGTAGTGGACTTATCAACAGGCATGTCGACCTCAGGCTCGACAATAGACAAGACTGTCTTCTCAGGTATTCTCCGAGAGTCGAAGCGGCTGCACATGTTCTTGCCTTTCCCGTCTCCATCCTTTTTCATCCTCGCTTTGGTCACAGAGACCAAAGTCGAAGAAGATTTCGCCACTTTGCCCCTTTTCCTTCTTTGTTTTGGTCGCTGGAAAAACACGTACAAGCACACTAAATTATTATCCCAAACTGCCAGAGTAATATCCAATCATGAAGGAGCTGTTATCCAGACCGCACAGAACGATATCCAAACATAATTTGAATCAATTACCCTGACAACACAGAGTAATATCCAAACATACAACACATGTTCGATGCAATCATGAAAAGAAATAATATCCAGAACCAACAATTTGTTCAAGCCATTCCAACATGGCAAAGATAACATCCCAACATAAACAGAAATATGAATGTTCAAGCCATTCCAACATGGCAAAGATAAAATCCCAACAAGAAACAGAAATCTTAATGTTCAAGCCATTCCAACATGGCAAAGATCAAATCCCAACAAGAAACAGAAATCTTAATGTTCAAGCCATTCCAACATGGCAAAGATCAAATCCCAACAAGCACATTACATCCAATTAAAGAGAGAAAATTTGCCAAGATCATTTGGTTCCTTGATGGCGCAAAATGACAACTCTCCAAACACTATCCCGCCTTGACTCCCATACATCCATCATTTTTTCAGTCATGGACTCCAATGCCTTAAGCTACACATATATTGAAAACAAATTTAGTTCACTACAAACACCCATGGCCACTAACCCATTATTTTGAGTTGCAGAGAGAATATATACATACCTCATCATCATCAAGGGTTTCCAAGTCAACATCCTTCCACCATTCAGTAGTAGAAGTCGAGCTGCTTGATCCAGATTCCAAATCCCTCTTGACACGTTCAGGACGGAAGCGGGATTTGACTTCTTCTCTTGAGAACAACATCGGACCAAGAAGATATTTCTCAGCTTCCTTGGGGATATTCAAACACACCTTGTCCACCCTAGGCTCGAACCAATAGCTGCAGGTAGGGATGGTTTTTGTGGCAAACCCTCTCACATTAAGGAAGTCCAGCAAATGGATCTATAAAAAAAAGTTCAAAACAAATATCAGAAATGAAACAACTATTATCCCATGCACAGTTATTAATATCACTAGCACACAAAACAGATATCACGAATGAAAAGAACTAATACCCTAAGCAGCGATACTAATATCAAAGGCAAAGAAATCAAATATCAGAAATAAAAAGAACTAATATCCTAAGCAGCGATACTAATATCAAAGGCAAAGAAATCAAATATCAGAAATAAAAAGAACTAATATCCTAAGCAGTGATACTAACATCAAAGGCAAAAAAACTAATATCCTAAGCAAATCAAATAAACAATATCAACAATGTTAAAGGAGAAGTTACCATTAAGAAGTGGATATCTCCGAGAGGCCATTGCTGTTTACCAAGATGCCTTAGTTCAACTTCGTTTTCCTTAGCACGAGACAACTCAAACTTCAGATTGCGGGCAACAAAACCACTCCAATTAAAAGTGGCAATGTCTTCCACCCTTCCAACAAGGTACTCAGCATAATCGAGATCACAAAGTCGTGACATCTTTGGGACAAGCATCGAACCCATAGCCAGCAACAAAAACTGCTTCACTGCGGCTGCAACAGGTGGTCTCTTTTTCGGTGCGTCATCGGGACCACCACAGGCTGCCTCTCTAAGATCCACGACTTCGACATTTCGACTTCGATTACACTCGATATTGAGCTCCTCCAAGAACATATCAAGCATCTTGTCGTTAGACCTAACGACATCAATCTCAGCTTCACCAATAGGAAGGCCGTAAACACGGGCAACATCCTCAGCTTCGATTGTAAGCACCTTCTTGTTCTCCCCTTCACCGAAAATGAATGAACTGGTGACCAAGTCGTACTGTGCCATCAAGGTATCGAACAACTTCTTAGGAAAATTTGCCAATCGAAGCTCCAATAACCCTCCAAATCCAGCCTTCTCCAACTCTTTCTTGCATGCTTCATAGTACCTTGGCTCTTCCTTCCAGTAATTAATAACATCTAGGAGAGATTTGGTATGGCACCGAATTCTGTACCACGGCTTGCCTTGTCCTAGAATATTATTTCTTTGTGCAGCTCCTTGTGCAGCAACTTCAGCATCTTCTTCCTCGTCCTCCTCTCGCAAGGGCGGTTGATTCCTTCGCGCTCTCTTCGCGTTCCTTTTATTTCTTGCCATTGATAAATCCATGCACAAACAAATATACAGATATATCAAACAAATATCTAGATTGGTCAAACAAATATCCAGATAAATCAAACAAATATATAGATATGTCAAAAAAATATTCAGATAAATCAAACAAACATCCCGAAATGTCAAACAAATATCCACATATATCAAACAACTATCCAGGCAAGTTACAACTGATATCATGCTTGCCAAAACCAATATCCAGATATATCAAAGAAACAATACAAGCAAAATAAATAATATAATGTCTGTAATCTGTACCTCAGATTTTGCCGACCTCGAACTGCTCCTTGTGCAGTTGTTTCTGCTTTGACTTCAGCATCTTCTTGTGCAGTTGTTTCTGCTTCGACTTCAGCATCATCTTTTTCCTCATCTTCCTCTCGCTGTCGCGGTGGTGGTGGTGGATGGGGTGAAGTCAGTGGAGCTCTCTTCCCGCTCGTTTTAGTCTTTGCCATTGATAAATCACCTGCAAAGACAAATACCCAGATCCTATAAAACAACTATCCAGGAAAGTAGCAACTCATATCATGCTCGAACAGAACTAACATCGACACAAACATGACTAATATCGACACAAACAGATCTAATATCGACACAAACTGAACTAATATCGACACAAACAGAAAGTCATTCCACAAAACCCAGAAATAAAATCAACAAAAGAACGAATCATGCAACCCTAACTCAAATCCGTCCAAACGAAACCTAATATCCACGACACATTCCACAAAACCCGAGTCACCTGCAAACCGTCACCGCCGAGATCGCTGCTTCGTCGCCGCCGACAAGATCGATGCCGCCGAGATTGCCGCCGCCGAGTCTGCTGCAGAGTCGTCGCCGCCGAGATCTCCGAGTTCGTGCAAGGTCGCCGCCGTCGAGATCTCCGACTTCGCTGCTTCGCCGCCGCCGAGATCTCCGCCTTCACTGCAAGACATCGCCGCCGATATCTCCGATTCGCAGCAAGGTCGCGCCGCCGAGATCTCCTCCTTTGCTGCAATGTCGCCGCCGCCGCCTAGATCGTCGCCGCCGCCGATATCTCCGATTCACCGCGCGTCGCGACGTCTGCGTTCGGGAGAGGAAGAAAGGCAGAGGAAAGGGAGAGGGAAAGGGGGGGGGGGGGAGAGAGGGGGGAAAGTGATTTGGGGAAAGTGATTTGGGTTAGGGTTTAGGATATTTTTTTTTGGGTTTTTGAATTAGTGGGCCCGGCGGGCCCCGCCAGCCGGAGTGGGCTTGGCCCAGCCGATGGAATCGGCTCTCATCCCTCACACGGGCCAGCGCGTTTTATCCTCGACCGATGGATGGCGGCTTGGCAACGTGGAGGCCCATCCAGCCATGTCAGTATCTCCTAACAAAATACCCTGTTAGGAGCATAACTAGATTGGGCACGCCATACCATGTGCTTGAAAGACAACAGTTAATATTTGGGGTCGTGAGGACTTGAACACGTGACCTCACGGACAAACCATGTTATGAACCAGTTGATCCCAATAACTCGAGTTGTTGGGAGAAGGTTATGCTGGATCTTATACAGGTCCGTGTGTGGTGCTTAACCACTTCCTTACACCCAGAAGACGGCTCCGCGCATGAATCCGCTGGAGCTGACATGGTATGAGTTGTCGGAGGGGGCGGCGGCGGCGACGAAGAAGCGGGGGTTCGATTTTGGAGAGAGGTAGGTGGAAGCGTTGGCGATCACGCTGCGGACCAAATGAGAGAATCTCATTTGCTGGATTGTTGATTGGGATTTTGAAATTATGGAGAGTTCAAAAGAAGAAGACGAACATCGGCTGAACTAAGCAAGTAGACAACTGGGAGTACTGGGCGGCCGGTCAAACTATTGCAGAGGATGAGATGAGAGTGAGCGGAGGCGGAGAGAAAGAAACTGGATTTGAGGCGATTGACAATGACGTGGATTCGGCATTATCCCTGAGATCAAGGTTGTCTCGAATTTACATATGATTAGGGCTGTTAATGAACCAAGCCGCTCATGAACGGCTCGGTGTCCGACTCGAGGAAAACTCGTTCGACACTCGATTCGTGCCGGCTCGCGAACAAGCTCGTTAACTAAACGAGCCGTACTCGAGTCATACCATGTTCAGCTCGAAAGCTCGCGAACAAGCTCAATTAATGGTTTGACATAAAAAAAAGTATTAAAATTCATGGATTTAATGTATTGAAATTGGGATAAATATTATGTTTTATTTTTATATACTTTTGCTAGAGGTTTGAATGTAATTTTGTGCTCAAGTCTAGGTCAATCTTGGGCTATCATGAACATTTTATGAGTTGAACTCAATTTTTGGCTCGTTAAACTTATTTGACGAGCCGAGCTTGAGTTTTCATTTTCATAAACGAGCCAAGCTCGAGCTTGCATATTAAAGCTCGTGACTAACACGAGCCGAGCTCGAGCCTGGAAATATATTAACGAGCCGAACCCAAATTATAATAAAGCTCGGCTCGATTCGGCTCATTAACAGCCCTACATATGATGCACCACTTGGCTTTTGGAGAATGGTTCTCCATCTTACATTCAATAGTCCATAAAAATGGGTCATTAAATTAAGAGTCAAGATTTGTTGGTAAAAAATAGTAGTGGAGAGTGAGGCCAGCCACTGAAAAGGAGCTGACAAAAAGCTGCTTCTTTGAGGCCCACAGACTGAAAATGAGCCGACACAAGAGAGAGTAGAGAATGCAAGTTCTTGAAAATGCTCAATATGATTTCTGTTTTGTACAAATATATTTTGTGATCAGTAGCAATATATTTTATATTTAGTAAGAATATGGTTTTTAATGCGTGGTATATCATTTTGAATAAGAGTTGTGAAAATCGTGAATATAGAATCACATATATGGAATATGTTTTCTATTCAATGCAAATATCATATTTTGTTTAATACGAATATGATATTCTAATGTGTATATTTGTTCAGTACAAATATAACTTTTGCTCAGTACAAATATGTATTTTGCTCAGTACAAATATGTATTTTGTTCAATACAAATATGTATTTTGTTCTATACAAATATGATTTTAGTTCAACAAGAATATACATATACCACTTGTAAATAATATGTATAAGTTTATTTTGTTAAAAATAAATAGCCCATATGTCAGCTACTTTTTTCAGGTCGTGGGCCCCATAATCCACTATTTGTTGCTCTAATAGATCTGAGCCTTTAATTTAAAAGAACACTTTTGTGGGCTGTTGGATGGAATGGAGAACCGTTCTCCAATATTTAAGTGGTGCACCATATCCAGGTTGGGTTGTCCCGGTTTAGCCCGGACATGCTTTTGAAAACGGGCTAGAACAACTTATTTGTGAGTTAGTCCCGGAATGGTCAAACCCGGTCAAACCCAAAAACCCGGGTGGTTGGTCTATCTAAGCTAGTTAGCAGGTTCTCATTCCGAAGTGTCATTGAATTTTTACTATGTTGAATTTAAGTTGATGTTATTTAAGTGTGTTGGAGTTTAAGTAGTGTTGTATTTTTTCTATGTTGGAGTCAAGATAAGTATAATATAATTACTCTTTTCATATTTTCAGGCTAAACCGGGTTAAAACGGGTGACCCCATTAACCCTTGACCCACTAACTCGACCGGGTACGGGTCAACCCGCGGGTTGACAACCTTGGAAGAGATTGAAACGTAAAAGCGACATCAATACCAATCGACATGCCGATGAAAGTGTTGTTTTTGCCATGCAATGGACAACTCTAGTAGTTCCCTAACACTATGTTTCCGAAGGAAGGGAGGAAAAGGAGGGGAGGTGAAGGAAAATTAGGAGGGGAGGGGAGATTTGGAGGTGAAGGAAATTTGAAGGAAAATGTTGTTTTATGGAGGAAAGTAGGAAGGAAAATGTGTATTGGAAAGTGTGATGAATATGTTATTTTATTAGTTATGTAATAGTAAATAAAGTATGTATATATATTTTACTTCATCTCTAAACTAATGTTACGTTTAATAGTACGTTAATAGTCATAAATATATAAAATTATTTATTATAAAAATATATATAAATAATAGTAAAGTTAACAATTTAATTCATTAAATATAGATATTGAACGTGTTATAAGGATTTTATACGTGTTTAATACGGGAGCCATCAAATGTACAAGAAAAAAATTAAAAGGCTTGACAATAATACGTATACGGAAGTTTTAAACGGATAAAGTATGTATGGGTAGATATACGTGTATTAAACGGAATATTTACTAGTATATAATCAAAATATAGTTTTTTTATCGATAGAAAATCAAAACTAATTACAACTCATAATTATGTTTTTTCCCATGTGTTTTGATCTATGAAAGCTGAATTTTGGATTCTGCCTTCTGGAGAAAGAAGAATGAAGAAGAAATGAAAGTAAAAGGAGAGAGGAAAGAGACGGTGTGGAATTAAAAAGAAAAGGAAAATTAAGCCTGCTTTGCTTTCTCTCCATTTCGGAGGGGCCGATTGTAAAGTACCATTTCCCTCCTTTTCCTTTCCCTCCACACTATTTTTTTTTTCGGAAACAGGGGAAAAGATGTTGGGATT